TTTTATTCTACTTTTATTATATTTATTATAGTTATTATTATTATTATTATGACAATCTTTGCCTACGTTGTAAACATTCCCGGAATGTATTGTTATAGGTTGATGTCCAAAAAGATTAAGCAAGACGTAATGACAAATGGACTGCTCTCTTTGTTTGTGCTTCAATAAACTATCCAAAGAAAGTAATCTTGTGGAAGCACTTGAAAAAGGAAAAGGAAAAAAAAATCGGCGCTTAACGGATGTTTGTCAAATGATTATATTTCAAGCATATTTATTAATATTTCGCAAACTCTATTATATGTAATTTACGCAAATGTAGCTGTAAAGCTTCTAATATTATGTTTCACCATATTTTTGAGTTTATTTAATAAACTGAAACATGTAAAACTATAAAAGTGTTTTCATTTTCTTTAGCCTTTAACATGGTTTAACAAGAGGGCTGCATGAAAACAATAGTACTGTATCAGAGCTACTGTTGGTCTTGCATTAATACTGTGTGAGACTGTGGGCGTGTGAATATTGTGCCTAGTCAAAATAATAGTAGTTAAATATACAAACTAGTATAACTGTTGATACTTGTCATTGGTTTTTGAAGCAATCAGTGACCACCTAATACAAGTAAAATGCTCAATAAGATGGCACAAATAAGCAAAAAATAAAAAGAAAGAAAAAAACCTTTGGTGACAATTATTCATTTCACCAAGAACTGCGGTAACTATTTTAGCTTTATATAGCGAAGCACCATGAGTCCCTACACTCACAGGATATTACTTATTATAACAATAGTGATGACATGGGCATATTTATTTTTCTAGGCTGTTTAATTTTGGAATCCTTAATATCAATACAAATGCTTGGGTTATCTTTTATAGAGTTTTAAGATCTTTTTTTTTTATATGTTCCTTAATGCAAGAGAAGGCCTGAGCTTGTAAACATTTTGCGTTTTTTCTTGCCGAATGAAATTGGTTAACATTGGCACTATATTTGTGATCGCTTTTAAGATATGCGTGGATATGGATTGGTTTATAGATATATTTTAATAGATAGATAAAAGCAAAATACGTTTTACATGGCAAAGTGGATTAATTAATAGTCAAATATGAAAATATGGGATACAAATAATAAACAAATTTTCGAAAAGAAATGTATCTCTTTAATTGATTTACACTTAAATCCATGTACCCAAGACGGACATCAATGCAGCGCCGGCGTACATGGATCCAAATGAAATGACTTTGTTCATGGTAGTCGATCTGCGGAATGCAACGTTCTGATTGATTTCAAGGCTCATGAGAGAGATAAAGGCGCTATAAAGAAGAATACCAGCAGAAAGAGAGTCGAGGATAGCTTGAGCGAGGATAAAAGAGCTAGAATTTGCGGGGAAAGCACTATGGACACCAACGCCGATGGCCATACCAAATGGGGTTATGATGAGGAAGAAGGCTCCCATAATAGTTGGTTTTATCCATCCCTTAAATTCAAGTTCATTGATACGAGTTCCAAGTGCAACACCCTCAAAGAACTAGAAGGCGTGAATTAGTAAATGGGCTTTTATGCTTCTTCCAATACACATTATTCTTTCTTACCTGATGGAATACTAGTGCGATCAGGAGAGTAATAAATCCATGGTTTCCGGTTGTGCCAACAGTAATACCAATGATAATAGAGTGTACCAAGATACCCAGCTCAAGGATAAATGTACCCATATTTCGCATCATCTTTTCATCGTTTTCAAGGAACCCAGCACTGTGAATATGTCCGTCAGTAGAGAAACCGTCGTGGTGGTGTTCATGTGGGCTTGCATCTTCTTTCTTAATAGCGGATACAGTCTTGGTATCGGTACGCTCGTCAATGCCGGCTTGCTCTTCTTCAGTTTGTGCGGCAAGAGCACGTCTCTTGGCCATAGCCTCCATATTAGAGATGGCACAAAGTTCGATAAGTTGAAGGCCAAAAGAAGCAACCATACAAAACACGCCTGCATAACCTGGATATGTTTTCCATCCAGCACTGAGACATGGACTACTGAAGTGACCAAATGCTTCAGGCAACATGTGGATAAAAGCGGTACCCGAGATTACTCCTGTACCAACTTATACATAGTATATGATAAGTATTTTTGGTTCATTTAGCACTCGTATACATTTATACTCACAGAACTTTCCAATATTGAGAAAATGTTCGCGGAATCCACCAGCTTTGTATGGAAGGACACGGAAGAGAACAATTGGAGTGAATACGCCTAACAGAACCAGATATATTAGAAATATAATTAAATAAATTGTATACTACCAAAAAATTGACTTACCAAGTCCACTTGTGACTAAAATGAGGAATATACTTCCAATGCGTAGTGGAAGATTGTAAGTTTCGGTAGGTAAGGAATTACATACAACTGCCGTTAATTCTATAGTATGAGATTTGAGGTAGTTTTGATTAGTTCATTTTTTTGTTTTAAATTAATTGGCATATAAACAAAGGCTGTTATGATACTGATATTAACAGAATATTAAAAATTACATACGTTGTGCTTGGGCAAGATTTATTAATGCAAGAAATAAGAGTGCCAAAAGGCAGCTTGATTTGGTTGACTGCATTGTGGTATTGAGATAGTTAAAGAGATGAATGAAGAAAACCAAGTGCAATACACTCAGTATTTATAGTAAATGTGTCTACTATGAATGCATATACCCAATAACCAGAGGGTTAATACTGAACTCACTTTTTTTGAGCTTTTTGTGCCTAAGCCAATCAGCAAAAGCAAATTATGTGTGTCTGTCACAATTCGACTACTTTGTAATCTTTAAGATGCCTGACCTCGAGAAATTGCCTTCTATTGTTTCCATGAATCACAACTATCTCCATCTTTTTTTTTATTTGATCGGATCAAGATATAAAGTAGCAATATACTGTGTTTGGGATTATACTCTGTATGAAACTGCTGTTGTCACCTCAGATTTATTACTAAAAGCTTTGTACTTAAGAGCAGGACATAAACACGATATGTTTTTAAGAAGATTTCTGATTATATTGTCAACGTTGTTATCCTAAGATAAAAATCAGCAAAATCAGATATCTCTTTAACACTGTCTTTTATTTTATATACTCTAGTTTTATATGGTCAGGCTCATAAGTTTTTTTCCTCGAGCTATTTCTTTATAAATTTCTGTAGTTAAGGAATTAATATGTACTAGGCAGAAATAATAATATAACCAGAGTTAAACTATCGAGCTTAATACAGTTACTCTACAGAATTTTATTGAAAAGTAAAAGTAAAATTTTACAGCTCTATGTTAATGCCTTCATCAAAATAATCCAAGTTATTGTAAGCTGTTACAAACAATTTATGTAAAACAGTAAAAATTACGCCCAATTCATACTGTCAAGTATGATGTTTGCGGATATAATATTTTATGAGGAGAGGTTAGAAGGGGAGGCACGGAAATGACGGTTATTACATCCGGTGCATAGTACCATATTCAAGTACATGACATGCGCCAGTCACCATATGTGAGTACTTTGGTCTGGGACACATATCTAAATGGGGAAACATGATCAGAGGGGTAACTTAGAAAAACCCCGGTAAATCTGAGAGAATTGACTAAACTACAAGGCTGCACGAATGTATATACTTAACCGGAGAATAATGGGTGCCACTTTTGTAACATAAATCATAAGGTTTTTGTTATATTTTTTTAGCCATATATTAAAAACCTATAAAAATAAATCTGATAATCTTCACTGGTGAAACATTAGATTTTATTGTCTATGTACTAAAAGTTATAGAATAAATCTGATAATTTTATCTCGTGGAACATGAGATTTTATTATAAATATATATTAAAATCATGGTAAATCTGATCATTGTTAGTGGAACATGCTTTCATAATATATATAACTATTATATTCACAAAGTAAATCTGACAATTGTCTCTAATAAAGCCTTTGTTTTCATGAAGCTGATGTGATCAGCTCAGATTTCGTAGTAGAAACTCTAGACTTGAAATTAAAAAGAGATCAACACGATATGTTTTTGGGAGATCTTATTTTTTCCAATCATATGACATTTATGAGTCTTATATTTTATGAGGAGAGGAGAAGACTAGACATGCTGTTTCAGATCAGTGATAATCTTGCAATACTTTTAGCAAAAGCAACTGTTTAAGCAAAATTGTGCTTAAGATGAGTGATTAAAAGCAAATAGATTAATGGAAAATTCCCTGCTGTCAAGCGTTTTGTGCCTTTTATAGCACCTTTCTTTCTTTACTTATTTAATACGGTTAAGAACAGTAATTATATAGATTTCATTTTATATTGTGTTTTGATATAAAGCTGTACCGGAACGCAAGGAACATAATGGAACAAAATCCGGTCTTAAATTCGAATGGGTATACTAAGAAAAAAAGCATGACAAAGAAGAATATATCAAGGTGGAGATGTTGAAAGGAAGGACATAAAATACAGTTATTCTACCCGGTGGACAGTACCATATATAAAAACTAGACACAAAATTGGCCACAAGTATTAGGGCTCAGTATTGGGAAATATGACCAGAGAGCCAGTCTAAAAACTAGCCATGATTTGAGAGAGTTGGCTGCTTGGCTCCAGAACGTGTAACTAGCTGACCTTATCCGGAGAAAAATGGGCACCACACTGTGCTATATTAAAGTAATTCTACGTAAAGAATATCATAGTTTTGTGGCTATTGCTAGAAAATAAACATAAAATAGCACTTCAAGGTTAGCATAGATACACAAGAACAAGTACTTTTATAAAAGCAAATTATGCCTTAGTAGGTTTGTCAGCTGGCCAATGCTTTACTCTGTTTTCTTTTACATATTTTTCTATTTTAAAAGAAGTGCTTTATAGCGAATTCAGAAAAAATATTCTTTGAGATTCTTTTATACCATAGTTGCATACTCATAAATGTATTCTTACCTTTAATAAATATTTCCATATATGTTGAGAAGCTGCTCCTGCATGGTGTACGGTTTGGGGTGGTATAAAAGTGCATTTTCAGTATATGTGTGACCGATTTAATTAATGATTGGTGCCACTATGAAGATACGATTTTATTTTATGTAGTAAAAAGTGCGGAACTACCTTAGATTAAAGATATGATATCTATCCGGTTTTACGGATGTTACCTTGTATAAAACAGAATATTATTATTTTAGTATCTTACAGTAATAAATAATTAATTAATTTTACAGTGGAAAATATTTTATCATTCTCACAACTGTAATATATATATATATATATATATCTGTGATTTGTTTTATATTCCTAAGTATTGTTACCAGATAATCCAATATAGACAATATAGCGTACATGGGTATAGACTACATCGTTTTTACCTGGATACTTTTATAACAAAACTTTGATGTAAGCTTTATGCATCCCATATAGAGTTAATAGAGAAGTTATAATAAAGAGCATTAGTTGTGGTAGGTGGGTATGTAAAAAAGGAAAGTCTAAAGGTACCTATTATCCGGTTTAGGAGTGTGGCGCGATGATTGATAGCCAATCACAACGCTGTAGAACTTGTTGCTTGCACCGAATATACATTTTGACGCACATGTATCTCTTTGAGAAACTAGACAAACCTTTAGAAGTTTTTTTATGAAACAAAGTATAGATGCTAAAATAGCTACTTAGAATCAACAAAAATGCCATTAATTTATATTAACAGTTTATTCATAGAAAAAAAAACAAAGAGTACCCAAATTATTTTGCTCAAAACCAGTGATATGTATAAATATTATGAATATGCAAGTTTTTATTATCCTTATTAGCATTGTTTTTCAAAAACAAACAGACGGATATATGTAATGGTCTTTTTGGGATTGGGTAACAACTTATGTATTTGATTAAACAGACAACTACAGGCAACTAAATATACTGTTTATGATGTTATACAATTTATAGAAACAATTATAGCTTGATATTTTCTAAGATGAAACTCTTAAGTTTGCCCATGTAATGCAGCCCAGAACATTATTACGCTACACCCACAAGTATCTCCCGAGAATATTGCTATAGTAGGGGTTTTGCCTAGTAATAAATTGTTATACATATTCTTTCTTTGCAGTAAAACTCTTTTAGAAATAGTTATAGTTTCTAAAAGACATTGATATAAGTGATAAAGGAACATTGAATTGTTTTTAAAAAGATGCTCACATTCTAGAGATGAAACCATCTTCTTTAAATAATAATACTAATTCAATAATATTGTTTGAGACAATCTTATGAATATTTGCATATTCAGCATTATCATTAGCTATACCTTTAATACATCCCCACCGAAAAATTTAACACAAAGAAAAAGAAAGAATTCTATTAAAATATAGCGGTTGTAAGGAAGAGTATTTGCAGACTCCTATAAAAATACGTACATTTTAAAAATATGCTCTAGTAGATTTTCTTAGCTAAAATACACCTTCTCTGGTGTTATGAAAAATATAATATTCATTAAAACCTTTCTGTATGCAAGATACTAGCATAATTGCTAGGTCATTGCCTAATTAGATTTAAGCATTCATTTATACTAGACTCCAGAATATACTATTTTCCTTCAATACATTTATATAACTTCTGCATAATAGATATACAAACAGAGAAATATATAAAAAAAAGACATAAATTTTGATGCTATATCATGTTTATCATATACGATTATAGCTTAAAACTTTTAGTATTATTCTCAATAGTAGAGCTAATGCAAGAAAAAAAAAGAAAAAAAAAAACCAAGTGGAAAATACCTATCAACATATAACTAGATATTTAAATAATGTATTCAACGCAGCTTGTGGATACAATGAGCTTTTTATTGGAAGAGATAGTTAAATTAAGGCTTTACAAGCAGTGGATACTTATACATGCGCTCACAACAAAACCATTCATTTGAATGGGTTTCAAGACGGTATATTGTTCAGCTGTATATTATAAAGTATTTAAGCTCTACCATACACTTCATACATGGAAAGCATACTTAGTACCAGATATTTATATATCCTATATTAAGGATTCCAAAATTAAACAGCCTAGAAAAATAAATATGCCCATGTCATCACTATTGTTATAATAATAAGTAATATCCTGTGAGTGTAGGGACTCATGGTGCTTCGCTATATAAAGCTAAAATAGTTACCGCAGTTCTTGGTGAAATGAATAATTGTCACCAAAGGTTTTTTTCTTTCTTTTTATTTTTTGCTTATTTGTGCCATCTTATTGAGCATTTTACTTGTATTAGGTGGTCACTGATTGCTTCAAAAACCAATGACAAGTATCAACAGTTATACTAGTTTGTATATTTAACTACTATTATTTTGACTAGGCACAATATTCACACGCCCACAGTCTCACACAGTATTAATGCAAGACCAACAGTAGCTCTGATACAGTACTATTGTTTTCATGCAGCCCTCTTGTTAAACCATGTTAAAGGCTAAAGAAAATGAAAACACTTTTATAGTTTTACATGTTTCAGTTTATTAAATAAACTCAAAAATATGGTGAAACATAATATTAGAAGCTTTACAGCTACATTTGCGTAAATTACATATAATAGAGTTTGCGAAATATTAATAAATATGCTTGAAATATAATCATTTGACAAACATCCGTTAAGCGCCGATTTTTTTTTCCTTTTCCTTTTTCAAGTGCTTCCACAAGATTACTTTCTTTGGATAGTTTATTGAAGCACAAACAAAGAGAGCAGTCCATTTGTCATTACGTCTTGCTTAATCTTTTTGGACATCAACCTATAACAATACATTCCGGGAATGTTTACAACGTAGGCAAAGATTGTCATAATAATAATAATAATAACTATAATAAATATAATAAAAGTAGAATAAAAGACATGGAAGTTTTGTTTGACCTGTGATGGGAAATGTTCGATTTGTGTAGTAATGTTCAACAATTACTGGAGAGCAATTACGCAAAAACTCTTGACACAGCACTAAAGCGCTATCATGCTGTAATAAATTCAAAAAGCGAAAGTTGGATAAAGATTAAGCATGAAGATCTACCAAGAGCCTCCACGATCCAATTGTACAAAAAGATTCCTTCCGAGTCTGACATTGGAACGGACACCTACAAAGTTGTACTTGAGTGTCCAAAGAAAGACAGGAGCTGGTCTTTGGATGACTGGAGAAGCGTATTTGATACACCAGGCCTTCGTTCACTCTGTAAGTGCTTGGCACACGAACTATTCAGATGAGATCAATGGTTTGAGACTGTGTGATAGGGGATCAGCAGGTAGAGAGTCATAGTGTTCTCAGAAGACCCGAGCCGCACACAGTTATTGCTCACACAAAGTACAAAGACCAGAGGCAAGTGAGAGAGCCGTTGTATTGGAACAGAAATATTGATACAGTATTCTAGCGGAAAGCTCACTGACCAAGTGTGGATCGAAAAGTCGATAAAGAAGAAAAACACTATAAAGTTTATAGCAGCCCCTACTCCGGATCCTTCTTTATTTGGACTACCCAAAGGATCTACGAGCTCCTGTTTAATGATGGGATACATGGTACAACTGGAGCCATCTCACCCTTTTGTAGGCAGCCGGGTAACACTCTACTATGAACTGAACAACAAAGCAGCTTCCACTTACTCTCTCGAGAAATATCTTTTATCCCTAATTACCTCTCCTCTGATTACACTTGACAAACATGGGCCTCCTCCACATATCCAATACATGAATAGTGTTATCCTGGAGAGCAATCACTACGACCCAAGCAGCCACATCTGGAAATTGACTTATCAAACACAGCCTGACGAAGATCTCTCAGCCTCAGTCGGTAGTATCACCATACGTTCCCACAAACACTCTCAATGGAATTCTCATCTGGCTGAGAGATCCACGTCTTTACCTTTGGCTTCCTTACCGCACAATAACAAATTCATGTCATCTTCACTCATGTTTTCTCGTACAAAAGCATTTGGGACTCATCCCCTCGCTTATTCACCAGACAGACATACTTGCCAACTCGCCTCTAACGTAGCACCGCATCCATCGTCTTGGCAAGCAAACACTACAGAATCTTCTTGGGAAAGAGACACGCTAGAAAATCATGGAAACACAGCATGCCTAGAAATTGCAATTGAAAGAGAGAGGTGGTTTAAAGGCCATGGATTGAATTTAACTGTCAAGGTTGAGTGGATAGATTCCAATAAACCCACCTGTCGTGATCTATCTGACAGATACGCACATGTGTGTGTACGTTACTTGAAGCATCCACACAAGAATCGCTACTGGATAAGCATAACACACCCACCGCAACTCTCAGATTATTTAATGGACCAAACAGATGAGACCCCTATTGATTTACAGGATGAAGATGATCATGGCATTAGAGTCACTCTTGAACTTGCCGAGATTGAAGAAACTGGCTCTGAGCAGTTTTTGTTAAACGGAAATGTCTGGCCAATACGCACATGTAACTCCCAATCATGTGTATCAGATAGTAATAGTGCCAGTAGTGAAACTGAATCTGAATCTGAAGACGAGTCAGAGCAAGACGTATTTGTGGATGGCATGGAGGAAGTCAGGCCAGTTCCGGTAGAAATACAAGTGTCTTCTGAACCTGAACCGGAGTCAGAGCCAGAGCCAGAGCCTGAGCTAGAGCCTGAGCTAGATCCTGAGTATGAACATGAACATGAACATGAAGAAACTGTTTTTGCAGAATCACTGTAAGTAGGATGTCTATGAACGTCTATGTATTTGTTAGTATGTGTGCCTAAATACATCTATTTCGCTTTTATGTATGTTTTCCTTTTCCTTTTTCTTCTTCTCTTTGATGCGCAGTGATCCCAAGCCAAGGATAGTTTTACCGGATGTATTTCCATGTACTCCACACGTGCCCACTACAGATCCACCTGCTATTTTAAAAGCAAATGCACTGCTTGATACACTTTTAGAAGATACTAGATGGAAGACAATCAAAGAGCCAGCAGATATCAACGAAAGCATTACCATCAAACACTTAGAGCTTCCGGAAAACTCGACTGGTGTATTTCTCAGTCAGTCGACTTGGCAAAACTGCAGTATATGGGACATAAAAGCTGTTATTGAGTGTGTAGGAGCGCAGAAAATATGTAAGACATTTGTAGACTTGATGTAATATTGTTGTCTTATACAGTATGATACTACAGGGAACAACACATTAGAAGATTGTGTCTTTCTCTACGGAGTCTCACCTACATGTTCTTTGTGGCATACAAAGGTTAAAGGAAACTGGGCACAAAGGTAAGATTCGATAATTAATCAATCGATTTTTTTTTAAAAATTAAGATGCCTATTTGTCTATATATCTATCTATACATACATACATACATACAACAGTGCCTTAGATTATATCTCACTTTACGCACAGTACGTCTCTCCGGGGCGTATTGATCTGTGTGCAACTTCTTATCCCAACGATTCATACAACCACCACCCACTTCCAAAAGAAAAACGAGGGGTCACAAGAGCATCGGTTGATCTTGTTGGATGGAGACTTGAGCGTCTTTCATCTTCGACCGTCAGTGTCAAATATGTTCAACAATCTACACAGCAAGGCTGGGTACCACCATGGCTGGTCCAAACATCACTCCAAAGCCCTATTCTCAACCAAAAGGCTCGTTTCTTTCTTGAGGAGTTTGGTGCACCTCCCAACCTTGAAAATCTGATGTGTGGCAAGCGACTAATGGTTCATTATGACCATGAGAAGACCACATGGAGAGCCGAGTATTCTCGCTCGTCTCTTCCATCAGACACCGTGTCCGAAAATACTCTAGCAGTTATTAGATTAGACCATCGTAAGTGGGCTAATGGTCAGTACCGAATTGTCATTGACCCTCCGCCTTCGAGCACAAAAGCGATAAAGCGCTGGAGTGATCCGTCTGGTGTCTGGCTGGAAGTTGAGCACGAAGAGGAGTTCATAATTCCGCAGCGTGGCAAAATCTTGATTATTATCAAACCTCAAGATGAGCCAGGATTGACAGTTAATGGATCACTTCTTGAGGTACAAGAGCAAGACGTTGTACTTGATCAATTGGAAGATGTTGATGATGTAGACGATCAACCAACATATTCAGACAAACTGCCACTCGTTAAAGAGGAAACTGCTCAAGTAACTCGCCGGGAACCAGAAGAAGGAAAAGAAGAGACGCCAGAAAGTGCTCTTGCAACCCTTGGAGAAGCTCCGGTAGTTCAGTCTAATGCAGCAATGCAGCTGTTAAAACAAATAGGTGACCAAGAGTTTGGATGGACCGTTATTGGAGACAAGAATGGATTGAAAATTATGAAAAAGTCGGGTGAAAAAGTGGGACAGAATTCAAAAGGATTACATGCTGTTGTGGGAGAATTAGAAGATGGTTCGCCGGATGAAATCTCACGGTTAAAAGCCGAGCTCAAGGTTTATGACCCATTTATGATTTACAAGGCTTCCAAGGTCATTGAAGACTTTTCGCTAGAAGAGGTTACCTCTGTGGTGACAGATTCAGGAAACGTGCGCCGATTGTTTGACGAGTCTGTGGAATCGACCGAGATAGTACAACGTGTCAAACAAGGATGCAACGTCGTTTATCAAGTTGTGAAATCAGTATTCCCTTTCAAGTAAGCTTGATGGTTATATATATATACACATATATACATAAGAAAGATAATAACGCATTAACGAAAACATCATTTATAGATCGCGTGAATTGTATCTAAGCACCTGTACAGCCAGTGAGAGCCTCAATTCTATTACAAATCCTTCTTCTAAACGCATCTTGCATGTTGAGACCTCTCTTGTCAAGTTCCCAGTATTCAAGAAAGCTAAATATCCAAGAGGCCGCATTTTCGTAGCTGGCTGGATTCTTGAGCCGATAGACCCTTATACGACCGCAACAAACCATCCCATACCTTCAGTTCGCGTCACTTATGTGGTATCAATGGACCTTGGCCCTCCTATACCTTCTTACATAAGCAATTTCTTGGCCTCTGGACTCTGTAAGCAGATACAGACAGTCGAGACATATCTCAAGAAAAAAGGCCCGCCTCCTTTTCTTGTTCAGCCATCCAGTATGCTTGAATTTGAGAATAATATACTTGTGGAAACTTTAGATCCTATACTTGAACAAAGTAAAATGCAATGGACTAAAATTGAGTCTGCTTTTGATGAGTCTGCACGTCGTCTGAATGTATCGTGTAATCTATGCATCGGAAAACGGTTGCTTTTATCTGAGAAGACAGGCAAGGCAACAACAACAACAACAACAACAGCAACCCCTTCTCTTTCTGTGTCATCATTCTTTGGCCCTTATGATAATCGTAGGCCAAGTCAATCGAATATGGAAAGGCATAGTTCAGTTGTTGGACTTGGATTAATATCTCCTGGTGGTCAAAAGAAAGTCCACGAAAGTACCTCATCAAGTTCAATAAGCTTATCCGACTCAACACTATACCATCGCAAACATACAGATACTAAACTAGTATTTGCATACATAGTGTTGGATCTTCAAAAGTTTCCCAAAGGTTATGAGATCATTTGTCACTTAAATCGTGTGTCTGCAAAACATGATCCTTTGTATATATCTGATCGACTAACAATCCATGTATCTGAGCTTGCCCCTGAGCCATCTCATTTGATTGCGAATGAAGGCAAAAAGATACCAAAAAAGCACTCCCTGGTTGTTAAAATGCAAATAGCAGGATTACTTCCAACTGTACAAGAATTGGCAGAGCTAGATTACAACTTTGTATTAACCCTCGAGCCTGTTAAGGAGGAGTATCTGCAAAAGAAAGGCCCCCAATTGACGGTTGCTGCAGTGCTCGGTGAGGAGAGTGACAAATGGGATGGCACAATACTAGTTAACGGACGGGAAATAACGCTTGGGTCAGACATTAAAGTAAAATGTAACAACAAATCCCACGAGAGCGGAATTGAGGACTTGGGATGTGGTGGTCAAAACAGCGCAGACAATGATATGGATGGTTTGCATGACAGCCCTACTAGAGATTCGAGTGAAGATCTTGTGGATCCAGGTGAAGTAAAGGATCTTACTATGGCACACTATGTAGGCGGAAGTGTAGTTGCCGCAGCATTTGGTGGTGTTTCAGCTGGAGTTAATGTAAGTTTGCTTTTAAAAGCATTCTCTCTTTAAGTAAATGGATATGTGTGTGTGTGTGTGGGTATATGTGCATGTAATTACTCAGATTTATTAATGGGTTTGAGAAGGGATTCTGTGCACACATGCCGTTCACATTTCGGACAAGCTCCCCGGCAACGACAAGTACCACCAGAGAAACTGTCCACTCTGGAGAGCACAGTATGCGTACAGGTGAATTACATGATCCCAGATCTGGTTATCTGGGAATTGCGCAAGAGAGAACTCCAAGTCCTCAAGAGAGAGTCATCGAGAGAATACAGATGTTATCTCTATCTTCTGTTGATGTAACGCCTGGATCTGTCAAGAAGGTGTTATTGATTCTCACAATGTGCATTTGTCTCGCTATTGTACTGGCTCTTCTGATGCTCCAACCAGTTGTAAGATCATCCGATCAAACACCCTTGGACACAGAATACTTTTCAGGCGGTTCTTACACATCCAATTATGGCTCCACCTTGGCACATCGACTATGGAACATGCCTTGGTTTGGTGGTTGGGAAATACAGATTATTGCTATTAGACGTAATGCTCTTTGACCTATTTTTTTTGCAAAAAAAAAAAAAAACATACATACATATACATATAATAAACCGCATGTTCCTTCTATAATTCACATCGTGTTTTTGAAATAGGTATTGTTATCCCTAATACTATTTTTTGTCGGGACCACGTCAATTAAATTACATATAACCACATACTTTAACTGTTAAAAACCATGTATTTTGTATTTTTGTTTTGGGTTATACACGGAATATATACATACTCTATAATTTGTAGCATATAAATAGAATATATCTCTTAGATAGAGCAATATTCAGATGCATAATTCTGTTGTGAGCGCATGTATAAGTATCCACTGCTTGTAAAGCCTTAATTTAACTATCTCTTCCAATAAAAAGCTCATTGTATCCACAAGCTGCGTTGAATACATTATTTAAATATCTAGTTATATGTTGATAGGTATTTTCCACTTGGTTTTTTTTTTCTTTTTTTTTTCTTGCATTAGCTCTACTATTGAGAATAATACTAAAAGTTTTAAGCTATAATCGTATATGATAAACATGATATAGCATCAAAATTTATGTCTTTTTTTTATATATTTCTCTGTTTGTATATCTATTATGCAGAAGTTATATAAATGTATTGAAGGAAAATAGTATATTCTGGAGTCTAGTATAAATGAATGCTTAAATCTAATTAGGCAATGACCTAGCAATTATGCTAGTATCTTGCATACAGAAAGGTTTTAATGAATATTATATTTTTCATAACACCAGAGAAGGTGTATTTTAGCTAAGAAAATCTACTAGAGCATATTTTTAAAATGTACGTATTTTTATAGGAGTCTGCAAATACTCTTCCTTACAACCGCTATATTTTAATAGAATTCTTTCTTTTTCTTTGTGTTAAATTTTTCGGTGGGGATGTATTAAAGGTATAGCTAATGATAATGCTGAATATGCAAATATTCATAAGATTGTCTCAAACAATATTATTGAATTAGTATTATTATTTAAAGAAGATGGTTTCATCTCTAGAATGTGAGCATCTTTTTAAAAACAATTCAATGTTCCTTTATCACTTATATCAATGTCTTTTAGAAACTATAACTATTTCTAAAAGAGTTTTACTGCAAAGAAAGAATATGTATAACAATTTATTACTAGGCAAAACCCCTACTATAGCAATATTCTCGGGAGATACTTGTGGGTGTAGCGTAATAATGTTCTGGGCTGCATTACATGGGCAAACTTAAGAGTTTCATCTTAGAAAATATCAAGCTATAATTGTTTCTATAAATTGTATAACATCATAAACAGTATATTTAGTTGCCTGTAGTTGTCTGTTTAATCAAATACATAAGTTGTTACCCAATCCCAAAAAGACCATTACATATATCCGTCTGTTTGTTTTTGAAAAACAATGCTAATAAGGATAATAAAAACTTGCATATTCATAATATTTATACATATCACTGGTTTTGAGCAAAATAATTTGGGTACTCTTTGTTTTTTTTTCTATGAATAAACTGTTAATATAAATTAATGGCATTTTTGTTGATTCTAAGTAGCTATTTTAGCATCTATACTTTGTTTCATAAAAAAACTTCTAAAGGTTTGTCTAGTTTCTCAAAGAGATACATGTGCGTCAAAATGTATATTCGGTGCAAGCAACAAGTTCTACAGCGTTGTGATTGGCTATCAATCATCGCGCCACACTCCTAAACCGGATAATAGGTACCTTTAGACTTTCCTTTTTTACATACCCACCTACCACAACTAATGCTCTTTATTATAACTTCTCTATTAACTCTATATGGGATGCATAAAGCTTACATCAAAGTTTTGTTATAAAAGTATCCAGGTAAAAACGATGTAGTCTATACCCATGTACGCTATATTGTCTATATTGGATTATCTGGTAACAATACTTAGGAATATAAAACAAATCACAGATATATATATATATATATATATTACAGTTGTGAGAATGATAAAATATTTTCCACTGTAAAATTAATTAATTATTTATTACTGTAAGATACTAAAATAATAATATTCTGTTTTATACAAGGTAACATCCGTAAAACCGGATAGATATCATATCTTTAATCTAAGGTAGTTCCGCACTTTTTACTACATAAAATAAAATCGTATCTTCATAGTGGCACCAATCATTAATTAAATCGGTCACACATATACTGAAAATGCACTTTTATACCACCCCAAACCGTACACCATGCAGGAGCAGCTTCTCAACATATATGGAAATATTTATTAAAGGTAAGAATACATTTATGAGTATGCAACTATGGTATAAAAGAATCTCAAAGAATATTTTTTCTGAATTCGCTATAAAGCACTTCTTTTAAAATAGAAAAATATGTAAAAGAAAACAGAGTAAAGCATTGGCCAGCTGACAAACCTACTAAGGCATAATTTGCTTTTATAAAAGTACTTGTTCTTGTGTATCTATGCTAACCTTGAAGTGCTATTTTATGTTTATTTTCTAGCAATAGCCACAAAACTATGATATTCTTTACGTAGAATTACTTTAATATAGCACAGTGTGGTGCCCATTTTTCTCCGGATAAGGTCAGCTAGTTACACGTTCTGGGGTCAAGCAACCAACTCTCCCAAACCATGATTAGTTTTTTGACTAGCTCTCTGGGCATATTTTCCAAGCTGGGTCCTAATAAGTCTGGTCAATTTAGTGCCTAGTTTTTATATATGGTATTGTCCACCGGGTAGAATGACTGTATTTTCTGTTCTTTCTTTCAACATCTCTACCTTGATATATTCTTCTTTGTCATGCCTTTTTATTAGGATAACCAATTGAATTTAAGACCGGATTTTGCTCCATAATATTCCTTACTTTCCGGTAAAATTTTATAACATAAAAGTTATATATTTACTGTTCTTAATTGTATTGAAGAAGTAGAGAAAGAAATGTGCTATAAGAGGCACAAAAAGCTTGACAGCAGGGAATTCTTAATTAATCTATTTGCTTTTAATCACTCATCTTAAGCACAACTTTGCTTAAACAGTTGCTTTTGCTAAAAGTATTGCAAAATTATCACTGATCCGAACCAACATTTCTAGCCTTCTCCTCTCCTCATAAGATATAAAGCTCAAAAATGTCATATGACTGGCAAGAATAAGATCTTTCAAAAACATATCGTGTTGATATCTTTTTAATTTCGTCTAGAGTTTCTACTACGAAATCTGAGCTGATCACATCAGTTTCATGAAAACAAAGGCTTTATTAGAAATGAATATCATATTTACTTTATGAGCTTAATATATATATATCTATATGTTAATATATATGTTAATATATCTTTTGATTTATAGTGGAATCATGTTCCACTAACGATTATCAGATTCACCGTGATTTTAATCTTTCTTTTTTAATACAATCTTATGTTTCACTAGATCAAATTATCAGATTTATTTTATAATCTTTAATACACACATACATTAAATTTTAATGTTTCACTAGTGAAGGCTATCAGATTTGTTCTTATAAGATTTTAATATATAGCTAAGAAATATAATAAAACCTTGTGATTTATGTTACAACATTGGCGCCCATTATTCTCTGGTTAAGTGGATATATTCGTTCAGCCTTGATGTTTAGTCAATTATTTTAGATTTACCGGGGTTTTTCCAAGTTGCCCACTCTGATAATGTTTCCCCATTTGGATTTGTGTCCCAGGCCAAAATACTCACAAATGGTAACTGGCGCATGTTATGCATTTGGATATGGTACTATGCACCGGATAGAACAACCGTAATTTCCGTATCCCACTTCTAACCTCTCCTCATAAAACATTGTGTCCGCAAACATCATACTGTCAAGTATGAATTGGGCGTAATTTTTACTGTTGTACATAAATTGTTTGTAACAGCTTACAATAACTTAGATTATTTTGATGAAGGCATTAACATAGAGCTGTAAAATTTTACTTTTACTTTTCAATAAAAGCCTGTAGAGTAATTTCATTAAGCTCGATAGTTTAACTCTAGTTAAGGAATTAGTATGTACTAGGCAGAAATAATAACATAACCACAGAAATTTATAAAGAAATAGCTCGAGGAAAAAAACTTATGAGCCTGACCATATAAAACTAGAGTATATAAAATAAAAGACAGTGTTAAAGAGATATCTGATTTTGCTGATTTTTATCTTAGGATAACAACGTTGACAATATAATCAGAAATCTTCTTAAAAACATATCGTGTTTATGTCCTGCTCTTAAGTACAAAGCTTTTAGTAATAAATCTGAGGTGACAACAGCAGTTTCATACAGAGTATAATCCCAAACACAGTATATTGCTACTTTATATCTTGATCCGATCAAATAAAAAAAAAGATGGAGATAGTTGTGATTCATGGAAACAATAGAAGGCAATTTCTCGAGGTCAGGCATCTTAAAGATTACAAAGTAGTCGAATTGTGACAGACACACATAATTTGCTTTTGCTGATTGGCTTAGGCACAAAAAGCTCAAAAAAAGTGAGTTCAGTATTAACCCTCTGGTTATTGGGTATATGCATTCATAGTAGACACATTTACTATAAATACTGAGTGTATTGCACTTGGTTTTCTTCATTCATCTCTTTAACTATCTCAATACCACAATGCAGTCAACCAAATCAAGCTGCCTTTTGGCACTCTTATTTCTTGCATTAATAAATCTTGCCCAAGCACAACGTATGTAATTTTTAATATTCTGTTAATATCAGTATCATAACAGCCTTTGTTTATATGCCAATTAATTTAAAACAAAAAAATGAACTAATCAAAACTACCTCAAATCTCATACTATAGAATTAACGGCAGTTGTATGTAATTCCTTACCTACCGAAACTTACAATCTTCCACTACGCATTGGAAGTATATTCCTCATTTTAGTCACAAGTGGACTTGGTAAGTCAATTTTTTGGTAGTATACAATTTATTTAATTATATTTCTAATATATCTGGTTCTGTTAGGCGTATTCACTCCAATTGTTCTCTTCCGTGTCCTTCCATACAAAGCTGGTGGATTCCGCGAACATTTTCTCAATATTGGAAAGTTCTGTGAGTATAAATGTATACGAGTGCTAAATGAACCAAAAATACTTATCATATACTATGTATAAGTTGGTACAGGAGTAATCTCGGGTACCGCTTTTATCCACATGTTGCCTGAAGCATTTGGTCACTTCAGTAGTCCATGTCTCAGTGCTGGATGGAAAACATATCCAGGTTATGCAGGCGTGTTTTGTATGGTTGCTTCTTTTGGCCTTCAACTTATCGAACTTTGTGCCATCTCTAATATGGAGGCTATGGCCAAGAGACGTGCTCTTGCCGCACAAACTGAAGAAGAGCAAGCCGGCATTGACGAGCGTACCGATACCAAGACTGTATCCGCTATTAAGAAAGAAGATGCAAGCCCACATGAACACCACCACGACGGTTTCTCTACTGACGGACATATTCACAGTGCTGGGTTCCTTGAAAACGATGAAAAGATGATGCGAAATATGGGTACATTTATCCTTGAGCTGGGTATCTTGGTACACTCTATTATCATTGGTATTACTGTTGGCACAACCGGAAACCATGGATTTATTACTCTCCTGATCGCACTAGTATTCCATCAGGTAAGAAAGAATAATGTGTATTGGAAGAAGCATAAAAGCCCATTTACTAATTCACGCCTTCTAGTTCTTTGAGGGTGTTGCACTTGGAACTCGTATCAATGAACTTGAATTTAAGGGATGGATAAAACCAACTATTATGGGAGCCTTCTTCCTCATCATAACCCCATTTGGTATGGCCATCGGCGTTGGTGTCCATAGTGCTTTCCCCGCAAATTCTAGCTCTTTTATCCTCGCTCAAGCTATCCTCGACTCTCTTTCTGCTGGTATTCTTCTTTATAGCGCCTTTATCTCTCTCATGAGCCTTGAAATCAACCAGAATATTGAATTCCGCAGATCGACTACCATGAACAAAGTCATTTCATTCGGATCCATGTACGCCGGTGCTGCATTGATGTCTGTTTTGGGTACATGGATTTAAGTGTAAATCAATTAAAGAGATACATTTCTTTTCGAAAATTTGTTTATTATTTGTATCCCGTATTTTCAACTTTGACTATTATTTAAGATATCCCACTATGTAAAACGTGTCTTCCTTTTATTTATTTATTATAATATATATATTCCCACATAACTTAAAAGTACCCACAAATATATCGTGAACTTTGATGAATTTCATTCGGTAAAAAGAAGAAAAAAGTTTACTAGCTCAGACCTTCTTTTGCATTAAGAAACATATAAGAAAAAAGGATCTTGAGACTCTATTAAATAAACACCAAGTATATATATACTTATATTAAGAGTTTCAAAATTAAACAGCCTGGAAAAATAAATGTGCCTATGTCATTACTATTGTTATAATAAGTGCTATCCTGTGAGTATAGGGACTCATGGTGCTTCATTATATAAAACTAAAATAGTTACCGCAATTCCTGGTGAAATTAATAATTGTCACCCAAAGTTTTTTTTCTTGCTTATTTGTGTCATCTCATTGAGCATTTTACTTACATTAAGTTATCACTGATTGCTTCAAAAACTAATGATAATTATCAGCAGTCATACTAGTTTGTAAATTTAACTACTATTATTCTGTCCGTGCACAATATGCATACACCCATAGTCTCGCTTAGAATTAATGCAAAACCAACAGTAGCTCTGATACAGTATTATTGCTTCTATGAGGCTATCCTGTTCAACCACATTAACAGCTAAAGAAAAATAAAGCAGTTTTATATTTTGCGTGCTTCAGTTTATTGAATAAACTAAAAAATACGGTGAAACATAATATTAGAAGCTTCACAGCTACATTTACGTAAATTACATATAATCGAGTCTGTAGTATAATAGGGAAGATTGTTTAATGGTATTTTGATTTCATTTATTTTGGCGTCTTAATTTTTTATATAGTTGCAGCATAAGAAAATAACAAGCTAAATTTGCAAAGTAATTTAGTTATGTTTGTTTTTTCAAATCTCCTTTCTTATAGGCCTTACACTACTGCTTCTGCTTGTGTCTAAATATATAGGTATGTTTTGCAATTTTCTTTCAAGTACCAAATACTTTCTTAGCACTACGAGAGAAACATGTGGTTTTATGGTTTCTCGACCAGCGGTTTAATGACGGATTTTATTCTATTACCGTGTTTTTTACTTGAGATTGAGACTAGTTTATATGTTTTATGGGCGAACTAGATTTAGGCTTTATACACCTTTTGGGACAGATATAGGAAAATATGTGCTTATTGTAGACAGTATTCATCTATATATTTGTTATTTAAACGTGATAAATTAGTTGCCAATATAGTTAACGCAAGATTCTACTCTTATATGTGAATATTACGACATTTTCTATTTGATCCAAACATAGCTTGTTACACCTATTTTTATTTTCTAAGATACTTATGAAATATTTGTGGTTTTTTATCAAGTAAATATTTATATAATGCTGATTTAGATCTCTCTATATATTTCTCATTAATATCAAACGTATATTAATATAAGAACTGACACTTTAAAGTATGATAGATTTAGGCAACAATGCATAAATTTAGTGAGCGATAATATAAGTATAAATTAGCTAAAGTATTTCTTTCTATTAAAGTAGAACCTTTCTTGACTTTCCAGAAATACATATATGCCGCCTGTGAAAAACCTTTGTACATTTTAGGTTTAAATTTTATATGTTTAGGGGACCTTTAGATAAAATACGCCCAGATCTATTCATTTTACTAGCTCGTGTATTATATATAAGCAACCGGCCGTTTACGTTCGATATTATTTTTAATGCCAAGACATTACTTCATAAATATTAGATCGAGCGTTTTGACTTTGGAACATATTAAATCGTATAATATTATTAGATCGTTTAATTTACTGATCTCTATCAAATCTGATGTTTTACATTTTAACGTGTCCCAATAAATGCCTATAACATTAATATAGTTTTGAAATGTCATGAATGCATTCTTTTTACTTAAACCTTGTCTGTATTCTTATGAGAAATATAGTATTAGATCAATGCCTAAATAATGTACTGTACAACTCACGTTATATAATAAATGATGTATACATAGACACAAATACTCGGGAACTTTATGAATTTTTCTTTTGCAAAATCCATTTCATTGAAACATCGATTTTTTAGTGTAGGCCTACATATCCAATTTATATTCTATTTAAGTATCAAAAGTTATATTGAGCGCCTTTCCCTTATCTTAGTTACTTTTTTTTATTCGGCTTATTTCCACATACCAAGGACTTTATATCAATAAGATCAGCTGTAAACTTACTAATAGAAATTCTCCTCCGTACAACTTTAAATCCAATGCTATAAACCTTAAAGTGAAAGGCAAGAAATGGGTCTTTTAGTCCACAAAACCTTGTTAGATATCCTTTTATTTTCTTCTGGTTGAAGCGTATTAACCATACTACTCGTGTCACAGCTTGACCAAAGCAGTAGCCTAGCTCGGGATGAAAGTCAAGAGAGTTTTGCCGAGGTGTACCTGAACAGGGAATATTTACTTTTGTATTGCTTAAATTTTCCTTTTTTATCATTTATTTTTCATTGATAGACTTTAATATGCTACCCACTTAATAATTGAGCAACAAATATGACCATACACATAACCACAAAGGATCAAGTCAATTTAATCCCATTTATCAATTATCGGAATGATTGCACTGTAATACTGATAGAATATTCTTTTTTTAAACCTACTTCTTTGAAGAAAAGCTAAGAAACTTTTATTTTATAATAAGAGTGTTATTGAAATAATTGATTATTTGATCGATTCGGACTGTTTCGGAGACGTTTATTTAACTCTTTCTTCTTTGTTACATAAAAAGGGTCTCTTTTTGTCTGAATTCTTCTACAAAACTTCATTCTCAGTCTATTTACTAGAGTTTCTTTATTCTCAGTCCTTGAAAATGGTAATTAATGGGGCCTTTGTTTTTACAGTGCTCACCTCATCGTTTTCTGGAAAGTAATATGGCTCATGATTTTTCTGTAAAGAGCGTTTTTTCTTTATCGAAAGACAGCTATATAATTGGTGTCTTTCTTGTGGTATGCTTTTTTTATATATCATATAGCTTTATCGGGAGCTTTCAAAGCATTTTCTTTTTTGTAACATGGTACCATAAGCGAAAAATCTTGATGAAGTATAAAAGTTTAGATGTTCACAAAAATATCATTTCCGACACATTTTTATGTAAAAGTCGGCAAATTTCGGGCAGATTCTCATTTTAGCGCTGCTGGTAGCAATTGACAGGTACTCGGTCACTCATTCTGCATCCCATCAAACCTTGATTTATTTTAGTTCCATTTTAGGAAATAAAAAGAGACCACTTTTCTTTGCTCTTATGGGCGACTGCTTGGAAAAACGCCACTATTCATTTATCTGGCTTTTTATACGTTGCACAATCAATGGAAGAAAACGTGGTAGTAGCACATACATACGATAAAGGTTCTAGTGGACAATACGATATTTATACAAGACAATGTGTACATAGTCTAGAACAAATAAAAGACCAGCATAAAATAGACCGGGTATTAACAAAAAGAAGGTGCACAAGATTGTATATGCTTATTGTGTACTTTGTTTAATTGAAAGGGGGCAGATCTACAGATCTACGAAAAGCTTACAAGAATATTCATGCTAAAGCTATCAAAAGCGAAAAGAACTTTTGATAAGCATGAGTATTGGTTTTGATCCAATTCATCATAAGCCACTAGCCTGTTTTATTGTTAAATTCAGACTGAAGCATTGGCCTCACCAGTTAGTGCAGGGCGTAGTCATATACCATAATTTTTATGTTTATAGTCGTACGTGTACAATCTTACATGACGCACTTGTGGTTAAGCAGCCATGTCTGTGACACGTCTGGGTAATGAATTGGCCATAATGTGTCCGAGAAATTACGAGCTTGCAAAGATCGACAGTAGAAGAGGTTTATGGCCACTCACCAAGCTGTTATTTATAAGAGCGGCAAGAAATCAAGTGGAACATAGCAAATCTGAGAATCGAATGTTTCCGATCATGCTCTCTACAATTTTTAAAGGCTCCAATGATCTATAGCTTTTTTTTTTTTAAAAAAAAAGCTAAAGTTTCAAGAGGATCACTATAACAATTTAAACGATATTGTGGTGCAAGAACCTACTACAAGTTAATTATGAATCGCAAAACAATAACATTCCACCGATGTACCTGAGAAGAATAATTTCTTTTAGTGATTTAATCCACATGAGAAAAAGAAAACAGAATATAACCAATGAGGGGGTTGCATGGTTTAACTCTATACTCACGCCTTTAACTGTCATTAACCACAGGTGTTTCAGAGGAGTTGTAATAGCAAAAATAGAATAAAACCTGTCTAGTCAAATGGATTATTCTATTTTGACCACCCTTTTTTTTTTACTCTTCTTATCATATAATTCTGCAGCATACGATGCCTACTAGAGAGAACTCTCACCATACCCACGGCGTCTCCCTATCTAATATTGTCAATCATTTTCAAAGTAACTCTAATGCCAACAATCCTTCACCACCACCAACAGCAATTCAAAGAACATATCGAGTTCACTCCACACAGCCTCTTCCAAACCAGTTCTTGGATGACGAAGATGAAGAGGCTATGATTGGAGCCCAAAATCTATACCGAAACTGTAATTTGGAAAGAAACGATTCAAGGTTCTCATTATTTGGAAGGACCACTTCCCGCCCATCATCTTCACATAGCCGCCAGTCGAGCACCTCCTTAGGGTCTCTCTTCAGAACAGCAAGCAGATTATCTAGACCACCAACATACCAGCAGTATGATAATCCAGCCGACGCTGACCAACACCGTAATGACATAGAACGCCTACACCGACTAGAAGAGCTCTATCGGCTTCAACATGGAAATGATTATCAAGCAAACAGGACCTCTAACAACTATTCCAGAAGATATTCAGAAGATCACGCCAATCAAAGCTCTTATTCAGGCTGGAAAGAAAAGATTGGGCGCTTCTTACTGAATCAGTTCCGTGGCCTTTTTATTGCACTCTGGATGGTGGTGTTTGTATTTGTAGGGTGCTTGACAGTATTTTTGCCTCTTCCAGAAGCAGCCTACGCTATGTGGGCTCCTTTAGTACTTTATGTGATCGGAGTCTTGATCGTCAACACCTCTGATCGCAGAAGGGCACGTGAAATGGCCACATTACGACAACAAGTTGGTGAAGCCCGCAGAAGAAGAATACAAGAACTATTGCAGGCGATGAATTTGCCTGAAAATCACTACTTTGAAATTCAAGATGATCCAAAACACCACGGGCATCCTGTAATGACGTTATTGCCACCGCCACCAGAATATCAAAATCAATTTCCAAACGAAAGAGAGACAAGCTAGCCTTATGATCATCATGTACTTTGTTTTCATTCGACATCAATACATACACGCACATACACATAATGGATTCTTCGATTAAATTTACGCATGAGAGTCTTTTTTTTTGCATGTGTGCCGTATTAATATTCTTGCGCGCTTTAAAATTATCCTTACCTATTATGAACGTTGAACGAAAGCATGCGAATCAGTACAACCAAAACAAATCTCTTTCAGTCTATTTACATCATTAAAAAGAAAACATTCGAATTATACTTTAAAATAAACATAACTTTATGGAAGGCTGTCTATCCTTAGAATTGGCGGTGGAGTGTGTAGAGAGTCTGTCATTCATAAAGAAGTCAACTATTGGGTGGTTAAAATAAGCAATTTTAAATGAAAAAGAAGGTTACTAAATATTAATAAGGATAATAGCTCTTAAAAGACATATATTTAGCTTGGGAAATTACAAAGATTTGAGTTGGTATTATTCCATACCCTCAGATACCTCTGTTTAAAGCCAAGGTTTAGTTTGATTGACATAATCTATCGTTAGAAGAAAAAAAAGAAAGAAAAAACAGAAACCTGGAGGACACTTTGTGGTCGTACCGACTCGCATCTTTGTACTAATGGTAAAAAAAAAACCTCCAAGGCCCATATTAACGTTTACAATGTAACTATACATGCACACACTTAAAACGCTCACTAATGAACAGGCGTCTGTAGATAACGATCTCCAAGGACAATGTAATGGATTAAATACTTCTTCATTAATGATTCTCATCCCCTGACACTCTGCAGCGCTCAGATACAGCCGCATAATTTTACTCTTCACTGGTACAGGCAGCGAATATAGGTTTACCCAAGGTTCTGTCACTACATTATGATTTTATACTATTTTTATAAAAAGTGCTGTATTCTGCGGTGGGAAGATCGTCACTACTAATCAGCTCTGTAAATTCATGGTTATATAACCAATGCAAACTTACTTTCTGAATCATGTTTTGTTAATAAAAGACACGGAACCTTTCTATTAAGGTTTTCCCTACCAAGCTCAACATACGCTGTAAGGTCACTGATAAAGACTTTGTTTTAAAGAGCTTCAGTATTATCACATTCCCTATATATTTGTCCTTACATCTAAATATCGTCAAAGGCTTGCTATCTAATGTAAGCCAGTTTCAAGAATGATTTTACTTGCCTCATTTTTATTCCCAATTTGATATTCTCACACTAACTTACAAACAACAATACATTATATCCCTTGTTTCCCTTTTTGTATTTACAAGTTTAAGATGTAAACAAAATGATGTATGTAACCAGAAAAAAAAACTCATGCTTTATTAGTAGAATTGAATAAAAATAAAAAAGGAAGGTACGCAAGCTTAAGCTTCGACTATATTTATATCCAAGCTTGAATCTGTGTCTTTCTATCAATCGTGCTTTCCGTTTACTTGATGAACAAGGTTTGTCATTTTGAAGTGAATGTAAAAGAGATGGTCATTAATAATGTACAAAATTATTCAGCTAAAAACATTTGAAAAAAAAATAATAATTTTATTTTCAGCATACAATTTCTCGAAAAAAAAAATATGTACCAGATTCTTCTTCAACAGCAACATAATTATTTCTTGAAAAATTGCATGAATTATATGTAGATAGTGTGTGTATCTATGATACGTGACTTTTTAACTGACGTCAGAATAGCTCTTGTACTGTGCCTGCGTCGACGTTCCGTTGCCCCCCCTTTTTTTGCTGTACTATGGGGCCATGTCAGGCCTCGTTCTTCTTCTTTCTTCCATTGCTACTTGGATGTTCAAACCGCCCAAATACCCTTCCACCTCTTCTGGACAGGGTGCCTATAGTCGACTTCAACAGCAAGACGATCTAGACGATGAAGATTATGATACTCTTAAAGAAACCCTTTCACATCATCCAAACTCTATCATCGTCATTACTCCCGACAATCCCCTCACTGTACTTCCTCTTTTTCCACTACTCAGCCCACTTACAGTTTCTCCCAGCTCTCCTCCACTTTCCCCTCGCCTAACAGCAAAAAATGCAGCGGCAACAATTCCTAATGCCACCCGTCGCTTTCTAAAGACAAAGCTTCCTAATGTCGCGTTTAGAAAATCTATGAAACATACCGTATCATTGGACTCTCTCCCCAATGTGATTATAGCCGATATCCAGCATGATAACATACCCCATCAAGCAGACCCTCTTCTCAAAGAGTTACCCAGTCGAGGATGGACAATTGTCCACAGACGACCATATTCTAAATCACAACCAGAAAACCCAGTGGTCTGCTCAGTTTTCGTAAAATGGGAACCTAAAGAAATGACGATGCCAATGATGGCTATTATGGAACCCCTAAGAGTAAGTGCATAGTGCGGAACCTGTGCAACCTCTTATTTCCTATTAGCCAAATGATCCAATCCCTGTTAGTCAAGAGGAATTTTCAAGTCTAGTGGAATCTGTCAGAATAGCCATTGATGGTGGAATCCAGCCGACACGTATCAGCCAAGGCTCAAGTGGATCATACTTCAGCCGCAATAAACAGGGGAAAATTGTGGGTGTATTTAAGCCAAAGAACGAAGAGCCCTATGGACAGCTGAATCCAAAGTGGACCAAGTGGATACACAGGCATCTCTTTCCGTGCTTTTTTGGTAGAAGCTGCCTTATTCCCAATCTCGGCTACTTATCCGAAGCAGCATCATCCCTCATGGACCGCAGACTAGGCACTTTTATTGTACCAAGTACAGATGTTGTTCACCTTGCCTCACCTGCATTTCACTACGACTATCTCGATCGACGATCGAGCACTAGGCCTCCTAAAATCGGTAGCTTCCAATGTTTTTTGCATGGCTATAAAGACGCAACTCTTTTTCTCAAAGACCACCCTCTCAACCCAGACCCTTCTCCAAGTTATGGAAGAAGCAGCTCAGTTTGGGCTGGGTGTTTGGGACAGCAAGGCCAAGAGGAGGAAGAGGAAGAGTTGGGGGTAGAAGATCAGCATCACGAAGTAGAAGAGGATTTGGAAGCAGGCAAAAAACAGCAGGAATCCACGCGGTTCAAATGGACTCCTCGGTTGCAAGAACAGTTTAAGCGTGAGTTTGAGCAATTGGTGATTCTGGACTATTTGATTCGCAACACAGATCGTGGACTAGACAACTGGATGATCAAATATTGCCCCAACCCCCCTCACTTGCATGTCGCTGCTATTGATAATGGACTCGCGTTCCCCTTTAAGCATCCTGACCAATGGCGATCCTACCCTTATGGCTGGCTGGCCCTGCCAGACTATCTCGTCTCCAGACCTTTCTCTTCTGCTACTCGTCGCCAATTTCTACCTCTCTTGACAGATCCTGTATGGTGGTGTGAGACCATCAAGGAACTCAAGGCTATGTTTATGCTCGATTCAGACTTTGACGAACGCATGTTTGCTAACCAGATGGCGGTTCTAAAAGGTCAAGGTTACAATATTGTCCGAGCTCTCAAGGATCCTTCTGGATCACCCCTCGACCTTGTTGCTCTTGAGAGAATTGTGATTCCTATGGACGAAATTCTCATCGAATATGATGAAACCATTCTTGATAAACGACAGTCGCAGCAAAGTGCTACAACAGCAGTTGGAAGCCCTTCAACCTCAGTTTTGTCTGAACCAGTCAAGACAAAACGTATCCGGCCAAAGAGATCAACTTCTTTCGATATCAACCTTCACCGCGAGGCTACTGAAGAAGAACCTTGGAAAGAGAGGGTTAGAAATAGGATGTCACTAGATCTTGGTCGAAGACGGGCGTCTAAGAAGTCCCGCTTACGTCCTTTTGGAAGCGACGGCGAGGGAGATAGTGATGACGATAGTGATGATGACCGGACACGGACTCAGGCTACACTTGTGATGGAAAACATAGAGATTGTAAAGAGCAGAACATATTTCACTTGCTGCTAATCGTCTTTTTTATTATTATTTTTATTATTATTATTATTATTATTAATATAAATTACTGAGGCTCAAACACGATTGCCTTTTCAAGTTCTTTTTGTCTTTGCCAGTCAAGTAATAATTCATATTTTTGTCGTTTGCTACTTTCTACATACATCAGTACGTCAAGCAGTCTTTTCCTGGCTTTTTTCATGTTTGGCTATGACAGTGTGTAAGCGTAAATATTTGGTGTAGCTGAATTAAATTATGGCTCACCTGGAAGATATGAACACCATACATTGTAATGACAATAAGCTCATCTAGACCATCGATGTTCAAATCGAGATGACTCATACGATATATTGGATATGCAAACTGTCTCCTCCAAAGTACAGTATAGTCTTCGGTTCCTTCCACTATATAGATTAGGACAAGTTAATTAGCGCTGCATATAATACAAAGGGGAGGGGGGCGATGTGGCTTACATTGCTTATAAATCAATACTTGTCGTCCATAAGTGCCTATCAAAATTTCTTGTTCTCCGTCCCAGTCAACATCCATCACATGGGAGCACAGAACACTGTCATAAAGACTTGATTGTGGAAGAACCCTACTTCTCGACAACCCATTAATTTGAACCGACCTAAGAAACTCAGATTAAAAAAAAATGAAATCTAGTATATCTTGGTTTGACATTTTTATAAATTACTTGTACACCATAGCTTGCTCAATAGCGCACGTAACCACCAAATGGAGAGGTTCATCTTCCTTGACTATAATTAAATTTTTTATCAGCAATTCTTATGTTGCATCAACTGCCATGTATAATAAACTCACGGTGCTTAGAGACGCGAGGGTGAAATAAAAGAACAGACGTAATCGGACTAAACAGCCGAATTGCATGCGATTTGCACTCTACTCCCTCTAAAATAATCGGTATTTCCTTTTGAGACGAGTACGATCTAACTTGTATTGTTATGTTAATTACGTACCATTATCATAGAAACTTAAAAATAACTCTCCATTTTGTCCGCCTGCGCAAATTGCAATTTTTCCTTGGTAGGTTAAGATGTGCAGGAATAGGATCTTGATGCGATGATCCGATATTCTTCCCAGTAAAGGGAAATAAGTCCCTGCAGATATTGGAACAAACAAACGGCTTGAATCCTGTAATTACCACATTCAACATAGCAGTTATTTGGTGAGGTAAAAACAATATAAATTTTAAACCAAATGATTTACCTGTACATATAAATGCATAATTCCATCAGTTGAAGCCATTAAGAAGGCTGTCTGTTGCCTTCCTTCATAATTAATTCTAGAAATCGTATTTAATAGACATATTCTGATACAAGGTTTCTGTTTGATAATCTTACTGGACGTGCGATAATTGCATGGGTGGGTATGTTAATGGAATTATTTGACTTGATTCTATTCAATTTTTTTTGGTAATAAATTAAGGGACCTGTTTTTTTTAAAAGAAAATATATATATAAAAGGATGCCAAACTTACCTCCAAGTCCAAAAAGTGTTTGTTCTAAGAAAGACTTTGGCGCATGTTGGTGGCCATAAAATCTCAGACTATATGATACTTGTGTTTCCTGGTTTTCTGTGTCATATTTCTATCCGATTCACATCAAAATCACAAAATAGCATTATTTTTCGCCTTCTTTATTACCTCTGCTACTGCAAGCGCAACAACAAATCGTGATTTGTCTGAATGTTCTTCAAAAACATCCATTGCAATCACCTCGGATTTTCCTATAAAGTAATACATATATATATATATATATAAGAATTATACTCGTTTGATATAATTATAGGCGTACCTGCTTCCAATCCAACGGGGATGCAAACATAATTCCAGTATCCATCCATCGACACGAACGCTGTTAATTCTGCGGCCGAAGCTGTCATAAAATGCCGTACCTTCCGACCCAAGCCTAATACAAATCAACACTATATTGGTACTTATTCAAGACCTGTATTGTGTTACCTTGATGTTTAGGTGGTGAAGGTTCAGAAGGAAGACTCTCATAACGATGGGAAGGGAACTCATCAGGACGATTAAGATAGGTTAAGAAGCGTGATTCGAATGGTGCCAAACCATAGATGTTGCTATGATTTTTATGTCAGCTCTTTATTACTTCAATATTATTACATGCCGAGTTGATTAACAATAATAATAACAATAGCAATAACAATAATGTTCATACGTTCTCTCATTTCCATAACGAGCATAATGTGTTTCGCAAAATAGCATCTCATCATCAACATGGGATGCCATGAAGCCCGTCATGATCACTTTTTCAATACAGAGAAAAGCTAGTGAGATAAAGCAGGGAACGTCACATTGAAATTTCTGATTTTCTTGCTTGGTCAAACAATTATTGTCCTCACATAGTGTGTTTTATATATTTAAATTAAATCTCTACAAGTTGCTTGAGAATTATATTTATAGGTGATATTAATAAACCAAAAGAATCCTTTTACTTATAACCATGCTATATAAAAGTAACATAAAAGAATTGCTTTTATTTTTATGAAATGATATTGGCTAAATGGGTATTTAACAATCACAGTCTTGTGGATGTGTTTTGCTACCTGTAGTATAGAGTATTTCTGCCTTATCCAAGATAAATCAAGTTCCTGTTAACATTTGGTAATAAGATGGCTTTATACTGCGTTATTAATTGATTGCAGCATGTGTAATAAGATATGTGATATGTATTATTTAATTAAATTAAAATAATTAAAAAAAAATCATACCAAGAAAGTATTTATGTCTTTAAAGACCTGTGTTCAGAGCCTATTTTCTTCAATTTCCTCCTTATAATTATATCATCAGTTTAACAATTAGAAATAACCAATAACTATTGGCTAAAGTAAAAGTGGAAATCTCAAGTATTTTCTACACAAATTGTGAAAAATTTAATAATTTTTACTCATTTTTTTCTTCTTTGGAAATGTGAAACATATTATTTAATTTTAGAAAGGCAGTTTGCTTTTTTTTCCAAATAGAAAGCTAGGTGGTCAATACTGGTTATTCACTTGAAACATTTCTCTAAAAATCATCTGAGTACATTTCTTCCATATATTTCCAATACGAATTATTTCTCTATCTATTAAGATTTGTATCAACTAACTAATGTGATAATAAGCTCAAGTAACCTGAATTACTACCCATTACCAGTTTATTAAATTAGCAGCAAAAGGCCTTAAAATGTACAAATGTGATACTTGATCGAAAATAAGTCTGACATGTCCTCGAGGTTTGAATTTAATCAAGTTTATGCTTTTAATTTCATTAACCCACTTGGGCGCATAAATAATATAAATACTATTATTTTATGAACTAAAGTCTAGAAATATAATGTCTTATTTTCATTGATACTAGGGCCTGTTGTACTTACTAGAACGCTATCTACACTCACACAAAGAAAAAAAAAGACCTATAAAAATAAGTCCAGAATGTTCTCTTAAAGAACAACTTTATTTATTCTGCAGGGAACCCCGTTATGAAACCAATTGTTGGATTGTCAATGTTAAGCTGCCTGGTTTCAAGTTACGCATCAACCAGGAAACCTGCGGTTTAGCTTGGTGGAACCTTGTCCATTAAGAAATAATCAACAAATTTCCATTCTTAACAGACAATAAAAGAATAAAAATATCCTTATAAATTATAAGAGCTACCAAAATCTCGATATATACAATAAGTCTATGAACACCATAAACGGTATGTTCTTATAAACTCAATACCATTGTCGCCACTTCTTGTCTAAAAAACAAGATTTAATTGAGCTCGAATGAATCAAATGTTTGTCATTTGCACGTGACTTTACATCAAAGAACACCCTTCAACAAACTGTATTTGGCTCTTTCACTTTATTTCATGACTGAACTAACTGAACAAGAGAAACTTGAACGCCGCCGTCAAAAGAGACAGCAAAGAATTCTTGCCTCTGCAGGCGATCGACTTAATCGTATTACCGGAACTGCATTCCGTAAGTAAACAAAGAGAATACACATCGTCATCACGTAATAAATCAACACTCCCTCCTCTGTCCTACTCATCAGCCAACCGGTCATCTCCTACACCTTCACCATCAACCTCTGCTTCGTCACTGGCACCTTCTGAATCATATTCAAAAGAGCTTCCTCGGTCTCGGTCTCCTTCACCAGCTTTATTTGGCAGTGCTCAACCCGTGCTGCCGGCCGATCCTGCTAAGCGTGTACAACAACAACGACGAGCAAGTGATGAGGATCCTTGTGAATCTTTGGGTGCACCGCCACCACTCTCAACCAACGACCCTCAAATACGTAGTCTCGAAGAATTTGATGCTATGCTTGGGCTCCCTCCGTCTTCATTTTCTCAACAAAGACAACCACAAATGGATAATCTGAACGCGTTGAATGAAATGTTTGGTGGGCAGTTACCATTCAATCCTGCGATGTTGGCTGGCATGCAAGGGCAGCAGCAACAGACTACGGAAGTAACTAGTGATCCCTCAAGGCTTTATTGGAATTTGATCCATGTTTCGAGTATGTTATGGCTGGGAATCTATGCAGTCTATACTGAGTGGAACACAGTTGGAAAAGACCGGTTTGCAAGTCTATTGTGGATGAACCCAACTGAGTCGATCAGCAATGGATTTACAGGTGTACAATTTGTAAGTGAGGATACAAAGGAGACTTGACCAGATAATATTAACTATGCTGTTTAAAACAGCCTTTATTCTGGTATTTTGTCACTCTGGAATTAATGATGCAAGCAGCTCAGATGTTCTTTCAAGAAGTAAGTTTTTTTTTGCAAGTTGGATACTCGGAAATAATTGTATAATTTAACCTCATTTGTTTATAGGGTCAAGCTCACTCAGGTTCCATGTTGGGAAGCTTGGCTGCACAATTGCCTCATCCCTTCTCTACTATCATCATCACTGGTCTACATTATCGTACTCTATGGTCCTGTCTGGTTCAAGATTGTTGTATTCTTGTATTCGTAATCGGTATAGCAGAAGTAATCTCGGCTATCTTGGTCACCTAATCTTTCGTCGATCTTTCAAGAGAAGACACACACACACACAACAATAACAGTAATAATCATAATAATAATCATAATAATAATAACAGGAAAAAATATACATATGTACACCTATGGGCTGGTTTTATTATGGAGTGGCACGCAAGAGCATATCACAAATCACATCGGAATGAAGACTGGGAATAGCCAAAATCTTTGGGCTTTGTTCATCTAAAGCATAAAAGAAAAATTAATATATCCATATTTAAACTTGCATGTTTATTTACTACTTACTAAAGTGAATGGTGAGTTCAGGCTTAGTCTTGGGGTCTACGTTCTTAGCAACTTCGAATACAACTGAAGGGTTGTTGTATTGGAGACGAGGAAGACTCTCATGCAAAAAGTGCCTGGGTAATTATGTTTAGTAAAAGGTACTGGAATAGTCAAAAAGGCACTCACTTGGCTCCCATGCCTTCATGCTTGCCCTTGATTGGGATGGTAAGGGAGACCTTTGAGACGTTGAAGGCCAACTTCTGGGCACCTACACCAGTGGTAAGATTGGCGATGATATCGCGAGTTGACTTTAGGGATCGCAACGACATTGCACAAATGAAAGACTACCTAGTTCAGGGACTACAACCAAGGTTGTTGTGGTGGGCTGTGACTGCAGGGACTGCTGAAGAAGTGTACTGTGATTGGACTGTAATTTAGTAAATGAGGAATCAGTTTGTGAGCCTGCGACGTCAGAATTTGACTTTCTGTCGGGTGATGGAAGAGAGATTTCTTGCCTCATCTGAGCATATCACATTACCGAATTAAGTGGGCGTGTCTTAAAACATCTTTTTTCCCGTCCTTCTTTTCTTCCTCCCCCACTCGCTTTATACGCCACTTTGTGCTACTACTAAGGCGGACGAATCCTTTACTATAAAGCACCAGGCCTTTCCTGTTCCTTTTCTTCTCCATCTTCTCATGTTCCACACACCTCTAAAGACACTCAAGCAGTCGCTTCACACAGTTCTTAATCAGTCCCAGGAATATCTTGCAGACGTGTCTCTTGTCTATCCAACTCAGAAGATATGGGCTCACAGAGGTAAAATCCTGTAGCATTCTTGAAGAGGCATTTTCAATCTTTATTCACTCTATTCATTGTCGACCACAGCTCTATTAGTCACTCGAGTTCCAAATGAATTTCGTATACGTTATATGCCTGAGCTACAAGCAGAATCAACTTCTTTGACTAGTCTGGCTACAATAGTTCCACAGGAGTTGATGATGTATCTATTGCGCTTTTGGTATACTGCCGAATTTGTTCAACCCCTAAATACACAGCCCAGTAATTCCAGCAATACGAGTAACAGCAGCAGCAACGACAGCAATAGCAATAACAATAACAACAATAGCAATAATAATAACAACAATAATAGCAGTAGCATCAACGGCAGCAGCCTCGACTCGCTCTCGATCCACGACAGCCGTAGCTCCGATGAGATCCGCAAACAGATCACAGACCTCGAGGAAACTCTCTCGATGCGGCTGTTACCAGAGTGCGAAACTGGTAAAACAGACGATGAACAATGGATAAATGACCTGACTCGTATGAGAGCTGACCAAGTCCACAGCGATGTCATGATAAACATCTTCAAAGCCCCTGTCGAGATCAAGAAAGAACCTCAATCTAACCAAACACCTTCTCAGCCATCTCCGGCTGGTCTAAGAATTATGTCCAAGTCGGGAGGCGTACCAAGCATCCTTACCAGTTTTTCAAAGACCACAGATCACCAACCAGTCCAAACCTCTCCACCAGTAACGATAACATTTCCAGCTCATCGTTTTATGCTGGCAGCCCAATCACCCTACTTCCGTACAATGTTCTGCACCGAGTTCAAAGAAGCTGCTAATGCAACAATTCACCTCCCAGCCGATCTCTTCTCGGCTGCAATACTTGACCTCATCCTCCATTACCTTTACACAGACACACTTCTTATACCACCTATGCCTGCAAATACTCAGTCATCCAATGCAGTCCAACAAAGATTAACGATCAAAAAACATTCTTTACGTATTCTTCAAAAGGTGTACAGAGCGGCAGATTATCTTGGTCACAGCGACACTATTTGCGTGGCTGTACTATGTGAACTCGGGAACATTTGTCATGATTTCAAATGTTCTTGCTCTGACTGTGCAGTACTACTACCATCAATGTTGTCGTTTTCAAGTCAGCACGCAGGCTTAGTAGTGTCTGAAATGCGTCGTAAATTGATTACATTTTATTCAGATCCTGTCCATAGTCTCTCCCTCTGGTCTCAAAAGCCTTTTGCAATACTCATCCAGTCTACCCTTCCAACTACACCCGATGGTCCAAAGCCAACCACGCAGAATGCGACACTCATAGATGACATTGTGCAGCAAACATTTGCAAATATCACTCGACACAATGCGATTCATGTACTACACTCTCTTCATCTCTGCTTGTCCCACATCCGTAGCTCGGACCTCTCCACCACCTGGTCTGCCCCTACACTGGATATTCTCCATGTGTTTCTTGACCATACTGTTCAAATGGTCTCATCTAATTTTGACTTTTATTGTGTCGAATACCCCATTCTTCTGTCGTGTGTCGATGGTATTGGCGCAGGATTTTCAGTAGACTTTCTGGGATTTGTACTTAAGCATGTATTGGAAGAAGGTATCGAGGATAACAATGCGACAGTTCTTTATCAGGGAATTGTTCGCGACCTAGTAGGCCGCCAAGAGATGGTCAAGAATGTGGCAGTTGACAGTGTGCTTTTGGATGCTCGCCAAAGCTGTGCTAGCTACATACGTCGTCGCTCTGCTGCTATCAAGGCTATCGATGGATTCAATTCTCTTGATAAAGATGTTCTTCGTCAACTATCTGATGGTATAACAATATGATTATTTGGCTTGATATAGCAAATGTGACTAATCATATTATGCTATACAGACATCGGTATTCCGGTGCGTACATTGACGAAGCCGGTGGAATCCGACTTTTCGGCCATCTTTGGTTTTCACCCCAAGGCCAAAGCAGCGTTCAGGTCACGTACTGCGGAGTCTGACGAGAAGCTCAAGACGGTTTGTGCCACAGCAAGTGGCGGCGGCAATGGCGGCAGTGGCGGTACAATTGACAGCCGATCATCCGGTCGTCGTTTGTCTTTTAGTGGATTGATGACACATAGGTACAGTGTTCCTACAAAAACCCCCGCACCAGCAGAGGACGCTTCTGCCTCTGCGATACGGCCTGTTCCACGTGCACGCTCACATTCTAGTGATGCTGTGCCTATTCAACTGGGGATCACATCAGCTTCTGCAGTTTCTACATCTTCTGCATCTTCTGTTGTGAGTGTAGGGACAGATGAAAAGCCAGCTCCTCGGCGTCGTTTCCATCCACCTGTCTCTCAAGGATCCTCTTCTTCTCTCACCGATGTTCTGCTACCAATTGATAGCGTCGCTTCAGTAGTGGCTGTGAAGGGTGAGACACCTCGGCCACGAAAACTTAAATTTGAACTTCCTGCGACTCCTCTGCGTACAAAACTTACTCCTCGAAAGCAGATTTCTGCTCAAAAACGTGCACAATCTCCACGTCGCTCACGTTGGGGGCTTGGAGGAAGTACTACGAGTGATAATAGTGATGAGGATGAGAGTGCAACAATTGTTATTGGTACAAAGATTGAGCTTCTTCGGCGTCCACTTCCTACACTTGGTACTATCAAGTATATTGGAAATGTTGAGTTTGGAAAAGGCACATGGGTCGGTGTCGAATTAGAAAGTAGAGGTAAGTTCACAGCAATGATCTGAAGCAATTTTGTACTAATTGTGAGTCGTTGATTTTTTTTTAATAGTTGGTAATAGTGATGGAGCTGTTGATGGAAAACGCTATTTCCAAACCGATGCACAACGAGGCGTGTTTATCAAACCAGACGATTTCAAGGTCGTCCATCTGCCAACTTCAAAGGCCTAATATCTTACACTAATCAACTCCAACAAGAATGCATTTGCATTTGCATGCATCTTTCGTACATACCATTCTCATTATTTTCTTTATGATTCTCCCTCACTGCTTCTTCATCCAAGACTATCATACTTTTAGTGTCACCAAACGATTCGAAAATGTGTTTTTCTTTTAATACCATTTACTACCTATTATCTTTCTTTCTTTTTGGCATGTCCATTATATTTGGAATACATATAATGTTTATTATTTTAGGTTGGCATGTTTGGGTGTAAACAGATACATGTCAAGATTTACAAAAAGAAAAGAAACGTAGTCCGTTTTCACACTTAGTAAATCAAACACTGCCGTTTCTCCAATAAGATAGATACATGACATATCTCTTACCCCAAGATAAAAGTTGAGAACGTGGGATCATTCGTTGGTCAGAGCATTATTATTCTTGTTATACAAAAAAAACTTGGGTTTTCTGGAACTATAAGCAGAACTTTGATAAAAATAATAGCCGCACGCACGCACATATTTTGTGTGAGGCGGGGATGAAGCTCAAACACATGAATAAATGTGTGGTATATTATTTTTTTTCAAGATCTATCGGAATAATGGCACTTTGGAGCACAAGTAGTAAAAATATCACAATGTGGATAATTTGATTATAGACATCATTGTCACACGACTAATACTTTCTTCCATGGGTGTACACACATATGGTCTTCTGTTGGGCAGGCATCACCCAGACAAGGAAAGACACGAGGGGTATCATTATTGGTATTCTCAAGTAACCCATTACAATGTAATAGTGCTCAATATATTCTCAATATCCCTCAATATTAACAGTGATATTCGATGTCATAACCCCAAGTACAACAAGTCCATATTTTCCAATGAATACCTTTTTTTGCATTTTTATTGATCTTTAATAATATTCGGTATTTTTATTACTATTATTATTATTATTATATATAAATATATATTTCTTTTAAAAGCTGTTACAGAAGATGTATTTAAAATTTATTTTTTATACAGTCGCTAAAGATGAGCAAAGCTCTCCACATTATACTCAGATTTGTATTGTGCCACTTGTTACACTACAATGACGGGTTAAATGTGACTAGTATTATGTGATTAAAAGTAAAATAAATATCCTAAAATAGAAATGAGCTCGTGATCCTAGTAGACAGAACGATTTGGCTGTGATTCCATGAACTGACAGAGGGATTTTATCTTTATTCGTTTTTCTTACATTAGAGGTCTCTTGGAAACTTCTTTCGTTATCTTATTCTTTTTAGCTACTTATTATATAATGTTTATTTTCTCTATTATGATAAGCTTTAAAAGTGTTTTTTTTGTAGAGATTTCTTATTTATTAAAATGGAAAGTAGCATGAAACAGATGAAAAGAGAATAGCAAAAGAAGAAAAAAGAAATGTGAGTTAAATTTGCTAGAGGTTCACTGAAGATTTCAAGCTATCACTCAATAATATGACATGTATTGGGGGGAATAATGTATATATATATATATATAAAGGTTAGGACAAAGTCTAGAATGTAAAAGGCAAAAAAGATATTTTAAAACAGTAAAATATAAAACAGTTTGATAAACAGTGTTCATGGACTTGTTTGAATAAGTTTGTTTTGTATTTCTTGGAAGATTAATTTTATACATGTTCCAGAATTTCCATTATATTGTCAATTAAATATACATACCTTTTCTTTAAAAAGAAAAAAAAATTGCAAAAGGCTCCAAATATTACAAAACACCTTACTAATTTTCTTTTAAAGTACATGTAAAAGAACTTCTTGGTCGAGTTTGATAGCTGTTGAGACGCCGTATGTTAAATTTTATATACCTTCTATGATGAAGTAGTACTGATTGGAATATTGATCAAAATAAATGCCCTGTGTTTTGTATCTTGAAGTTATTTCCTAATAAAATATAAAGACAAAGGAAGTGCATTGATTAGAGCTGTATATTCAAGTACAGTTAATATACAAACCTAATCTTAAAGTTCTTTTGATGGAGTCTTTTTTTTTCGCTGCTTTCTTCTTAATGTTCTATTAGTTCTTTCTTTACTCTAGAGCTGAAATCTAGATACCTCTTCTTTTTCCTAAACAAACTGTTTCACGTTATATGTATAAGCTATATTTTCTACAGAAAATTGCTTAGCTTTCTTAAATCCCGTCGCATTTGCACAGAGCAGTAAGTTGTGGTAGCCTTCTTTGGTACATCAGTAAGATACAACGCACTTTTCTTTCTGCATATTCTTGCTCAATTGTGTAGCCGTCTTAAAGTTGGTCTGTGTTTAGAGGGGGCGTCTCTGGATGCTAATTTTATGAATATTTAATTACGTTCCTAGAATACTATTATTCAAATCATTATTTGTTAAAGCCGACTTATCGTAGGGTTATACAACTATTAAAAAAAAAAGGTTATATTTAGTCGTTTGACCAGTACAGCCCTATTAAATCAAAGATAAACATCTTAGCGTCAGAGAATGATAGTGGTCAAACTTGGGTTTAGTATCTTTTCGTATTAGGGTAGAATAGTTTTGATCCTTATTTTTAAGTAATTCATAAAAAAGAAATACGAACAGGTTTAATGCAATGTAAACTCTTTATTTCAAGATTTATAAAAAAGACTTACTCTATTATCAAAAATCAACTTTTGAATGATTGTGGCTACATACCTTAACTATTACAAATAAGGTTGTTGAGACTTTTCATTGAAATGAGTTATTTTATTTTCTTGTTCTTCTTAAAATGAGGGCTTTATTTTCTTTTTTTTTAAAGAAGCGTTTGCATAAAAGAGAGGTTGGTTCCATAATAGGACTGAAGTTTGAATTTTCTGGCCTTTTAAATGTTTTACTAAAAAGACGTGCTTTATTTTATTTTATTTAACTTTGTGAAAATTCCCTTATAATCACACAGCTCGAGCAAGAGTATGTATTTCTTGAGTTCAAGAGTTTTAGGATTTATTAATATGTAAGTATACAGTACTATCACTGTCTGACAAAATGATTTGACATATAAAGTATCTGTGTGTTCTCACTTGTATGGTGTCTGTGGTTGGAAAGATGCTGACTGCAAATCCAAGCTATTCTTGATTATTGTGCTGTTGTTAATATTTCTAGTTTAACTTCTGCCTATCCTGAATGTCCTACATATCATAAATGTCTATAAGCTACAGTAATATTCTTTTATTTGAGATTTATATGACTATCAAGTGATCTTTAAAATACATTATACGCAAGCAAATAACTTACTCTAATAGATGTGCTGGTGAAACGCTTCACGAGAAACCTGATATATTGATAAATGTAACTAATTCTTTTTCTTAAAAAAAAAGAAAAACAACAACAATAAAATGCCTCGCATGTCATAACAGACCTTACGTTCAATCTATTGTCATCTTGAGTATTATATATGTTTTTGGTGAGTTTAGAATTCATTTCGCTCAAAAAACCTCACTCCTCAATTCTATACAAGCGCACAGTCCTTGAGTGATTAAACTTAATCTAATTGGACTCTTAGGCAGTACAGCAAAATTTGCTTTTAAGGGCTTGAATCTCCCCGCTCTTAATATATTTATCTTTAAATATCAAGCCTGTGTGAATATCACATAGGTATTTCATTAAATAGAATACAAATCATATCGTATTATGCAGCTTGCATACTTGTCTTTTGTATACTGATTGGTTAGAAATTATAATCTTGTTGAAAAAGATCAAATTATTTTTGCTTAAAATAGACAAACCCTAATATTTTCCCGGGAAATGCGTAACATGTGCCTTCCAAAAGAGCAATGCTTTAAAGAATACTATATTCTTCTTTCTTGAAGTTGATTGAATACAGCACGCCTGCAGTGTATTACTTCTTATTTGTATACACAGTATATCCCTAAAAAAAATATTTTGTTTCGTATTTTATGCATAATATTAGATGAATATATCCGCATATTCTCCAGACAATAGTAACAACAACAGTAACAATCTTAGCAAATAAACTCACATTGGTATTGCCATTTATTGCTTTCATCCGAATTTTTATTTTTACAACCATGGCTTACAAACTTGATTTCATAAAAAGATTTCCAATAAAAATTTGGTAATAGCTACAGTGATTTTATTTGAGATTGAAGTAAATTTGTACTCTTTGTAGGCAAATCAGACTTAAGTATCTAAAAACTAACCATCCTCTATCTCAACTTCTCTTCTCTTCATCTAAAAATTAAGTTTTTTTTATAGACTATTTGCCTATAATAATTTGAATTCCAAATGAGAAAGCTCCTTTCTTATATGGTGATTTTCCATATCAATTAAAGAGGGTATTTTTTGTAGGGTTCATTTAAGACCATATTTGATGTTGATGTTGGTGCTTTTGTTTTTATTGATTGAAAATCTAGCAGTAAGCTGGCACAAAGAGGTGTAAAAGAAAAATTGAGAGCAGGATGTTCATTACGCCGCTGCAAAGCTGTTTTCAAAATATTTAGACGGGGTGCTATAAAAATTAAAGATTTTAAGTAGGTAGAGACCGATTTTGTTTTGTGATTAATTGATTGTGTTATGTGTGTGTGTCTATTATAAAAATCCTCAGACTTTAATATTATATATATACAGGAAATGTATACCCAATTGAAATAAACAGAAGAGAATTAGGTAAAGCTATGGAGCAAATGGCACAGAATATAGTGCTTAGATTTATATAAGAGAACTTCTAGCTATCAACACAGCTAAAGAAGTTTGAAAGGGGTTTATAAGCTTAGACAAACAGACTATTTTTTTTCACCTAATTTATTGGATAAAGTATGTATATTTGTATTATACAATCCCCATATTTTTGTATCCTCGATGCACAGAGTGCCAGAGACTTTCTCTGGTAGAAACTGCTATATCTTTATTTTATTTTTTAAAAAAAACTGTTACAAATATATCATCTTTCTTTAAGCTTTCTAACTTTATAAAATATCATCAGAACTTCAGTACAGCCATGTTGTACTTTTTGGTCAAACTCAACCTCATCCCAAAAATATTGCAGGCGAGTGTGGTGGTACCTAGCGCACCCACACTTTTTTTTTAAAGAACGTCAATCGTCACTTCAACTACTTAAACGGAGTTGAGTTTCATGAATTACTTTGCAGTGAAGAGGACTAAAGTAAATGTAGTCTTCCATCTACTCTTCACATCTCTTGTATCCTTTTGTCGCTGACATATACACCTGCAAAAAAAAAACCAAGGGGAAAAAGTGCGTGACTATTCTCATATGCATGTGACTACTATAGCTAAAAACTATAAAAAAAAGCAAAAAGTAAACAAAAAAGGACGCAAAAAAACAGAAAAAGACGAGCGACAAAGATGCGAAACCTTATTTACCATCAAAAACTACAATTCTGCTCATGCGAATAGCTCATTAGCTTATATATAGCTCTCACAATGTTCTTGCAGAAATGAGGTTTTCAGAACATTGCGCATTAAAGATCAATTTTCTATTTTTCTCATTCAGCCTGACGTCCGATGTTGATTCGCGCATCCTTTTAACAGCCACTCATGATAGAAAGTAGTAGTTTTTAGGATAAGAAACAGACTGCACACGCGTCTAAAAAACATTAAACACTTGAAAATACTTGGCATATATATATACAGTCAATTCTTAATTATTTTTTTAGAAATATAATAGAGTTTTAACTATTACAAGAATAATACCTAAATTGTTATATATGATACCAGAAATTGTGTATAGTTCTTAATAGTGAACAATATAAGGTAAAACAAAACAACAAAAGGAATGATTTTTTTAAGGAAAAAAGTTTGAATTGCTTTATAGGATCTAGTAAAATCTCCTAGAAGTAAATCATTATGTCAAGATATCTGCTTTACAGGCTTGATCGTTATTTTCTTTGAGCCTCGATCTTTACAAACTGTTTTCACGTCGGAGTTTATTATATTTTGCAGGAAGGTACGTTGGTTTATATTACCGTATATAAATTATTTGCTGCTTGTCAAAGCACAAGATTTCAAAAGAACACACACACGCATTGAAGGGATCTGATAATGCAACGATAGCATTCACAGATTATTAGATTATAATCGTTCAAGAATGCTTTAAATATTAAAAGGGTTTGTGCGTGCGACCGTCAGAATAAACGGGTATTTTTTATGAGTTTTAAGATCGTATTGTGTGGGTCAATTGGAGGTTACAACGGCGTCCAGATAGTTTAAAAGTTGGTTATGTTGATTTATATGATATGGATGCACATTGAGGTTTCAGTATTAAAACCACTACAGTTTTGGAAACATGTATTTAATAAGACAGCCGCACATTAAATATTATTGAATTTACTGGTAAAATAAAAAAGTATCATTAAAAAGAGCATTTTGATCAAAATGGCAAGTTAAATTCTCAAATTTAACTATAAGTCTGAATTAATGAAGCTATGCTACTTTACATGTATATGTAACCTAGTGGAGCACATTACGATCCATTATTTAAATGTTATTTTACTTTTATTGCTTTAATATTGAGCAAGATGTCCCATTTTTCACTCTAGAAAACAATTTACTAATAAGAGTTTAGTTACTTACACCATTGAAGCATGCTTGATTCAAAAGTTTCCTCAGGGTATACACCTAAAACAAAATCGAAAGTTTGTATTTTGCTTAACTAAGTAAAGTTTTTTACCAAAACAAACGATGGTGCTCAGTACTTTTTCGACCAACAACTGATCGATATTCATAGAGATATCGATGTATGTAAAAATGACAATTTCGATATTGACACCACTCAATGATGTTTTTACATGTCCGTCAGTAGAAGGTGTGCCCCAAAAATTACTCTTATTGTGCGATAACAGGTTTTGTAATCATCTAGCCCAGAGCCTTATCAAAATAATAAGCAAAATATCCTTTAAAAAAGAATCGTGTTTCAAGAATAAACCGAATCCTTGATATAGTACAATACGGTAGCTGTATTTTTTTTATTACTATCAATATATCGAAATTTAACTGCAAATGTAGAATTAAACAAGGATTATGATCCAACTATGAGCAATTTTTATCGGCCATTGAGCTTTGCAATATATATTCAATACCCGAACAGATTAAACATCTTAGATAAATATAACTTTAGGTATTTTGCATAATTATTCTTACTGGAAAACTTGATTTTCAATCTTAAATATATATATACTACTATCAAACCAATTTAAACAGTATCATTCAAGTTATATCATAGTATAGATTACTATTTAACTAGACGTTTCAAGTAACCAATATATCACTTTTTTGTTATATTTTTGTGAGTAGATGTATAAAAGTATGTTAAATCTCTGTAGATAAGTTTTCTCTTCTCTTCTTGGTCTTTATGCACACAGAGTAAACATTTACAAGTATGTACCTAATGAAAACAGCTCTCACAAAAGAGCAGTCAAAAGGCCCCGAAAATAAATAGCTTTGGTATAAACCTATCTTCCTTTTAAGGGGCCAGACGTTTAAATATACAATGTCATTTGAGAAAGATACTGGCAAACAGAGGAAAGTTAGAAAGGGATATAGCATTCCAAGCGAATCATCGAACAGCTGTACACCTACCAGAGATCTTGGATATTATCAAGTACTTTCTTGTGAATCTGAAAATGAGGAGTCAATGGAAGACCGTGTGATTTATGAAACCAGTCGAGAGGATATATCTGAGTCCAGAACAAAAGCAACTATACAATCAACAATAGGCAAAGGACAAGACTCAGGCCACTCATACACAGAGAGTACAGCGGAAACGTCACATTTTTTCAACTCTCTAGGAAAAATGTGGAATGCCCTTCCTTTCAAACAGTCTTCGGGAAACCAACCAAGATCATCGCAGGATTCTTATAAACCACATAACACGAGCTACAAGTGTACTAGACCTATGTCTAATGATACTTCAATCATGAGAGATGTATTTACAAAAGACGAAATGAACAGCATCTTTCTACGCAAACTTGAAGAATGCTTTGAAGGACATCTTGATTTAATTGATAAAAATTATAAGAGCCTTAATGAAGAGCATACAAGGTTAGTAAATAGCACAATATTAACTCTTGATAAAATCTAGTAATAAGAAACTTGAATATACATATACGCATACATACACAGATATATATATAGCATCTAACAAAGAGTCTATACTTTTATAAATTATTATTTTATCAATAGACTTCATAAAATGAGACTTGAATTCGATAAAGAATGCGAAAAAACCAGGAAGATGTACAGCAAGAGGGCTGATATGGAAACTAACAGAGAACAATTTTATCAGGAAAAAATACAAAATCTAACGACGAACTTATCTGCAGTAGAAGATGAAAACCAGAAGATAAAATTAAACAATACCGAATTTTTAGAAAAAAATTCTGGACTTCATCGATATATTGGTCGCCTAAAACAAGAGCAAGATACGAAGAATATATATATAACTAAAATGGAGCAGACCTACAAAGACAAGATTTGCAAGTTTCAGGAGAATTTGGATGAGTTAAAAGATGAACTCTCTAAGAAAAAAGAGGAATCTCGAACCTTGCTTTCTAATTTACACGAGCACCTCAAACAGATTCGTGCTACTGACGACGACTACTCGACAATACAAACGAAGTTAAACACAATACAAGCCAAGATATCGAATTTATGCATGAGCCTTAAGAAATTTTTGACTCCAAACGAAGAGCAGGTTTTGAGCACCCTCTATGATTACTTCGATGATAGAAACAATGTTTTAGACCAATTTCTGTGTGAAAGAGACAATGGGCTCATGGGAATGGACTATAGTATTGTCAGTTTGCTTGTGGAAAGGTTTATTACAATACATATCGTCAGATATATTTACAACATGCCTATATATCTTGGGTTAGATATAAACTACTCTTATAGCATGCTTTCTGAATGGGAACCCTTCAAAAACAATAAAAACTGGTCTAGAATACTCCGACAGCAATTGTGTTCACTCGCAGCAAAACCCGATGTGACAGATGGGCTCGAGTACAAGAGGAAAGATATCGCAAGCTGGTTGATACAGAAACTCTCCATGATTTTCATCGGAATAGATCAAAAAACATCAAGACAGATTTGTAACATAATTGATTTGGCTGCTCAACTTAGTCTTGCTATGAACAGCCAAGATGTGCCAATTAAGCATATGACCATCGTGGAAGGACAAACCAAGATAAAACCATGTATGGCTGCTCAACATGGCTCAGTCGAAGGCGCAACTACTGTTCAACTTATTATATGCCCACCTTTTGTTATTAATGAAGGTCAAGAGTCAGAAGTAGTTTTACTGGAAGGAAAAGTGATATGTATGGATTTTCCTGATTCGTCCAAAGGTTCCGAGGAAGAAAATGAATAGGATACTTGTTACAACACTTTTTTAAGCCTCTTCAAATAGCTGTTTCTTTCACAATCATTATTTTACCCAGAATGCTTTTACTTTACTTTTACTTACTGAATTTAAAATTTCTTGATAGCTTTATATGTTAACCCATTGCTGTATCGTATATATTACAAAAGAGAAATAAAGCATAGTATAAAGTCTAATATATGGTGTGGTCACCACGAGCTTTGCTTACTTCCTAGAATCTATTAAGCATACTTACAACATTATTATGGAAAGCGTATCCACCAATTATATTCAACTCTTGAAGAATACTGACCCTGAGATCTTGAACATTGTTTATGGACCATTTTCTCTCTTAAATCTTGGTTGTTAGAGCATTTCAAACATGCTCGACTGGGTTCAGATCCGGAGTTTGCAATGACAGGTGGTCAAAGCATTTGGTTTCCCAATGATTTTTTCACCACGTCGTGTAGGTTTCAGTGTGGTAGCTGGCCCCATCTTCTTGGAATGTGAACATGGTATCATGCTTTTAATTTAATTTTGCGTACCAGGGGATGAGGTTTTTGAACAAGCAGTAAAGATACACGTCTTGATTTACAGATGATGACACCAGTATCAACCAATTTTTTTATGATATGCATAACTTTCGAAAGTATTACATTTCACACCCAAACAGAGACTCTTAGTATCTGTAAAGCTTAATTTATTTGGCCTCCTAGAACTAGGATTTGCTTTTATTGCTTCAGTAGTTTTCAAACGATTGATAGTGCTGAAAACTGATGCTATAATAATACTCATGTCCTTTGCAATATAGGCTTTGGTATTATTGATTTTATAGTTAAATAATATGGCCACTCTCAAACTTTGGTAATCCTCGTCTAGAAGACGGACTTTTGGATCTATGTTTTTTTTTCAATGGTACGAGTCATTGAGTTGTAAAACAGAGTTTTGAAAAAAAAACTAATGTATGCTTAAGAGAAAGATGCTTTACCTTGTCAAAATATGTATATATAAAGAGGAGAAGAAATAGTGCTTAATCAAAATTCAGCCTCAAAACAACCCTTAAATCTTGGAAAATGTTGCAAAAATGTCCTACTAAAATCCCCTTTTTATTTAACCATATTGTACATATCACTTCAAGAAACTTCAACTGGCATAGTTACAAAGTAATAAACATAGTTAGAGACATTTATCAGTGGTAATGTTTCCCAAACGGCTTAGAACAAATTCTTCTGTTAGTCTAAAGTTGATTTAGAAGAGGTTGGTATTGTAGTTTCGTAGTCTTAGGAGATCTCTCTACTATTGGTTTTGTGTCCTGGATATTGTGGATTAATGAATTCACTTTTACTGTACAAGAACTGGTATCTGTCTTTTTAGCAATCTATACTTTCAAGATAAACCCAATTTTGCCATGACGGGAGTTACAGCTTTAAAATAAGATTCGAAAGAATAATAACGAAATAAATTTAGAATATATTATATCCTACGGTCCAAATTGTATTTAGTACTCGCTTTGGAGTACTTTGTGAAAACAAAAATCCAAGAATTTTGGTCGCTTTTCTCAAAAGATCATACATATCTTGTTCATCTATATGAATTCTTACAAAGAGGTATAATACACTATACTAGCCACACTAATGAGAGTCACAAATACCCGTTTTCTTGTAAAATAGTAATAATAATGTCACTGTTATCTTTAATGTGGACTCGACAAAATATGTAGGTAATACAACTTCTGTACAAGGTGAAATAGGTATCTTGGCAGTCAAACGCCACACATATTGACCCCTCATAAGTAACACATTTGAAAGATTATTTATTTTCATATTTTGGGGAGTTTATTTGTAAAGCGATACCATTGGATAAGACTAGAGTTTGTGCTTTCTCGAATGTTCATTAATGGTTACCCGGATTGTTAGTATCTGTAGATTGTTACTCCACACCTCTTTTTTTTTGGTGACTGATTTTCGGAAAAGTGACCTCTTTCTCAGGGTTCAAGTTTTTTTTTATTAAGTAATACAAAGCCTGAGTAACTTGGGGGTTACTTTTTACATCATTGGCACTTTTTCAGTAAAGTCTTCTTATCAAGATAATATTACTTTAGTTTATGTAGATTAAAATCCCTAGTATGGGCCTCTTCAATTCTTCCAAGCCATATATTACTCAAGATATTCTTTGTAGAAGGAATAGAAGATTTTATAGTCTGATAAAGTCAAATGATAATATAGATAGACACTGTCAAGATAAGGTATTGATAATACAAGTATACATAGTTCTGTTAGAGCTATCAGCGATAATAAACGTGTTCGAAACAGCCATGGTTATGAGATATATAGTATGTATGCGTAAAGAATAGCTGCGGAGTGAGCAGTAGATGACTCTAAGTAAAGAATAATAGACAACCTTTTGAATCTACTTCAGAGATAAGCCCAAGGTAATCTCAAAGGAGGTAGATAAAAGAGAATTAATTGATATAAAAGAAAAAAATGGTATCAATCAATGGTCTGTATTCAAAAAATAGCTAGTATAGCCAAAGTCCCGCAACTTGTACTACCCAATACCATTGTGACCGACAAGTTTTGTCCAAAGATAGCTTCGTAAAGAGACTTTTGTAGCTATATAGAATTACTTTCTTCTAATTCTTGTAAGACAAATTGGATGGGGGGACTTGGTGGAGGGATTCAAGACAGGCTTCATTTCGCTTATTTTGTAGACACCGGGACTTCCGAAGCTAATCAAGATAAGTACAATAAAAGATTATGTTTAGATAAAAATGTGGCAAAAAGAAAGATATTCAATAGATATATTCATACCATGGGGTTATTGATAAGTGTATAGGCTAAAAACCAGCGATTTCTTGCGCGCACTTGTCGCCAATATACTGATTTTGTAGTTACTTGTCTGACTGGACTTGCAATAGCAGTAGCAACAGCAGGAGAAGTTTCGCAAACTGGCCCTATCTCGTTCCGCTCGCTATCAGACAAGGCTGAGTGTTTTCGGCACGGAGTATCTGGATTTGTGGTATTCGACAACGGCGGAGGAAGATGATGCAATATACACTCAATGAATACAAGCATAATTGGGTTGTTGTACTCGTTCTCAGCCAATAACTTAATATTTTGTACACAAATTATATGGTGTATTAGGCTATTATTTTCTTTTTTTTCTCGTTTTAAGCTTTTAAGATAGGATATACTCGAATTACCATTCCCATATAGCCAACAAATCCTGTTGAAATAAATGAGTATAGGTTATTTAGTTAGTTTTATCCCAAGCATGTGTTTGACAGCCTTATCCCCTTCCCCTTTTCCCCTACTAGTCCTGGCGATAGGAGATTCCAGAAAACAGAAAGAAAAATATCATTAGATAGGTGACTTACCTCCATCACCTCGTCTCACACTCCATGTTTCTGCGTTACGATCAACTCGTAAGCTGAAAAGTGGATATCGAACTATCAGCTTTAATGTCCGCAAGATGTAAGATGTCAAGGCTCTTGTCATGGATGTAAGCATCATAAAGTACCAATAATGCAATAGAGGTGAGCGGTTCTGTAAGCTAAATCGAGTTCCTTTCTTAATAAAAACAATACGGGTAATTCTCTTTTGGACCAACTGGAATATCCAAGCAACAAAGAAACTTGCAAAAAATACGCCTACATTTAAAAAAAAATGTGTTTGACAAGCAGTACACCAAGTTTAATCAAACATTAAAGATTGCGTACCATAGCCAGATAATCGGAATACATAGTCTCTAAGTTTGTCGAGTTGAACAAGCATAGCTATTCCGGTGCCAAATAATGCTATTTCTATCATGAAATATAATGTGCCAGTGAATCCTGTAAAATACAAATTAAATAAAATCAGTTCTTCTTTTAATAAAAGGTATACCATCAAATATGTACCATACCAAAACCAAGGCACACTCCCAAAAAGCGAATAGAGTCATCCAGATCAAGCCTACAGAATACTTTGTTAGCAAAAGCCTAGACATGAAACCTTCTTACGTATTATTCTTCTTGCCCTTGAAGATGTTGTAGTCTCCTCGTCTAATGTTTATTATGTCTTTTGTCACACGGCGAAGGATCCCAAGGGAATACACCATAGCAACTACAAGAGTTTATACAAAAATAAGTACACTATATCTGTAAAATTTAGGTCCTTGGTATCATTTAAATAAAAACAAACTTACATATTCCTGCTCCAAATGTTGAAATATAAGCAGCAATTTGCATAAGCATCCATGTCTTTACTGCAAATCTTGTCGGATTTGGCGTGTATTGGAATTGAGCAAAATATGGCGTCCACTGACATATAAATGTAGGAACAACACCTCCAACCCCCAGCATCTCAGTAGTTAAGACAGGTATCTGAAGAAAATAGTAAAGTTTGCTAGTAGCTAAGTTTTCATTCTTTTAAAAACGGAGCATATACTATCAATTACCAACTGCCCCAAGCAATAGATCAAGAGAGTCAATGAGATCTTTACAGGATAGGGAATACTAGAGAAAGATATTAAACCACGCTTTTGTTTTTGAAATATTGATGCAATATTCCTTAACTTACCGCACATAAGCATTCATACCAAATAGTCGGTACAATAAGCGTAAGTAAGTTGTAAGAGGATATCTCTTCAAAAAAACTTGGCGTGCTTTGTTAATAGGTATTCCATTTTGTCGACCTTCTGTAAAAAGGTATCTTATATGATGTTCTATTTTTTTTGGGATTTTTCTCTATATTGGATAGTGAGAATTTTTAAATAACTATGATCAATGAATTCATAACTTGCCACAATCCGGAATTCCCTTTGTGTAAAAAGGAGCTTGACATAATCTTCTTCGATGCCATCTACTTGTAGAAACTCAATACGACATCTATCGCAGGGATGATATTTCACTGCTCTCATTAAAAAATAGGCCAATACAATTCCATTAGCTAGAAGAGTTGGTATGATGGCCAAAGCATTCATCACTAGAAACGGAATCTCTCTTGCATATGTGATAACGAAAGACGGTAGATCTGTGACCACACGCAAAGTAAATAGAATGAGAGTGGAATAGACACCTGTGTTGGATCTTAATATGAGTATGTGTCTGCGCTTGAGTTGAATAGGCATAATACTTACCAAGAACAGTAGCTATGTGAGATCGATAACTGGCATGATAGCACAAAAAGAGCTATTACTCACAAAACAATATATATATATATATATACATTAGATCAGATTAAGGCTGTATATACATATATATAAAATAAAAGATAGATACTTACAGGATAAAAATAAACGGCATACAGAAAAAAAGACAAAAAGAGCTCTAATAAAATACAATAAAGTTAGGATGTAGTGCAGGTAGTAGATGAGCAATAGTGCGTAGACATGCCTACGAGTTTTGCAGCACGAGGTAACCATGCATCAAACAGAGTCTCTTGAGAAGTGAGCATATTCCAAGCTTGACTGAAAACAAATGATCCTGTTTATTGACAAATCTACTCATTAGATATTTTTGTTTTCTAGATCTACACCTGTTTACAGAACATTTAATTGAGAAATATTTACCAAGCATAACAAATACACACAATAATACTGGGTGTGAAGGCTGACGGCAAAGAAAGCGGATAGGACTAAAAAGTGATATATATATATATGGACTAAGTACGAATTTGGGCACTCATTATCAAACTTACGGTGGAAATCGAAAGTTTGAAAGAGATGCCATTACAAAGAATATCAACGGTACTGCAATAAAGTTGGCCAGTGCCAGATACTGAAGAATTGATGTTGCTAATTACAAACATAGAATAAGATTTGGTTTTCAATAGAGCATAGTATACCTGATGAGCATATCTTGGTCAAGGTTGCCTGAGGACGATCCACGTAAAGGCCGGCGTATATGTATGCAAAACACATTGGAGTAGCCCGTGATCCATAGAATGCTATAACCTATTATCAAACACACGGTATCCATTTTGTAAGCCTTTTATTGTACGTAATATTGTCTATAGATCTACTTGCGATAGATCTGGTGTATTTGGGCAGAGTAATATCTGGAACAGTATCAGTGTTTCGTATTAGACCGCTTGTCTGGTTTCCGATCCACTGATGGGTTGCATTTAAAAATTGATATGTGATGATCATGGCTCGATCAAATGCAGCGCCATAAACAATAGATTGTTTATCAGCGAAATTAACGGTAGGCAAAAGTGTCAGATTCTGTTGATCAAAAACAGAATTGATCAATTGTGTGTTTTTTCTTTTTGTTGAAAAAAATATGTTCTTACAACTGCCCTATCATCTGTAAAGGCCTGGAGGTACCATCCATCTACTAAAACTGTCTGGACAAGAGGTGCGTCGGCAACTCGGACCATTAGATCTCCAGTGGTTTGAACCGTGCTACCGTCATCTTCAAATACATAGCCTGTAGGCTTAAAACGAGATGGAGCACAGCATCCTCCCACTAATATGATGCGTGTAAATGATTTTTTTTTCTATTATTGACATATTGAAATAATACACTTGCCCGTTTCCATTGAAATCTGGCCAGATGTATATGTGATGTTTACTTGAATAGATTGTATAATGAGTTTATTGGGTATCATTGTACAATGTTTATTGTAATTATACCATGCTGCTGCCTATAATAGACCCAATCGTCTATTTCTCGGGTTGCCCATCCACCCGCCATTTGATTGACCTGTAGACAAGAGCCATCTTGGAGCATGTTATGCTTTCTACCACAAAAGGTAAGATATCATGCTTGTATGTATGTATGTATGTATATTTTATTTTATCTTATTTTTTAAAGAGAGTTTACCCATTCAATGTCTCCCAACACTGAGTCGTGAAAGCCTCTATGAGAATCCATTCACTGATTTATCAGCGATAAGGCAGTAATGACAGACCGTTATCATTATCAATACTATTATGATTATAGGTTACCTGATACAACTAGTGGAATACCAATAAAAAATGTGACTAGGATTAAGTACATTTTATGTGTATATTTGTGTTTTTTGAGACAAAGTATAATTTGATTTTGGGTTTTTAAAGACTTTCTTTATTTTTGAAATATTGGTATCAAAAGGGGCTGAACAGATTACATTGGCTTGTATATACTCCTTTAAGTTTGACCAAATTTTTCTTGTTTTGTTTTATGATTTTTTTTATTAATCAATTTGACTGTAAGCTAAAGCACAGAGTCTCTAAAGGAGTGTGTACACAAAAAAAATAATAGGATAAAGAGGAAAATGTGTTTGGAAGAAATAAGGAACTGCTTAAAGTGCTGTGCTGAACAATCGGTCACCGGCATCTCCAACACCAGGGCGAATATAGCTATATAAATAATCATAATACAAATACGAATACAGACATTAAGTAAGATTTTCCCGCGTTCATTGTTCGTTTATTAAATATAAACAGAATTTTGTTATTTACCCATGTGCATCGAGTGTTTCATCTACAGCCCCAAGGTGAAGAGTGACATCTGGGTGAACCTTCTGTAACTGTGTGACACCTTGCTGAGACTAAAAGAAAAAATTAAACGTATATACCACCAGAATATTAGATATACGTCCACAAACATGCGCACAATCGTAAAGATATAGATACTTATTTTTTTTCCTATTTTTACGAAGCACAATCTACCCAAAATATACTTACAGCCAGAATGCTCACAAATCTGATATGTGAGCCTGGAATTCCACATTCCTTGAGAATGTTGATGGTGGCAACTGCAGTGTTTCCGGTGGCAATGATAGGGTCCAGAACAAAACAGATGTCCACATTGGGGTTATGAGGCAGCTTGTTATAGTACTCAACAGGTTGAAGTGACACCTTTAGGAACAAAAGTTAATACCTCATAAATATGCACCAGAAATCTCCAAATTTCACACGCTGTAAACAACTTTTATTATTTATATTATTACCTTTTCACGGAAAAGACCCAAATGGAACACAGGAGCCTCAGGGAAGAGTTCAAGGAAACCTTTAAGAGTTTTGTAGTTTTAATAAGCAAGCTTGCGAAAACATGTCTTTATTTACCATCAACAAGACCAAGACCTGATCTCAAAACAGGGACCAAGGCGATTCGCTCTTTCAAATCAGTGCTTTCATAAGCTTCATAAGGGCTCATGAGCTATATAACACAAGATAGATGTATTAGCCTTGATTTACAAGACAATAAAGCAATCATAATATACTCACACTCTTCTTGCTAACAGTAGCAAGATTGGCCGAGGCTTCATATCCCAAAAGGTTTGAGAGCTCATTGACCAATTGGCGGACTTGCTTGGGAGACTGAGAGACATCTCTCAACTGAGATACCTTGGTAGCCACAATAGGGTGCTTGCTGATGAACAGAGTTTGGGTCATATTTGAGGATATTTGAGATTTAGAGAGTCTTAGAAGAGAAAGAGGTGTTTGAGGATGAATGATAGATTGTGAAAAACTCAAGGCAACTTTATGAACAAGTGAACAAGGGGGATTTGGGGGGTGCATGATAAGCGCGCGTGTCGCGTGACACAGAATGATTGCTTTATCACAGATACATGGCAAGTGTGTATATTTACTTTTTTTATTTATTTTTTCTCTTATATATATATTTTATATATTTTATATATATGATGCATAAAATCCCCACGATAGGTAAAGTGAACAAGAGATGAATGATACGTATTTGTGTGTCTCGTGTTAGGTATGAAGATAGCCCCCCCTTCATGTTAATTTTTTTTTCATAGTTATAAAAGAGAATCCATTTCAAGCCTTCAAGTCAATCCATCAAGTATTTTCCTTTCTTCCACTTTCTCTTTTTATTCTCTGTCTTTAATGACTCAACCTCAGCAAGACACCGTCCTCCAGCAATTGGTATCTACCATTGAAACCATGCGCAAAGACCAGAAGGCTCTCACTGACCAGGTAAGCCCGTTGTCTTTACATATTTCTCTTCAAGATATATATATATGTGTGTGTGTGTGTGTGTGTTTTTGGTCTAAAATATCTTATTAAATCAAAATAGGTCGAGAAACTTGCTCAGGTCAAATTATCCGAATTGGCCCTTGATATTTCTCCTTCAACGTCTATCACTGTCTTTGATGACAAGAACGCCAAGGCTGTATCAACTGCTGCTCCTGTCGGTGTTGCCGGTGGTCCCACTGGCACAACTGCCATGTACCCTCAGCGTGTGATTCTTACCAGTAAGCTTTATTATATATATATATATATATATACAAATGTATATCTGCTATTTTTATGCCTTGTGTTCTAATATACCTCCCGAACTTTGATTTTTTTCTATTTACAAATAGCCTATCCTGGTCAGCATGGTATTGAGCCAGTTGCACTCAACTGGGGTGCCGCCGACTCTAAGAAGCGTGGACCTATCGTTGCCTCTCGTCACGCTGGAAGTATCAAGAAGAGAAATGCAATTGGTGCCTATGGTGGTTCGTACTGTATCTACCGTGCCTTGGCTGTAGCTATCGGAGACTTGCCCTGCAACTACCGTCCCAACTTTGACATGACTGAGCCCACCTTCTCAGTTGGTCCTTACCCCACTTGGTTTGACCCCACCAAGATTGTCTCTCTTGACCCCTGGGGCCACACCGCTCCTCAAGTTTTCAAGAAGGAATACGAAGGAGGTTTGGATGTCAGGTAAGATATACATAATTTATTTATTTATCTATTTATTTATTTATTTTGCTAACACATCTATAGACCTACTATTGCTATCACTCGTGCTCATATGACCATGGCCGAGATGGAAATGAGTGTCAGTAAGGGTACTCTCAAGGTCGATGGTACCATTGTCGTCAACCAAAAGGGTGAGCTTGCTGTATCCAAGGCTGCCGTTGAGCCTGTGTGGTACTTGCCTGGTGTTGCTGCCCGCTTTGGTATCGAAGAGGGTCTCTTGCGTCGTGCTCTCTTGTAAGTTTTATTATTTATATTGCGATTTCTATTGAAAGTATTATTGCGAGTGGCTCTGAATAAACATGCTTTTGTAGTGAGGACACCGGAGGAATGTACCCTGAGTTGATCACTCGTCCCGACCTCAAGGTATACCTCCCTCCTATCGGTGGTATCAGTGTCTACATTTTCGGTAACCCAGCCTATGTATCGGGTAAGTCTTGTTTGATTATATAAGGTCTAGCATAGTATGGCATATAAACTAATTTCTTTTTATAGACCCTACAAAGAAATTGACTCTTCGTGTCCATGATGAATGTAATGGTTCCGATGTATTCGGTAAGTAAATTGGCAAACAAAGAGAAAAGAGTACATTTATGAACTAGTTTTTTTTATTTTATTTTATTTTTCTTGAATAATTTAGGCAGTGATATCTGTACCTGCCGCCCTTACCTGATCTATGGTATTGAAGAATGCGCCAAGCAAGCACAGGAAGGAGGTGTCGGTGTGATTGTATACTGTAAGTACTCTATATATACATATGTAATGCATGTATATTATGTGTATTAATGGCGTCTCATTATTGTTTAGTCCGCAAGGAAGGACGTGCTTTGGGAGAGGTTACAAAGTACCTTGTGTACAACGCACGTAAGTTATATAGCATACCAGTATTACTATATCTATGATGCTGACTATATATCATTATCTTAGGAAAACGTCAGGCTGGTGGTGACACCGCTGATAACTACTTCTTGAGAACCGAGTGTATTGCCGGTGTTAAAGATATGCGCTTCCAAGCCCTGATGCCCGATGTTTTGCACTGGTTGGGTATCCAGAAGATTGACCGCATGATGGTAAGCTTTTATTCTTTATTCCTAAAAATAACATAAGCCTCCTTTGTTTCGTCTCTGGATATGTATTTACTCATCATTTCTTGTTCTTTTTTAGTCTATGTCAAATATGGTAAGCAGCCACCCCCTGTGTACTAGGATAATAGATGTTCCGGGTTACTAACATTCGTTCATTGACTATAGAAACACGATGCCATTGTCGAAGCTGGTATTCCTATCCTTGAACGTGTCCCAATTCCTGACGAAATGATCCCTGCCGATTCTCGGTAAGTTTTCTTATTCACTTAATTTTTTTTTGTTTTTAACAAGCACTCATCCAATTTTAATGTTATTTAGTGTCGAGATTGATGCCAAGGTCGCATCAGGATATTTCTCAAGTGGTGCAGTTCTTACTGAGGCCGAGTTGGCCAAGGTCAAGGGACGTGGATGGGAAGATGTTAAAAACTAGATTATGACCATAAAGAAAGAAAAAAAGAAAAAAAACCAACCAACCAAACACATAGTATCCCATACACCCCCAAATGAATAATAGTAAAATTGTAGTGTTTCTCAAGATGTTCAATTGATTTGCAAATAATAATAAATAAATAAAAAAAAAAGCGAGATAATAACACCAAGTCTATAATGTAAAAGGATTTTCTATGTCAGGTAGCTTTTCTAATCTTTGTCTACGTTTACGGTCCCATACTTTTCTCAGAACTTCTCGAACCTGATCTATATTTTCTGTCCAGTTCTTCTCTGCAAGGCCTTCAAGCTTGTTTACCTGATCAGATGTATAAACAAAGTTCCATGTACTACAGAACTCTGCTGTTTGTGGATCAAATTCAGGATCAAACGCCTTGTTCAAGATAAATGGAAAATACACCACAGTCACTCTCTGGGCTTTTGTTTGATACGTTTCTCCTGTGGCTTCCTCTGTTTCGGTCTCCAAGGCATGAGAAGCAAACACAGTGCAAGTTCCGAGTGGATAGTCATTGGTCTTGCTGCTGTGGTGCTGTTTTGGCCAGCCAGCATCCACAGGCCAGCCTTTGACTCCACGTCGCTTGGCATATCCTTCAGCTCGATCAAAGTGATGGGCTGTCTGGATATCCGCACTCAGATCTACAGCAAGAATCACATCCACATCACGACCTTGGCGTAGAAGAGGGTAAAATGGGATATTGTTATCCATTCCAGCGTCCATCAAACACAACTCTTTGGATTCTATCAACGACTTTGGACGACTAAATGTGCAACCTTCTTCAATAGGACCATATTCGGGTAGATTATAGAATGGGTTGGGAAAACTTGCAGGAGATATCGGATGGTAGTTGGACATTGATTCTTGGTAGCGAAGAACAATTTCGTCCGAAGCGTCAATAGCCCTTTTAGGAAGGAAACTACGAACTTCTTGGTAGAACTGAACTAGACTTGCAGCAAACGCAGAACCGAAAACTCTAAAACATCAAATGTGCGTATGTATATGATTACTTGATGTTGCTTGTACTTGTGCTTGTGCTCGTGCTTGCGCTTGCGCTTGTTCTTTTTTTTTCTTTTGTTAAAAGAAAAGATCATTTTAACATTATTCTGTTTGTTTCGTGCCCACTTACCCCATCATAATATCCAGGGACTGTTCTGGAAGTCTTTCCAAGTTTTTACCCTGGTCAAATTTTCTTCCAAATCCCCACATAGGAATCCAAGCTGGTTTATTTATTTAGTGTTCAAATATATATTAACGCAAAATAAATCAATAAATTAATTTCAATTCAATCCGTTTACTGTCCCATATCTTTTTTTTTATTTAAGATCCACAGACTTACCGTCAATTTCTTCGCATCCCATCTCAAATGGAGTGAATTCATACCATTGATAAATGTCCTTTTCTTCTTCTGCAGTATGGGCATTATCATGTCGCACAGCACAGTATATAGGCATCGGTTGAGAGCCATCACCAAAAACGTCGTCCTGGCAAGAGAGTTTCATTGCATTCTTGGACAGCAGAATAGGTTTTCTTTGAGTCCCGTCTTCTTCGGTAACAATGCCTCGAAGGATATCTTCTTTTTTTTTGGAAGACCCTTCTGTATCGATAGAATGGTCTTGACACTCTGAAGATTCAGAGGCCATCGTATTATCTATCTTCTTTTTTGTCAAAAGAGTTGCGCCAATTAGCATTCCAAACACGTCTACCACGTTCAGCGTATTGTTTTGCTGGTAATAGCGCTCAAGAACTCCTTGCATCAATAGTTTAGCATTATTCTTGGATGCACTTAGGACAGTAAGGAAACTAGAGACATTTGCGAGGTGAGTATGCATGTGAGTCTGGAGATGGCCTGATAACTTTTCCAACGATCCACCAGAAAGAGGACTATAATACAATGCCATTGTCCAGCATGAACCAGACACACCTTTTTTTTTTAAAAAAAAAAAAGTACATAATCACTTTTCAGTATGTATTCATATACTCTTTACCTACTTACCAGCCATGTACATTACACAATCCAGAACTCCGGTATCACGCATTCCTTTTAGATATCCCGCACATCCTGCCATTGCACGATACCCACCTCCACTAAACAATTCTTTAGAGTCAACTTTTTTTATTTTGATTTTAGGATAAAAAGTGGTATTTGATGTATTCGAGGTAGTTACCTTGATGCTATCCCAACGATTGGCATGTCTTCCAATTCGACTTCGTGGGGATCCACTCTCATAAATTTTGCAAATGATTGTCTTTGCCTCTCTTTGCGCACTTTAATGAATTTCTTTTCTTCTTTTGAAAGACCAGACCCTTCTCTATTTCATGTAAAGCATAGCTACTTAGTATTATTTATCTTACACACATACACACATGGTCCAGTGCTCTTAATTACCGAACTATTGCATCTTCCCCCACTTCAGGATATATAAGCCCATCCTGATCTTCCCGCTGGATATCGTCTATTAGCTTTCGAAAATCTTCCATGGTCAGAAAATCCCAAAAATGTTCATAGCTTTCTCGGAGGGTATCGAATTGAGAGGCAAATGTTGGATATAGTTCATTCATTCTCTGATTGATTTCTTCTACAGATGGGATATGAGGCTCCGGGATATTAATCTTGGGCATTGTTGGGAGCGTAGATTTAAGCGAAAACATCTTGCTAATAAAGTCGTTTTCACGTCGAACGTCTTCTTGCATTCTATCCACTTGAAATATTTTTCGAGTCGAGTCTAGCCATGCACCTGGGCCCCCTTTTGGAGGCGATTGAGGTGTAGAAGGATCGGCTGGCTCGAGAGCCACAATGGGAATGAAATTACAAAGGATGCGAAATGGTAATGAAGGTTCTCTGATGATCAATGGAGTATTGTCTTTTGCATAATGACATTTCAATAACACGCCGGTAACTGTGCTTGCGCCAACTCCAATAAGAAATGCTCTTTGGCGCACGGTCTGAATAGACCAGGCAGCAAAAAAAGGCATCGAGTTAAAGATGCGGGGCTGATAATGTAAGTGTAAATGGAGGACAATAAGAAGAAGTAGAAAAAAAAGAGGGTTTTTCTTTATTACATTTTTTAAACGATAAATTTGAATGATATAATGATAAATGAATAATAAAAAAAAACTCCGAATTGGTTTTTTGAAAATTATGTGAGATTCAACATTTACTGCGTTGACACAAGATATTTGTGCATCCACCAATAAGCCCTCACCATGACATCCAATTAAAATTTTGATTATTTCTATGGTAACCAAAAATAAAATAAAATAAGAATATCAATTCTTCACAGTAGAAAGCATCTTGGCAATACAAACGAGGAACAATGAGACTTTCGTGAACTAATACCAAATACATTGGAGCTGAGGTAGAATTTGTATGATTAAGTACGGCTTACAGGTAGATAAAAAGATAAGGAATAACAAAAGAATATTCCCTGATAAGATTTTTGATCTCTCTCAAAAAATTGGCTATAACAAAATGTGCAAGGTCTTTTGTTTTTCTGATTTAGCTTTTGCAAATTTTTATTGGATGAATCCCTACAAAACTTTATATAAACGATATATGCTGTTTAATGTTTTACAAAATATTGAATAAACAGTTTTGGGGTGGTCAGCCTTCAAACTCTAGAGTAAAAGGAAAAGAAAATGAGCAGACCATCACTGGCCAAAGTATAAGTACTTGGCATCAATTCTATATTTTAATTGGTATCATATGAAGAATCTTTCAAGACAATAATATTCTTCTTTGCAAGTTGTTCCTGATAATATATATATATATGTGTGTATTGTATTTATTAATTGGTTTTTGTGACAATATTGTTATAAAATTATTTACATGGGCTCGATATGAAATATGGTTTCTCCAGCCCGCTTAATCAACCTATGTCTCTCTAACACATATGAATCATACATCTGCCCAGCCAGCTTTGCCGCCTCTCTATGAAGAGGCTTCCGTGAGGCCTTTGCAGCGTATTCAACGTCAACCCAAATACACATAGCCATACACTCTTGATGTTCGTTAAGGTCTGCATACCAATACTGATAACGCATCTGTACCTGTTAATAACCTTCGAATAAATGAAGAATCCAATTTATTACCTTGAGAAATCCGCCTGTTTCGATGGCTTCCTTTTGTGAGCGGACATCAGCCTCAAACAAGCGCTGGTGATCGGCTGATATCTTGCGTATACTCCGAAATACGACAACAAACCACTCCCCTTGCCATTCTTTTCCCAAAATACTAGCCAATGTGTTCCAATTGAAGGCTTGTTGGATAGGGCAGTTCAGGTAGTCCTGGGAGAGTGATCTTAGATGAGGCAGGCCTTTCTCGATCAAAGCAACGTCCACAGGTCGCAGACTGTTCAGGAACGGTTCGAGTTCAATCCCACCATAAGTCTTGCTTGTTGTCCAACCTGTAACGTTTATAATGTCGTGAAGCAAGTTTTGACCCAAAGTACTACTTCGAAACGCATCACTGTGAGGAGCTAATATCATTGCGAGAGATTGTATTGGTGGTCTAACTAAAGGGCAATCCATTGGGTTTTTATATCGAAAATAAAAGCAAGAAAAAAACAAAAAGAATCGATAGACTCATCAAAGAGATTTCTCATTGGGGAGTTTTCGCATTGACTATAGAAAAACGCAATATAAACTGAAAGTGGCGTGCGAGCATCTCCTTACATTTAAAATACAATCTAACTCCAAACTCTAAGGTACAAAGTAAAACTAAAACAAAAACGAAATAAAGTATGTTCAACAACGTAGGGATATACACACAGTAGAGTCCAGTCTTCTTTCCTTTTTTCTTTTATTTAATCATGAATGAGTATTTTTTTTGGTTTATAAAATTTACACCCCATTAAAATGAAATGCAACTAATCCATGACACAAATAATTTAGTAGAAAGTAGAAGGACGCTTGGCCAAGTAGAGGGAACGGTTGCCCTTCTCGGCACGCTGGACGCGGTGGGGAAGAGGGAAGGCAAGCTTTGGGGTCAAGAGCTGCTTGATGTACTGGCGACGGACATCAGCGTTCTTAACCTCAGCAACACGGATGATCTGGACAGATCTGAAACGAGCGCGGTGACGAGCAGCCATATCCTGGTAGCAGGTCTCGACGGCCTCGCAACGGGACATCTCGCGGTACTCCTTGTACATGTTGTGGGTGCCGGAGCGAGAGTCGTAACGGAGCCAGATACCAAAGTTCTTGATCTGCTCGGGACGCTTCTCGGAGATCTCGTTGACGGAGACAATCTCACCAGCGGCCTTCTTGACCTTGCGGAGCTTCTTCAAGAAGTACCAGAAACGGGACTTGGCAACGACAGTGTTGGGGGCAAAGATGCGCATGCGGAAGAGCTTGGGAGCAACCTCCTTAGCGGAGGGGAGCTTACGACCAACCACCTGATACTCGTGGAACTAAAGTTATAAAGTATATTAGTTCAATCGTCTTGGTGTCTTTGTTTCGCTCTTTTTGTCTCTAATCGGGTTTCTTAGGGTACACATTGAGAGCGCAGTTTATGTCGACTAGGATATGTCGTGTGTTGCTATTGGTGGTGGTAGTGGTGGCGAATACATCGATATTTCTTCTTAATTAGTTGGTTTTTTGTCGATGTTGTATGTTGGATTTATTGACGGATGGATGGATTAGAGTATATCATTGATGGATGGATAACATCCATTTTCAAAACAGATGTTCATCTAGGGCCGTTTGATTATCCTTTTTTTTTAGTTGCTCCATCGACTACGTCCTCTCCAATTTGTGCTGCTGATGTCCTTCCACTTTCGTTGCCCATAACAATGTGCACCCTCGCGTCTAATTCGGTCTGCCTGAATGGATGGATGGATCAACTTACTCTAGCCATCGTACGTGCCTTGAAGGAAAGAGAGGAGGATAGGATGTTCACCACCTGTGCCATTCATACAGCGCAAAATTTGGAGGCCGGGCAAATAAAAGTCCGCAATTGCGAGGATCGCATTCACTATTTTCTGTTTTTATTTGCGCATACTTCTGCTAAAAAAATGCGCACTTTTCTGATAGAAAAAACATCTTGGACTCTTCGGGAGCTAAATATACCCAATGTATTTACTTATTTGTCGCTGCACAGATTCATAAAGCACAAATTAAGTACGTTTATTAGTATGTATATTAATATTTATACAATCATCAAACCTAATTGGTGAATATCTTACAGGATCTACTAGAATTTGTGAAAGAATTTAATTCTTGATGCTATTATTAACTTAGATATCTTCAATTAGCTCTTCCGCCTTTAGAGGGATTTATATTGAACGTAGAGGGCTGTTTTTGTCTTTTTTTTTTGTTCATGAACGCATAATTTCCAGTAAAGCCATCAGTAGTTTTTTTTTATCATCTAATCAACTAAATTTTTCCTTCGACTTTCTCAAGACTACTTTTATTTGCATAATAAAAGTAAGTCTCTATTAAGTCCGATTCTATACTTCTTAATATCAAGTTTATAACGTAAAACTAGACTATTTAACCCACCAGGTCTATGAGCAAGTGTTTATGTTTGTCAGGGATTCGTAAGAGTTTCCTTGAGCGATTCAATTTTTAATTGCAATGTCCAATTCATACTCTGAATTCTTATTTTTTACACAACAATAAAAAAAAAGAACTATTTAAGCAGGATATTTTTTACAAGATCTTCAAAGCTTTAAGGGTTGTTTTAAGGCTGAATTCTATTTAAGCATTACTTTTCCCCCTTTATGTATATATACAGTTGTATGTTTCAATATCAATTTTCATATTTCTTTGCTATTTGAGTTCAAGAATGAAGATACATTTTTCAAACTATCCGCCAGAATTTCCTTTGAAATTTCCCTAGGGATCTCCTTCTAGATATCAATTTTTTTGTAGTTATAATTTAAGTTTCTAAAAGTGGCTGATGAAGTAGTTCTATGAACCATCTTAAAACAATCGGCACATTCTCATAAGTGACATTTAAAGTAATGTTGTATAGCTTTAATGGAAAATAAAAACGATGATCACTGCTTTTAAGTAGGAAGAGGGGTTATTTCTAATTTTATTCTTGTAGAAAGACTTGCCAAGGCTTTTATTATGCTGTACTCATTATTTTGCTCAAACAGCATACATATATCTGCTTTCAGGTAATAAACACCTTTAGAAGCACTTTTAGCCATTAGTTTCTTTTTTTTTTTAAAAAAAAAAGCTTGCTTTATATTTGTCTATATACATCGAATAATTGCGTTTATGAATAGGTTTACTTACACTGGTACTACTTTTCTCTAACTGCCTGTTGTATACAGCAATGAGTCTGTAGTTGTATTTGTAAAATGAATTATTTAAATAATGTATATAATCTCATAAATTGAAGAATGCGCCTATCCTTCTTAGTGACCTAAGCTATAGGCTTAAGACAGCCACATTCATAACAACATAGTCCTTATGACTACGTCTATAAAAAATATAATGCATAAGATCCAGAAAGTTAATATCTTTATATGAAAATGAATTCAAAATGCCTTTTTTTTTGGTGCGCATTTCTTTAAGTGATATTTGTTTTTTGCAAGAATACATATGCATTAAATAAAATAAGAGACGATAAAAAAAACTTTCAATTTTGGATAGGTTTTTTTTTTAAAAAAAAATAAAAATAAAAATAAAATATATATATATATGGAACTATTAACAAGATCAACTTCTTTCACTAGAGCTAGATTTTTCGGTAAACTTTTCAGTAGACATTTCGGCAGACTGTTCGGTAGACTGTTCAGTGGACTTTTCAATGGGGTTTTCATTGGATTTTTCAGAAAGTTCTTCCGGTTGTGGGAGATCCAACATGACCATTGCTGGATTAATTGCAATACTCTTAGTACAATCCTGAGTTTTGTAAATTCCCACCAGACGGTCGGCTAGTTCAAACATGTTATTTCGCAGACTGATAATAACAAATTGTGCGTTTTTGGTCCTTTCTGCAATATAATTGGCCACAATAGACACGTTTCTAAAATCTAGAGCTGCATCAATTTCGTCCATCACATAAAGAGGTGTTGGTTTAAAGTGGTGAAGTGCAAACACAAGCGCCAAAGAACTCAATGTCTATAGATAATTTTAAATTAGACTGTGCCAAACATTGAGAAATCATTAATTTACCTTCTCACCGCCAGATAAGTTGGAGATGTTCTTCCAACTCTTCTTAGGAGGCATCACGCTAAACACAATTCCCTCTGAGAAAGGATCCAAACTATCGACTAATTCAAGCTCTGCATTGCCACCAAGAGTAATCATCTAAAAATTTGATCAAAAGATATTAATTTTAAAGTACAGCTTCAAAAGATTTGGTCTTACTTGATACATCTCTTTGAGTTTTTGAGAAATGATATTGAAGCCATGCATAAACTCATCGAGTCGCTTCTTACGCAGTGTCTCCAGTTCTATCTTTAACATGTCCCTTTGTTCTGTCACACTATTTAAATCCTGGAGTCTTTCTTTGTATTCTGTATCACGACGTTTATATTCTTCCAGTACAGACAAATTGGGTTTGGCATCCTGTACAAGAGCTTATTGAAGAAGAATAAACATTAATGCTAAGACAATCTTTTCTATTCGTTTTATCTTACCTTCAATTTCTGCAATATCACCCTTGATTACTTGCTTGGCTCGTCTCAATTCCTTGACCTCCTCCTCGTCCACAGTGGGAAGCTCAAGCTCCTCAAGCGACTCTTCGTTAATCTTGTGGAGAGTCAATTTTGACCTTTGCTCTTTCCAATGCTCGGCTTTACGCTTATTTTCTATTAAACTACGCTGGTATTCATCAAGTTTGTTTTGTGTGTTGACCTAGAAAAAAATACATGTCAATACTATGGAAATTATAAATTACCAGATGTGCTTTTATACCTTTGATTCACGAAGTTTGTTAATCTCTGCCATTTTAGCATCGAGACCATTCTTGATCTCAATATACTTCTCCTTTTTATCTTCCATCACCTTGAGTAATACTTAGTTTGTTTAATTCATTATGTAGCCAGACATAAGCTTTCCTACTTTACCTTGCGTGATGATTCTACTTGTTGGGATGCCTCTGCTGCTTCTTTCGTCATTCGCGTGAGCTCTTTTTCGAGGTCTTGGAGGTCACTGTCAATCTTCTCTGCATCAGCTTCGGTCTTTTGAATTGTAAACTCTAGTCGTGTCACATCCTTTTCAGCCTTGGATTTTGCATATGTGCTCTTTGTGATCTTTTCATCCAATGCTTTGATCCCGTTTGTCATATCGTTTACTACAATATTTTGCAGGCGTAGCTCCATACCACCAGCCTCCATGATATCTTCGTGAAGGGATCTAATCTTTTCTTCAATATCTGCAGTCTTGTCTTTTAGAGTGGTAATATCTTGCTCGAGTGTTTGTACTTCTTCTTCGATATCTTTAAGACGTTTCACATCCGCTGGTCGAGGCTTTGTTTGGGTACTATAATAACAATATAAGCTATCACCATACTAGAGAATTTCTTAACGATACCCTCACTTACTTTAAGTTGACTAGATGGGCTTCCTCATCCTTGATTTGCTTATCCAAGCTTCTCTTGTCCATCTCCAACTTCTCCAAAGACATTTCTTTTCTAGGCAGAGTGTCTTTCTTGCTTCGCAATTCCATTTCATAACCATGTCTTTCATCCATAATCTGTCTCAGATCTACTTCCAATTGGTTTCTCTCTTTTTCCAGCAATGCCACGGTTTCGGCACTGACTTCATCCCCCTTGAAACGCGAGCCCATTGCTCCTCTCTGAGGCCGGTTTCCACCACCTGTCATCACACCTGACTTTTCGATCAATTTACCATCCAGTGTTACCACACGCCAGCGTTTATGACCATAGGCAATACGGTTTGCCTGGGTGAGATCCTTGACTACAAGTGTGTCAGCCATTATACTATAAAAGGCAGGCGCAAATTTCTCTTCTTTGGGTTGGATCAAATCAAACAGACGTGGCACGTCTTCAGGAGTTCGAATCGGGCGCAAGTCTTGGTCTCGTAATTTTTGAAGAATTGTGAAATTAGCTCTTCCAACATTGTTTTCACGTAGGTAGCTGATGCAGGCCTGGCCAGCTTCAACAGTGTCAACAACAATATTATCCAATGCAGGGCAGGCAGTTGAAATAGCAATATCATATTTGTCATCAATTACACCCAAGTTACCCAAACGTCCCTATAAGCATCCTCAGGTGTATTAGATATCTTTACTATCCAAAAAAAATGGAAGCCAAGCATGCTTCTTACATGTATTCCCTTGATTCTTCCAGAATCTCGCATTCTCAAAAGACTGTTGATGACATTTCCACGATTACGAGACTGCTGCATCGAGCCCTTAGCTTCGTCTGCTTTTTGGCGTGCTAAACTGAGTTTTTCTCGACATTCGGTCTCATTAGTTCCCAAAACCTAGTAGCTGTGAGTTAATTAACTAAATATTAAAAATTCCATTATATCAATTCACTTGCCTTGATGCGTGTCTCTAATGACGCGATTTCTTTCTTTGTTTCCGTGATAATATCAGGAAGACACTCGCTCTCAGCACACTATATACACTATGGCTTTAGAAGTAGGTCCAAATATTTTTTATTTTTATTTCTATTATTAATACTATACAAACCTTTGCTTTGTACATGTCTTTAACATGTTTGAGCTGCTTCTCTGCGTTTAGAACCGCCTTTTCGCCTGACGATATCTTTTCTGCCAGAATCTCTGCTTCAGATTTCTTGATATTAATCGACTTTCTTTTCTCGTCGATTCTTTCTGTCCAAGGAGCAAGTGTTTTCTTTCTTTCTTCAATCTCAGTCGAATATTCTTTCGTACGGCTACTGAGTTCTTCATTAATGTCATCAAGAGTTTTCTCCTCGATCTTCTTCTGTTTGACTAGTTCTTTGAGTTCCTTGTTCCGCTTCAATAGTTCGGCTGTATGTTTCTTTATGGCTTCTTTTGCCGCTACACGCGCATCTCGGTCCTAGTAAATATTATCAATATCCTATCATCTATTTTATATTTAAGCACATACCGCTTGGATCGTTGTCTTTAATTTCTCTTGCTTGGTCACCAGATGGTCTCGTTGTTCACGTAATTGTACTTCTTCCTTTTCAAACTTTGCATGATGTCGCACTGCATTTTCTAATTCTTTTCCTAATGCCTATTTGTATTTTTATCAGGTCACGAACCTGTCTCCTTCTTTTGCTTTGAAACATTTTCTTCGAGCTTACCTCGTATTCCTTCATGTTTTCTTGATAAGCAGAATCAATCTCTTTAACCTCCTTTTCGATTTCTACGTGCTTCTCGCTTTCTTCTTGGACCTTTATCTTAAGATCTTCCTATCTTTACTTTAAGTACAATGTATCCTCTCATACATACGTTGAACATACCACAGCCTTTTCGGCTACTTCCATATTCAGCTTGGATTCATACAAATATATTTGGTATAAATCATTTTTCTTCCTTGCTAGTTCATTTTCGTTTTCCAAAAACTGCTCTGCTTCTGCTTTTGATTCCTATTCGAGATCATATCAATTGATATGTTTTTTTTTGTATATGTCGGCTGAAATGTGTTTTTATCTTACCTCTAAGCTATCCTTTTCCTTTGCGACAAATTTAACTCTGTTTAATTTCTCAACCCGCCCCTCATTCACAAGCTCAAGTTTATCTGCAATAGCCTCAATTGCATCCTTATATTGAGAGGTACCAATAATATCTTCTAGGTACTCTAATAAGCCATCATCGTGTTCATCCTTTGCTTTTGGTTTCATCAGTGCGATAGATTCCACCTCGCCCTATACTAGCAAAGTCAGTGATAAAGCCACCATCATTTGTGTCTTTATATTATATCTTATTTTATACTTGTTCTTTTTTTTAAAAAAAAAGAAAAAAAAAGTAAAATTTACCTGCAAGATAAGGAAACGTTTGTGATCTAAATCAATGCCTCTTGCACGAAGTAGTGTGGTGACTTCTGAAAAACTGCTTGTACGTTTGTTAATAAAATATTTACTGCTGCTATTCCGCATGGCTTGGCGCGAGACAACAAGACGAGAGTTTGGTACGGGTATCATATCACCAGGACCATCCTTTTAAAATCGTTAAAGCATTTGTGTAAATAAGGTTTATCCTGATTCTGGTATTTCGACACTGCTTACACCATCAATGATTTCTTGAAAATGGATTTCAACAGAGCAAGATTCGCAATTGGGATACTTTGATGAACTATGAATAAGGTCGGATAATTTACCCTGTCTCATCTTGTTTGCTCTGTAACCAAACACAAAGAGCAGAGCATCAATGACATTGGACTTTCCGGAGCCGTTGGGTCCGACGACTAATTTTGATCATAAAAATCAATATTTGTTCAAGGATGTGGAAACACACTCTCTATAAAATAATATCTTACTGGCGCTAAAAGACTACAATAAAAAAAGTATGTTAGAAAGTCTATAAAATCAACAATAATATGTATTCTTCTCTTTTTTTTTTAATATATATAAAAAAAGAAGGAAAGAATTGTGAATTAATTACCTACCTTGTGAAAAGGGCCAATGACTTGACGGCCTGCATATGATTTAAAGTGATTAAGAACCATCTTTGTGATGACAAGTCGAGGCTTTCTTTCTTCAGATTCATCTAATATAGGTGCCTCTGGTGTCTCTGAAACAGGGGTTCTTTGAGATATAGGTGTGGGAAATGGCGTAGCTTCAATGGATGGTGATTTGTCGGGTTCTCCCGAAGGAATTGCAGGAAATGGTGAACGATCGCCATTGGGTAGATCGGCTTGTATGGTTTCGGTATTAAAAGTTTGTGTCTCTTCTCCAGTAATCCCCTCTTCTTCCTGAATGTGTTGCTTTTTGCGAGGAGGTTTTGACATGTTACTGACTTTATTTAGAGGTAAGAATGAAAATGAAAAAAGGCACAGAAAGAGAAAGGAGTGAAGGATTGGCTTGGACGCGATCCCGAAAAAGATAGTCACGTAATCCTTTTTAGGTAATGTTCATTCTTATCCTCTTTTTAGAAGGATTATCATGCTACAAGCAAAGTACCTCTCACACACAAACACAAAAACATACGTAGAAAGATACTTTTGGATATTTATTATTATTTTATTATCTTTGCTTCTTTCTCTACCTCTTTATACTTTATTTTATTTCATTTTGTTTTACTGTGTACTTTATTTTTATTGCCACCTGCCATGACTGAAACAGCCTTACCGCCGCTCGACTCCTTTTCAAATAACTTTTGGGTAAGGAACTCGCCATTACAAAGATGGAATCAATACGGACAGACAAAGTTAATCTTATTCTAGGGAAAAGACGATGCCGGATATGAAGTCTTGACTTCAAAAATGAACTACACCAAAAAGACCTTTGAAGAACTAAAGGCCTTTTACAGTATAAGGTAATATGATTTGACAGCTTTACCTGCCAGAATAAGATATTGATATTACATATGCTTGGTATCAACCGACTCGACTTGTGCTAATAAAGAGCATCGCTTCATGAGGAATACGGGAAGAAGTTATTAAAGCATGTAAAAACCGACCTTGGCCGTGATGAAATAGGGTGAGTGGCATGATAAAATGATATTCGATAATTTATTCCTTTATTTCAGTACTCTTCGTGTGCTGCTATTATCAGCACACAAAGAACTTGAAATGGCTGCTCAAACCAGTATCGAAATTGCACAAAAAATACGTATCAATGTTGAGGTATTGCTGGATAACTTTATTTTGGAACAGAAAGACAAGCGTCGATTGGTAAGTATTTTTTTGATGGGAGCTTTGTAGAGTAAAATATGTCTACCTTTTTTTGTCGTATAATATAAGCTGTACCTAACCAGAAATGCTATAATAGCTACAGACAAATGTTGACAAGGCCCATAGAAACAAGCAATTGCACGCAACGCACGTAACTAGAGTAAGGAAGAGTAAAAAAAAAAGAACAACATTCATATGAAATTCAGTGGTTGTTATTGGGTTACTAAAAAAGGAAACTTATTTGTTAAAGGCAAAAGAGAAATATGAAGCTGAATGTGCCAAGCAGATCACCCTAGAAAAGCAGTTTGCATCGGCTGGACAAAGAGAGCAAGATAGATTAAGACAAAAGATAGAAAGATGTACCCATGATATCAAGACATTAGGTACGCACATATGTACATACACACAAGAAATCGCTTGTTTTTAGAGCAGTTATTTATGGTATGTGATTATAGACAATGAGTATCAAAATGCGTGCCTGAAATCAGCGGAAGCAACGTCAGTTTGGAATACAGAATGGAAAATCGCGTGTGATGTAAGTGTATACTGCTATTTGTATCTGACATGTGGAATCTGATATATAGATTTTCAATAAGAGATATCAAGATATGGAAGAGAAAAGAGTGGACTTTATTCACCACAGCATGAGTGTTTATGTGAATATACTCCAAACAGCCTCAGGAAAAGATCAAGAGGTAAGAACATCTACTTTGTGTACAAATAGATGTGTTGATTTGGCCAATTGACCTAGTTGAGGTGAAAATAGTCCTATGAATTATTTTGGAAATCTCTTGATCAGTGCGATTCTCGGATGGATATCGTAACTTTCATCGAAGAGAAAGGCACTGGACCAATGATACCTGGTAAGTTGGGTAATAAGCAGGGTGTAGCCATTTTAACACATATTCAATGTAATAGAGCCTCCGGAATATGTTAATTATCTCGACGACCCTGCAAAGACACTGCCAAAATACATAATTGCCAATTTCTCGGATCATGACATTGCGCCGTTAACTCAAAATGATATGTTAAAAAAAGTTGAAAGTAATCGTAAATCCATGAGTATGATTTCATTGTGTGAGCCAGTTGCAAATCTTACCAGGGCTCTCACAAAGCCCCGAGTAAGAAGAAAGGCAGCAACCATTGGTCCTGACGATGAGATGATGAAAAAAGTACTTGAACGTCGAGCGTCAACATATTCTACCACCCCCGAACTCGTCCAAGATGACTTAAGTTATAGAAAACCTGGTCCAGCCCCAAAGGAAGAGCCGGCTTTGATAATGGATGAACCCATCGACCCTCGCGCTCAGGTTGTATTTTCTATCGGAAATAATATGTTCAACGTCAATCCACTTTTGGATCAGGGAACAATATCTGAGAAGCCGTCGAGGAAGACCAACCCTCAAAATACACGTGATTTGGATGAGGTGTGCGATATTTCGATTAAAGAGCTCCTTGATCAGCTTGGGGTTCCAAACCCAGCACAGAAAGAAGAAGAGCCTAGACAACGCCGAGAAAGACAAAGATCGACGAGTGAAATGAGAGGAGCGACAAGACAACGAGAACGTACACTATCACAAAATGCAATTTCTGAACCATACAATACAAATAAAACACTCTTACGGCGATCTTCAACCAATGAAATTCAAACAGAAATATCTAGAAACAGCTCTATTACAGAAACAAAAGACGATGGTATCAAAGTCTGGGGTAAGCATTAATATTTTTTGCTTATCTATACAAGTTTATATACATACATAAAGAAAAGGCGAACTCTAATATGTCATTTTCTTTACACACCCAGCTCGTACTTTATATGATTACACAAGTGCCCAGTCTGGAGAGCTAAGCTTTACGCGAGGAACTTGGGTTGCAGTTGTCAGGACAGATCATAAAGAGTGGTGGTGGGCATACAAATGGAACGAAGAAGCTGACGAGCTTACAGATGAAGGAGGCTATGTAGCGCGTGTTTACCTTGAAATGTTTTAGCAGATAAGATGTATTAGTTTTTTGTACACACACACACGCATATATATATATCACTTTGCACATCATGCAGAAAACAACAATGTTTTATACCAGGAGGGTTACTTGGACATATTTTCAACTTGGTAAGAGACACAATTTGAAATGTATTTTTGATATATCTGATATACTAGAAAAAAGTATTCACGGCGTGTCTTCTCCATTTATTTCGCTTATTATCTTAGGTGGTCGTTTAATTACTTTAAATAAAACCCATGTTATCCATCACAGTGTAGTTTTTGAAAGGAAAACTATTGGATATGAAATTGCGTTTTTTTTAAGAAATAATAATAATAATACTAATTATAACGAATATTTACATCCACAAGTAGATACATTACTATTAATAAAAGTAAAAGACATGAAAAATAATATATTTTTCTTGAAACTACTTTTGAAAGTGCTTTTTGAATTAGTCTTTTGACTACTATATTGAAAATAGACCATCGACGATTTAAAAGAGTGTATTCGAGACCATTTTCAGATATATATATAAAACAGGGCAATTGGCTCTTTAATAACGTCGCGGCATTTCTTCTTAAAAGTAAAAACACAGAAAGTATTTGGCTTATGGTAGTAATTATTCACTTCTTCGACTACCATAAATACGGAAAATATTGATATATATATATATATAGGTCTTCAAATAAACAACAGTAATCTATTTAATGTATATTGAATATATACATTAATTATTAATATATATATATATATATATATATATATATATATATATATATATATATATTATGAATTGTTCTTCCAACCCATATACCTGTAAAACATGTATGATGGTCATAGTGCTTAGTCTGGGTCTCTCAAGGAAACCCGATATTAGTGGTACTTGTCTGATGTGTTATGTAAGGCACTCGTTTTTGATTTGTGAAATGGTAAAATGAAGATAATCAGAATTTACCAGGATTATTCAATTAGAGTAACCGATTTTTACTTTTAATGGACAAGCTTTATCTTTATTGATTTATATGATGAATCGATTTGCTTTTGTCATCTGTAACATAAACGCTTCTAGAAAAACTATGGTTTCAAAATGGTAATCTCCACGAAAGTTACCTTTTGTATATTTTACAGAGCATATATACTTTAAGGTTGGCTTCAGAACCAAGTAAAGAAAGAAATAACCGTTTTCTCGGGATTGCAACCACATTATCCAGTAAATTCCACGAAAATTTTAATGAGAATTCTCACACCAATATACATGATATTATTCTAGGATGTCAAGTAATCTAGATACAGATACTAAATGTACGCACGGTCCCCGATCTGCCTTTTTTTTTGGTCTCCAGTTCTTTAAACCTATTAAAATATTACTTTGTATTTCTGGTTTACGTTTTTCACATTGGAGAATAAACATAAGATAAATTTTGTGGTTTATGTAATACTTCCCTAAAGACGGGATAAAATAATAGGCTACTCGCATTGTGTACCACCAGCAAGATATTAATTGAATACCAAAGCAACGCTTTTCCCCACGGCGGAGTCAAGGCCTGCATTATAAACTTATCATGACAACTGTCTGGGGTTTGGTGACCTCGAATCAACCATTATTATTCTTTTTTTTTTGACAGAAAATAAACATTTAGTATCCAGCTTTGATTGTACTGCCGTATTACGATATACTGTGGGTCAAAATGTGTAGAATAAACTAAGACTTAAGAACGTCACTAGCCATAATCTATGGCCCTAAATTTTGGAAGTAGGAGGAACAACAATTGCTAGATTTCTCATTCTAATTAATACTAGCAGAGCTAAGTTTTCGATCCGTACACTTCACAATAAGAATATTAATAAAAGGCATTTGAATAATATCACTTCAAATTGGCACCATCAGATTCTCAATGAGTGACCATCATGGTTGAAACACCGGAGAATACTAAAACAGGGTGCCTGCTAAAAAGAAATACACAGAGAAAGTTCTCGAAATATGCTGAGCAGACCGGATTCTAATTAATAATGTCTTTATATTTTCTAGTCGTCATATATATATATATATTAAAAAAAGGCAAGTACTCTTATGAGTGCTTTAATCAGACAAAAGTAACCTAGAAAATATTTGTATAGACTGCTAATGTAAGTGCAAAAAAAACATAAACGAAAGAAAGAAGATTAGAATGATTCATGTGTACTGGGGTAAAGAACTTTGGTATAACATCAAATACGTTATTTTATTTACTAATCAAATTCGTTGGCTATTGAATTGACGCAATTATACCGCGGTGGCCATCGTACTACTTTGAGTAACAATTGCCCTATCTGAGCTTGGAGTAATTACACACACACACACACACACAGAATTCTAAAGAGCTTTTAACAAATACTCTACGCTAATACAACACCTGTACATTATAGTTAATCATAATAATTTGAAATACATAGGAATCTATCTTTTGGAAACTTAGTATATAGTAAGAGTATGGAACTATATAAAGAGAGAAATAAAGTGTATAGTCTCTATTAACAGCACTTTCATGAAATATGCTCAGTGTTACACTCTTTATAAAAACATGGTTTATGCTAACCCGCACTTCTTTTTTTTTTTTTTTACTTTACTCTCCTTTTAAGGTCTTCCTTTTTACGATATTTGTAGTAGTATGTTGTCTTCTTCATTATGAGCTGAATTATCTCAAAAACTCGTTTTCAAAGTCCATATAAGGAATGATCCTGTCAATATAAATGGTAGGCTCTTACCCCAGCCGCTTATCTAGGTAAAGGCGCTAACAGAATGGTCATGACTCAAGGAAATTATTGTGCATAGTGATAAATTATCATCAAATATAAATATCCACAATTAAAATGAAACAATAATTAAAATATTGTATTGGAAATGGCATGCTTTAATTATACAGTTATATGTCAGCTATAATATAAAAGATGTGTTTCTTCATGTGTTACGTTTCGCTTCTACTGTTATTGTTTTGAAAGAAATATTTTGAGGTGCTGACACATCATTTATAGCTGTAAGTCACATTAAGAAATATATCATATTTTACTAGTCATATTCTATAATATACATTTCTTTTAAAGAATAAATATGGTACTCATTCAACTGTTTATATATATATAATACAGGACTGTATATCGTAGCCGGTTATAAATAGCCTTGTCATGTTTTAAAACTCGCTCTTTTCTATTATACACTTCTTTTAAAGACCTGAAATCCTTCGGAAATTGAAGGTCTTTAATTTGAATGACGAATGAGGGTTTAGATTATTTTACTATTATTACCGCTTAAAAAAAAATGCTAAAAAAGCAAATTTTAATTGTATCATTCTTGCAATGTTACTGTATTATATATCCATTGATTTTATAGAAAGTATAGAGGTTATGTATTCTTGATAAAAATAGGAATGTATAGTGTATAATTTACTTGTTCATCCTGGCTGTTGTTGACCCTGGAGTATTACTTTTTGCGGAGAACATAGGCTTCATATTCCGTAATAAAAAACTGCTTGGCAATTAGCTTTGAATAAAAAAAAGCACAAAAGAGCTTTAATGTACTTGGAGTCGTTTTGGATATGTACACAATGTAATTAAAGAAGCTTGCCTTGTATTATGATTTAAATTTTACTATACCAAATTACTTTTATTTTATTTTGGTAGATAATCTTATCCAGATGCGACCTTTTTTTTTATAAGAGAAAAAAAAATAGTATTCTTCAAAACACAAACGCCTGAACATTTGGTGTTATTTGTATACCTTGCTTAGGACTGGGTGTACAGAATCACAGAGGAATACTCGGTCTGAAATTGCCAACATTTACTAAAAATCTGCTCAGGTTATTGGGGTTAAACAAAAAGAAAAAAAGAAAATTGAAAGGGGTACCTGGACACACACACACTAACCTGAAATACAAAACGGTCACCAATGCCATGCTTTCAGGATGACCAAGAGAATTGGAATTATAAAATATTCAAAAGTTACACCAAATGTCATGTCTAGAGTCAATCACAGCTACATCTTTGGATATTTTATTCTATGAAGTCGGGTTTGTGTGCAATCGAGACAACTCAGAATAAACAACTATTGGCTTTCCAACAGAATCATGTTGTGATGCAACCAGGTATTATATAATCGATTGTAGCTACTCAAGTCTCACTCAGTGCTCATAAAGTGACACATGAGGAAAAGTTTGGATTTTAATAATAATTGTCAGATTCCTTTTTTTTTATATATAAATAAACAAATAACTCTGCTTTCTCTTTCTCGCTCGCCTTTTCTTTCTCTTGCTTATTACATCCCAACTATTATACCTTCAACATGCTATCAACTGCCGCCGTAAGCACCTACATCCCTTCCCAGAGAACCCCCGACCAGGCAACCCATCCTGGCTACTTCCGCATCATTCGCCAAGGTCCTCCCGAGGCATTCTCCAGCAAGTTGGTTGCTGAGCGTGACTATCCTAAAGGATCTGTGATTGCTCCTCTCGAGGGTCTCACCTTTGGCGAGAAGCGTTATTCCTCTGTCCAGGTCTCCGAAAATGAGCATGTTGAACTCAACAGTGACCTTGTATTCATGAACCATTCGTGCGACCCAACCACTCACATGGATGTCGAAAAGCGTGCTGTTACTGCACTCAAAGACATCAAAGCAGGCGACGAAATGTTTTTCTTCTACCCATCTACTGAATGGGATATGGGTAAGACTTTTGTTTGGACATAAAATACATATATTTACATTTGCTGAATCATGGTTAAAAACCTATTTTTTTTTAATATAGCACAACCTTTCCAATGCTGGTGCAGTACCTCCAAGGTAGACATATGAATAGTTTAATAAGAATTCAACTAATTTTCTTTTGTCTTATTAGTGTATCAAAACTGTCAGGGGTGCAAAGTATTTATCTTCAAAGGAACTTGAACAGTTCACTATTAGTGCCCATATTGCAAAGCTTGCCAAAGAGCGCGATGAAAAGGCATAGTTTTCTTTTTACTTGATATATTTCGCAGGCCGAATAAAACAAAAGATTCAGATAATTTATCTTTACCATTTTTAAATAAAAAATCTATCTATGTATATGTGTGTGCATTTACACATTAAAGCAATAAAGCTTTATATCCACATATTGTCGTTGTTGAAAAACTATAAGTAGCCAATAAATTAAGCACATAGCGTCTTAAAAAACGCACCTCAACTCTCCCCATTTCAACATTTCACATTATTAAAGACGATGGTATAAATAAAAATGGGTGATATCGGTTTATGTACACAGAGCAGAATAATACTGTAACGCAAGAAAAAAGATGCCATCTATACAAATCCAAATCCTGTAGAGCATTCATTGATAGCCTTAAAGAGGTTGGCTCGCAGACTTTCGTATGAAGTATACATTGGCAAATCTATTTGGTTAAAGCTAAATATATATATACATATATATATGTGTATAAGTAACCCATAAAAATCATTACATATTAATAATAATCATAATAAATGCTTACCATGTGTGCGCCGATGGAAGACGATTCTCACCACCAAAGTCTTTATGAATTTGGAACTTCTGAAGTCCACTAGATCCTTGCAAATGAGCAAATCCCTTGAGCGGTACCTTGGAAGTACCAGTAGCAAACTGGAGCAACTTTGCTCTTTCTTCCTGATCAAAGCTGCGAACTGCACGCCAGAACCACTGGATTTGAATAGAAGACACGTTGTATGTCTCGTAATCGGTATTGTTTCTCCAATCATCGATATCAATGTCAGGCAAGCCAGAAATTAGCAACTCAAGTTCTTGTTCGTTGAAAATCTGAATAAGCGAGGCTGGAATTATATCATGGAAACCCTGAAGGAATGCATTGATCTGGTCTTTAATAGCAGTAGTCAACTTCTGTTCAGTAACCAAATATACATATTCGTGCTTGTTCTGTTCAGTCACAGGAATATCACGACCATTGGGTTTGAGATCAATTGTTTTGGCAGTACCAAAGTCGTCTGTATCGATACTAAATGTTAAATCGACAACATCAGTAATGTTGTTTTCCAACATCCAGACCAGACTCTTGTAGTAGCTTGGGTCAATTGCCTCCACATCGCGGTAATCCACCTGGCGGCCAAGGATATGTTTGTAGAACGAACGAGTAAAGTATGCATCCAGGAGGCGACCGTCGTATATGGCTTTACCGATCAATCGACCAACAAACTTGAAGAAGCTCAAGTGGTCTGGATTGACCCATGAAGCACGATTAGGTTGATAGGTCAACTTGTCTGCAGCAGAGGTGATAAACAATGCGTAGTTGGGATCAAACATCTGTCGGGCAAGGACTGAGAACCATTCTCTAGTGACACCACCAGCATCAACACCCTCTTCGTCATAGAATCGCACATTAAGCTTGCCATGTTTGATTTCTTCACCGGTGCGGCCTTGCAATTGATGATAGGAATCTTCAAATACGTATTGGCGACGGACATTGAGTTGAAGTGCAGGATAATGCTCGCGAGGAGCAGTACGTTTATGCAGACGCTGGGAAAAGTAGTTGCGCTTATTGTCAAATTCAAGCATCTTCGGGTTACGAACCAAGAGAGAGAATGAGCCACTCATCAAGGAGGGGTTGTTGCGCACCATAATGTTAAGAATCTTCTTGTGGTCTTCAGTGAACGAGAAAAAGAAATCATCGGGAGACTCTGAGTCAGGGTTGACAATTGTAGTGTTTGTTCCTAAAGAGTTTGTCTGTTGCACCTGACCCTTTTCAGCAGCATGTTTCGAAACAACCAAGAAAGATTCTATCAAAGGCAATAAGACTGTTGCAACACTGATAAGATCTTCCTTTTCATGAATTACGGACAAGCAGCGTCCTAGCATCTTCCAAAGTGGTAAAAAGTCAAGTTCTTCATAGATCTGAAGAACACGTTTTTCATTTTTGAGCGCCTCTTCACTGTCAGCTTGCTTTTGGTTCTTGTTATCAGTGGATTGGGTCGGTGACTTTGGTGAGTACATATAATCAATGGTCTTCAATACACGCAAAAGTTTGGCTTGATCCGCAGATGTGGCCGAGAAATGAGACAGAGTTGATCCTTGTATTTCAGTACCAGGCATTGCATGCTCAAGAATATCTAGTAATTCGACAAGGTCCTTCAAGACCTGCTTTCCGGACTGTTTAGCATCGTATATTAACTCGTTGGTGATTGTGCGGAGGGCTCCATCAAGCTTGGAAAGATGGGAAATTGCACCAAGTGTATATTGGAAAGTCTTTCCCGAACAGTCTCCATTAGTCAATACGTGAACAACTAACTTGAGATAATTGTCGGGAATGGTCGGGGGTTTTGGAATAGCTCTCTCATTCTCTTCGGCAGCATCGTTTCCACCGGTCTGGTTCTTTTGGTTCTGGAGTTGTTTGTTTTCCACCTTTTCAACATATTTCTTGACAAGAACAGGGAAAGGACGGCACATGGTTCCGAGTAAATGCATCAATTGTTCCATAAGATTAGTGTTCTTAATAAACACAGGGCGGTCAAGCAAACTCATAAGAACCAGAAGTGGATACTTGCTCGATACAGGGGCAGCTGTAGAGGCCTTCTCCTTTCCTTTACCCTTTTTGCTGTTAGTACGCTTTAGGCCGGCCAGACAGTCGTTCTCGGTCAAAAAGTAAGTCAAGGATTGGTCATTGTATGACACGACATGCATTAACACTTCAAGACATCGCTGAGTAATAAGATCTGGAACGGTCTCACTTTCAATTGGAAGTGGTACTATGGTCTTGGGCTTTGAGGCTGGCTTAGCTGTGTTTTTCTGGACCGAGAGCTGGGCAAAGCTGCGATCGACAGCCGAAAGATCATTGCTTCCATCGTGAAGCACACATACCAACAGAGACAAAAGATCACTTCTGGACTTACTGTTCTCACACAAGTTTAACAAAAGCCGGTTCAAGAGAGCTTTGGAAATTGTCTGGGGCAAGAACAATAGTCGGGCCAATGTAGCCAGCTGGGCACGATCGACCAGTTGAACTGCATCCCGGTGAACCGCAGGCTTTTTTTGAGATGGCGCAAAAATACTGCTGTTGGTATCACCAAGTTCGGTAAACCTACCAGCACGTCTAGCAAGGTGGCGTTGGAACAAGCTGCGTCGGTCGAGATCCGAATCGGCTAGTTCACCCAGGTGAGGTGTACGGAGACCAAGAGTATTGAGTATGTCCTGTGAAGGATCACTGCTTAGGATAGGACTAGCTTCAGCTTCCACATCCTCACTCACCCCACTAATAACCGGTTCGGGCGCATCTGCAGTAGCTGTCGTTTCCTGATGTTGTTGGCGGGTTCGTCTTTGTCGTTCTATCAACTCCTGGCGCAGAACCTCATCACGAATCTCTGGGGGAAGAGCGTCAAGGAACTCGGGGCTAATAGATTCAGGCTCTGGTGCGGCAGCGGTTGGCTGGCGGTTCTGTATGTGCTGGCTTACGACTTCAGCACGCAAATCGTCAGGAAGGGCTTCCAAAAATTCAATATCAATTCCTGTTCCGGAAATATCTACAGATTCACCATTGATAGTAATAGTTGTGCGTTCAGTTTGGTTTGATGAGGCCGCTTCTTCGGTCTCCTGAGTAGCAACTTCTGGAGTTTGTGTTGTAGTTTGGGTTTGACCATTATTGTCCCCGCTAGTCGCGGTGCTCTGTTGAGCAGCAGCAGCAGCAGCAGAAGTTGCAGTAGCCTCGGCTTCGGCAGCGGCAGCAGCAGCAGCAGCACGCTTCTTCTCCTCCTCCTCCTCTTCTGCGCGTGCTTTCTTCTCCTCCTCTTCTTTACGAGCCTTTTCTGCTTCTGCGACCTTACGTTCTTCTTCTTCCTTTTCGCGCTGCTTCTGTCGTCTCTTTTCTTCTTCTGCTCGGAGTTTTTTCTCATCTTCGATAGCAATAGGGATCAGAGCATTTAGAAGAGGTTCAACTAGCTTGAGGGCCTTCTCGGAAATCGTATTTCCATACATCATACGTGCTTCTTGGTGCCAGCGCTCGGCAATTGACATTGGCTGGAAGTCATGGAGAGCCGAAAGTACCTCCTTTTCTTGACTGGCACCTTCAGTATGACTACGGCGACTAGTACTTCCAAATATAGGGTTTGGTGGGGGAAGGTTATCAAACTCAAAGCTGCGTGTCATACCCCCAGGCCCAGCCTGTACATCCACACGCACAGGTCCACTATGAGCTCCTTGTGGGGCTCGGTTGAGAATATTTTCTAACATTCGTACCGCACTATTTCCAAGAATATCTTCAAACGCTTGCCAGTTTCCGGTCAAAGGAGGGGCACGTTGGCGACTAGGAAATCCAACAGTGTTGGGTCGAGATGCAATGCGTCCTTCACTGGTAGAGGCCTGTGGGTTGTTAGCCAATAAAGGGTGTGTAATTACATCGTCTTGCAAGTTAGCACCTCCGTCCATGGGAGTGGCAAAGGGTCTGGAACCTATTCCTACTAATATATATAAGAAACATATTTAGATTACATTAAATAATATATGTATCTATATATAATCTACCTCCGTCCATTAGACTGCGTCTACCCATAGGGAGACCTCTTTCGTGTCGTCGAAGAGGGACGATAGACCGGGGATGACGTGAAAGAATGTCATCATCTTCCATCAATACACCATCTGGAAGGTCATGAGCATTGAACGGAAGATCGAGGTCTGCTGCATCCAACAGCATGTCATCTCTCAGCTCACCTTCTGGCTCATCAAGATTATCAGAATCTTCGTCATCGTCAAAGTCAGACTGATCCAAAGTAGCCATATCATCCTCCTAACGCTCTACCTTTAGTTGATCTGTTTTTATATATAAAGAGTATCTGCACCATTCTTACCTCTCCGAGAGGATCAGGGATGTAACGATGATGGTGGCCATCTAACTCGTCGCCGGAATCAATCGTAACTTCAGCGCGTACAATGACTGGATCATCTTCGATATCTTCAAGATGCCATGTCATCTCGCGGCCATCTTCATCTTCATCTACGTCGTCATCCCCGTCATCTTCATCTGATAAATGTGATCCATGCCCGGAATTATCTTCATCGTCATCAACATCTTCAACCTACAAGACCAGTAAGAATCGATTAAGTGAAATTATAAAGGTACATACCTCGTCTTCGTCCATTTCAGAGTCATATGAATGTTGGTGGAAGTCCATTGAATCCATGGCTTCATCCACTTCGTCATCTTCCTCTTCCCCTTCACTCATGTCTGACAAATCACTTCCACTATCCTCATCAAATTCATCTTCATCGAAACTGTTGTGGTATAAAAGACATGTAAACAAAGACGTTATAAAACAAGAGAGAGAAATTAGGGGTTTACCTGTCTTCGCCTTCTTCAGATGTGCCCCAATCATCTGCGTCTTCTTCTTCCATAACACTTCCAGCAATCATACCCAAAGATGAGTTGCGGTAAAGATCTGGAAGAGGTTCATCACCTTCTCCATCAACACTCGGGGGAACAAAAGGCTGTTGGTTTTTCTTCTCGTCTTCTTTGGTTTGTTCCGATGCACGTTCAATCTTGATGGCAAGCTTGGTGAGCTGTTCTAGAGGACGAAGCAAAGCACTCAGAACATTCTTGGCGTGTGGATGGTTGACATCTACATCACTTATTGTGCTTGTCAATACTGACACATAGTTCTTGTCCAACATGATCTTGGCAATATCAGAGACAGTGTCTTCTTTAGTACGATGGGCAGCTCCACCAGCATTTGGGCGTGCATTTAGGATACGGTGGCACAGATCGGCTAAGCCAAGATACTTGCTGTGCTTGACGCTGAAACTGTCATTGGATGCTACGGCGTCCTTCATGGATCGAATCACACCTTCAAGCACATACTTGCGGACTTGGACCAATTCGTTTTTAGTAGCTGCATTTGTCTCCGAGTTAGGAGGTGCATCATAACACATTGCTACCAGTACAGACGCAGTCCACATTGACAGACCACGCTGACGGTTAGCTTCATCAGTTGCAGCAGAATTCATTCCACATGGCAAAAAGTCATTAATCAACATGTTGAGAAGGAAATGGCGGGGACGTGAGACGTTGTTAGAATCCTTGGTGTTGCGCTGACGACTGAACTGGTAGATATCATACTTGCACGAAGAATACGATGATACGAGCTCGACCAAGCACTGAAGAATAAAACCGGTGTAGGCGTACTTTAGAATCTCTGGGGAGTTTGCAGCTGCTTCGGCATGCTCTCCCTCCTTTATCGAGTCGGCAGAAGGCTTAGGGGTTTCTTGGGATCGAACAATTAATAGCTCATTTAGCAAGTGATAAATAACTAGCTCGGACGAGCCTGATTTAATACCATGCTTCATAGCCTCGGAAGCTAAAGCGGCAGCGGCAGAAGAGCTTGATGACGCTGTTAACTCCTTCGTTTTCTCAGAAGAATCTTCTTTTGTTTCAGAGGTTGTCCCTTCCGCAGGTTGTTCTTTGGTGATTAGCTTTATTTGACGATTGGTGTCAGATTCATCGTAGCGTGCCAATCGGCAGATACGCTTGGCAACATCCAAGAATACTTCAGGTTCACGTAACGCGGCATGTCCATTGTTGCGAATAAACCCATTTATATCCATGTTTCTAGGGCGAGGGATAGTGAACCAAACGGTGATAATATCTTCCATGGTCTTCTCCAACACAGCTCTATTCTCAATAATGTGACGCAAGATGAGAATGATAAAAGCTTGTTGTCCTTGGAATCCATCCAAGCTAGTGCGTGGCTTTGCGAACAAAAGTGGAAGACCACCCATTTCAACAAATGAAAGTGCAGACTTGTTGTACTTTGTCAAACGAACAATCACACGCAAAATTGCGTACATATCATCTCGCTTAATATCTGCCTTCTTCAACAAACCAACACAGGCACTCATCAATAAGGTGCGTTCTTCATCTGATATGGCGATTACATCCTTGGGTTTGGCAGGGCTTTCCATTGTCTCATCTTCAGAGGATTCCTTAAACTTCTTCAGTTCAACAGACTTGGGTTCATCAGCCTGGGATACAAATATTTCAAGTACAAGTAGGACTGCAGAAAGCCATTTGGGAAGAGGTTCGTCCACGGGTGTCTTACTAGCCGCATCGACCATCGAAAGCATGAAAGGCAGGCGCGAAGGGATTTTCGGCAAGACGGACTGAATAGGCTGCTCCTTAAGTATCAGGGCCAGTAGTCTTAATCGACGGCCCAATATAGCTGCCTCAAGCTCTTCTTCCTCGTTTTCACCCTCCTTCTCTTTAGAGCTCTTTGTATCTGTTGGGGTGTCTTTGACATTCGCGCTAACAACTGGTGACAAAGCCTTCTTTGTTACTGGTCCTGCTGCTGCTGCTTTTGCCTCTTTCTTAGCCAAATCTTCTTTGGCACTGACGATGCTTTCGACCAAAAGCCCCAAGATACGGATCTGGATATCTTGTTTGGTGTCGTTCTTGCACAAAACAACAAGTAAATCGCGAATTTCAAAAACTAGATCACCGCGCATATCTGCAAAGGCAAGCATAATCTCAGGAATCGTATCAGTCAATTTCTCACGAGCCTCTTTGAGCAGGCGCGAATTCTCGAGGGCTTCTTCTTTTTGTTTTGCTTTTCGCTCGGCGGCGGCGCTGTCGGGTACAGTGTCTTCTTCCATAGATGAAGATCGTTGGTCGGGCGAACGGAGAGTGTCGAATGCAAGAGAAGTCAGGGCATTCTCAAACTGATCGAGTTCGTCATCGTCACCTTCTTCGTCATCTTCTTCTTCGTCTTCGTCGTCTTCGTCGTCCTCATCATGGTCTTCATTGTCACTGTCTTCGTCTTCGTTTTCGCTGTCATGTTGAGATCCATCTGAAAAATCATGGGAGTCGCTGACTTCTGGAGACTCTCCCTGATTCAGATTTTCTTCTTCCTCTTCTCTACTTGTTCTTAGTTCTTGTGCAGTTGAAGGTTCGGTTACAATAGGGCGAGTGGTATTATTGTTGTTGTTGTTGCTGTTTGCCGCACCACTAGGTCCGAATGGCTGAGTGGGATGGCTAAACATGTAGTCGACGGCACGGGAGACCTGATTGTTGCATCGAATCAAGGCATGCTCTGCAACAGCTCTGTCAAAGCCCATGTCGACAAGTGTCTGGATTCCCTGTTCATTTGCAGTAGTAGGTGGGCGAAGAAGGCCAAATGGAGAGTTAAAAAATGATGTTGTGGACACGGGATTAGGGGTAGCAGCCCGGGTATTGACCTCTCCCTCTCCCTTCATCATTTGAGTAACAAGTTTGAGGAGAACGCGAAGAACTGGTTTAGAGAACTTGTGAAGTTGGGGGCTGTCAAGGAGACGGGCAACTGAAGATATCTTGAGTTGGACTGCAGTGATCCATTCATGGGGGTCAAAATAATCTGGTGCACCACGGTCCTTTTCTTTGGAAGTTATAGAGGGAGTATATGGGGAATCGTGAAGTAGTTTTGGTGAGCTGAGGTTAAGTAGTGCTGTGAGGAGTGTCTCAATAGTACACTCTATACGGATCAGGAGGTCCTTTTGCGCGTCTGTGCGTGAATCATCAGGTATAGCATAAAGCACTATAGCAGTTTGCCAAATATTTTCAAGATCACTGCAGAGTAATTCTGTGCCTCCCTGGCGGTCGAATGCAATTGCCAGATGAGTCTGGAGGAATGTCTGAGAGCGTTCATCCAAGAGAAGAAGGGAAGTGGTTGCGTAGACGGAAGTGAGGTAATCATATTTACAAGCGAGAGAGCCAGTTTCGGCTGTCATAGCATTAGCCCAGGTGATATTATCTTTAAGCAATTGAGCTACAAGGTCAGCTAACTTAAAGGCCATGGTCTTTTGGTTAGCATCCATTGCACGGCGTGTGACGGAGACCTTGATCAATCCATGCACAACTGGCAAGAAGGACTGCGAAATATCGCTCAATAAAAGCTTGAGGCGTTTGACATTCAACATTCGTGGGTCTGTAGGATCCAACGTATCTCCCTTGTCCGCAGAATCCGAAGAATTTTCTGATGAGATGATTTCATCAAGTATTAGATCAAACCCGTGTATTCCGAGAGAATTGTCGATTCTTCCGGCTGGCTTCTTTATGGGTTTGGAGAGGTACCATGCCTTGGGCAAAGATTCCTTGAATAAAACAGTCTCCCACACCATGGTTCGGTATAATTGACCCAAGAGTGTAATGAGGTTGTTTTTTCCAGGAACCTCGAGTACTTCTGCCAAAAGAGCAGCGCCGTTCTTTCCGTGACTAAGGATTGATGAGCAGCATGTGTTGGAAAGAAGGGAGGCTGTGCCGTGTAACACAATGAGATTGTGTAAAAGCTCATTTCCACGGTTAATTTTGGCAGTTTCATTTTCTAAAGCAAAACAAATAGAAATGTATTTGAATTAATAAAGCCATTCAACTGATTTTTTTTACAGCTTGCTTATTTATGCATCGTACCTCTTATTTCGACATAGGGGCGCATCAGACTCTCCCTTGCTGGTTCTTCTTCTTTCATAATAAATTCAGCTGCCTTTCTAACCTTTGAGGCGATGAGAAGAGCTGTAGGCACAGGGTTAATTTCGCTAATCATTCTGAACAGATATGACAGAGAATCTGATGCAATTGTAATAGAGAAATCGGCAGGAAGCATAGGTAAAAAGTAGTATTCAAGCAGTTGCTCGGTGCAGTTATCTTTGATTAATCCACGGATATTGGTCTGATTCTGGAAAAGTCCTTCCAGGAACTAAACATACATACATACACAAACGCACGCACGCATGTAAGTATTAATGTAACCCTGAATTTAACCCTCTAAAATTCAAACTAACAAGAAAAAAACAACACCAAATTGACCTTTTTTTTGTACTTACACGTGAGATGAGATCAATAAACAGTACAAGCATGCACTCTGATTTTTCTTCCTTCTTTTGCTCTTCCTCCTGCTTTGGTGCTTGCACTTGAGTCGAGGCTTGCCCTGATTTTTCCACGGCTCCGTTATTGTCAGATTTTTTGTCTCCAGTATCCATTGTGTCTGTAATGAGCTGGAGTTGATGGCTGTTATCACTTGGTTTGCCCAATGGACTTTTGCCGATTTCTTGAACTTTGGTCATTAGTCGGAGGACACATTTGAAAACTTCTGGCTTGAGTGAAGGATGATGGCGGACAAGCTCATCCATGTGACTACCAAGTGATGTTGCATGATCAATTTCTAGAGGATTGCGAACATAATCTGGACGTGTAATGAGATCAAAGAAGTGTGGCAATGGATTTGCCTCATTAAACATCTCAAGACCCTTTTCATTAAGACAGAGAGCTCCGAATGCATTGACAGCTGCAATTAGCACCTCGCTGTTTGGATTTTCATACTTTGTGATTGTTTTGAGGAATGCTTGAGGGAGATTGGCTTCTTGGAGAATAGGCAACGATGTGGGTTCGTTGTGAATGAGGGTTGTGTGAACATTGATAGCAAGGGCGAACACGCTATTGCCGAATACTTTAGGATTTTCTATGATCTCTAGCAGGGTTGTCGGTACAGAAGAATCGATAAGATTCCGTAGTCCATCGGCTGTTCCAGACGACTCCATCATTCGCAGCAAGAATTTTAACATAGCCTTGACAGCTGACAGACGATGATAAGGCGCTAGTGCGCCTACAGGGGCTTCATTATCGTCTGTGGTTGTGGTTGTTGTGGTTGTTGTGGTTGTTGCTGTGGTTGTTGTTGCTGTTGATGTCGTTGATGTGGATGATTCTGTTGCAGATGTAGACACAACACCCTGCATGGGCTGGGTGTCAGCGTGCTTGATGCAGTATTCCACCTCGGTTTTGGTGCGCGCCAAAAGCACATCAAGCCCATTGGCAGCGCAAAAGACAGTAAAAGAAGTGACGAGGGAAGTAACAATGGTATCCAGAAGACCTACTACTTTGGTAACACTCTGTAAAAGGTGTTAATTTTTTTTAAGAAAGTATATATCATTATTATCATTAGTATTGTAATTCCTTTTTTTTATTGGCTTTGATAAATTCTTTTCAGGTTGATATATTTACCTTGATTTGAATGGAAGGATCTTGATTCTCCACCACATGCAGCAGAGTCGGGATGATTCCCGCAGACATGAGCATTGGGCCGCCTGTCTGGGTTTGTAAAAGATGCGACACAAAGGCAAACAGTGCCTCTGAGAACTCTGTTGGATAGACTGCCGTTGTTTCCGGGTTAGATTATTAGGACTTAAAGACTTTTATATTTAATAAGTGCCCTTACCATGTTCTATTTCGGGAGTATTGATTTTCCGTAACATCTGCATTAAAACACCATGATTCGCAGAGGCATTGACGGCAGCCAGCATCTCCGGGAGCTTGCCCCGGTATCTGGCCAATGCCTCTAGGGCATACAGGGCGCATGTCTGTACCTCCTATAACAGCAGATAAACTCAGCACTATGACCCCTTTTTTTTTCCTGCTTTGTACAAATAGGTCATATAATATAATATATCTATTTATCTATTTATCTATATGTATGTATTTATCTATATCTTACCACTGGCATGGCCTTTTCAGGCTGAAGTAATTCGACTATGCTTGTGATGAGTTGCGGATCGTACTGGAACACGCGTGTGTGTGCTCCTGTCTCAGATACAGTATGGCCTACAAAATTGTTTAGCATTCTTTTTTTTGTCACAGATTCAAACCAAGACAATATATCTTTACCCATAATGGCCAATGCCAGCAAACGAATAACTACTAGCTGTCGTCGAGAGGTAGGGTTTGTGATATATTTTGCGATACGGATTCCATTGGCCAGGGTAAGTTTGTCATCCCTTGACATTGTGTGTGTTTTGACAAAGTCGTTGTAGATATCTGTACAGCTTCTTGTGTCGCCAGACACATCCAACTTCACCAACTGAACACCTTCCTCTGTCCCGTTGTTCTCAACAGGTGCCTTGTTTTGGTCGTCTGAGAAGCGATAGAACTTCATCTTCACAACCGTCATATCGTCGGTTATCTCCATATCATCCCTGCAGCACTGCACGATGTTCTTACACGAGCCCCAGGCTGGCACCATAAATGATATATGCTCGTGCGGCGGGTTGAAGTTGGATCTAATAGCCCGCGGGTTGTTCACACGCTGAGCGGGGCGTAAGATAAACCGCAGAACGGCCTCTGTTACATCAAGGTCAAACGTATTGAGAAGATTGCACATTTCCTTTTAATCCATAATAATAACAATGAAAAGGTTATCAGTTTCTGGTCTTTTTCTTTTCTTTTCTTTTCTTTTGTCGTAAAAAATAAAGTAAAGAAAAAAATCCCTCGTGAATCCGTTGTAATATAGAGCTTATCAAAATTTGTACGTTAAAGACACAAGACTCACATCGTAAGAATTGTAGATATTGCGATTTGTGCAATTTTCAAACAATACTCGAGACAAGTTGGTGATGGCTAACACCAATTTTTTGGTGGGTGCGTCAAAGTCCCGGGACTGGATCTTGCCTTCAATATCATATTCTTTGCAGACACGACTCAGAATACTATCGAATCTATCCAAGACAGCTACCCAGTGAAATAAATCACCGCGTGGAAAGGTCCAATGAAGAACAGTATTAGCTTGATTAGGAATCTGATCTTCAGGTCCCTCTTCAAGCTGTTTAATCGTCGAACGCAATAGAGGCGGCTAATTCGAAAACGATGAGCGACTGATTTTGTGTTGAAGGCGTAAGAGTTTCTTACCAGAGGAGCGAGCTTCTTTGAGGGCGTCTTCTTGATTTTCATGATCTTAGGACTATGGGTTACCAAAATATATATGTATATATATAAAAAATAAGGTAAAAGAAGAAGAATAAAAAAAGAAGAAAAAGAAAAAAAAAAGGCCGCGTAAAGAATGTCAGCAGGATGTCGACAACAATTGCAAAACAAGTTTTCTTCTTACTTGCAAGAGAAATTCTAGTAATCTCTATTACTTGTCGTGTTCGTTAGATTCCTTGCGTGTATATGTATGTATGGATGGTGTGTGTGCTGTAAATTATATATATGTATGTATATAAAGATAACTAGAATAATAATGGCAATGAACAGCTACAAATCAAGGAAAGCGCAAAGACAAGTTGCCGCAGTGAGGAGGTGGTGGTGGTGGAGGAGGGACCTTTCTTCAAAGACGACTAAAACACGTCACTCAAGCAACTCCATTCATTATAACCCCGTCGTATTCTTCTTCCGCTCACTTTTTCTTTTTCCCTTCACTTATTCTTTTCTTTTTTTTTTATATATATCTTCTTCTTTAATCGAATCATGGATGGACTTGTGACAGAATGCGATGACCTTGGCAATCGCCAGCAGACAATGCATGACGACATGTTAGCAAAGCTTGAGGGTTTTAAAACTCTCTTAAAAAATACAAAAGACTCGATTGGCACAGGTATTTGTATCAGTACCCCCGCAGGTCAAGCACTTATATGATCAGACGAAGCACAGAACTTGCAGACTATGCAGCTCCTCAAAGCCAAAGCAAAGAAGTTACAATTTGGACGTCAACAAAAGGAGTTCCAGTCAGCATTGTCCAAGTTTGGAAAGGATATTGAACGTGTAAATAATAGCTGTTATGTTTGATGAATTGTATATACATATATTGGTTTTTAGTATTGTCTTTACTCACAGGATCATTTGTACTTGTCGTTGTGGGCTCTTTTTTTATTTCTTTTCTTGCTGGGGTGAAAAAAAAAACTTTGGTGTATATGTGTATATATGTGTGAATGGTCTGTACATGTTGTGGTGTAGAAATTCAAACAAGACCTGTCTGTCATTTATCATCCAGAGGCATTTTCGGGCAAAGAGCATTTGGTGGGCCGCGCATTGGCAATGCATTTTATTCGTCAAGGTCAATTTGACCTGTGCGACGCCTACATGAAAGAAGCTGGCATTCAGCAGGACAACACACTTTATGCTATGACAGAGCATCTTAAAAAAGAGTTTCATCGAATGTATGCCATTCTAAAAGAATTGGAAGCTCACCATCTTGATAGTGCTATTGAGTAAGTATTAATATTCTTATTACCCTCATATATAAAATAAAATAAGAGAGGGGGGGAGGGAGGGAGGGAGAAAATTGCCAAGAATGTAACCAGCATTGTTAATCGATTTTTTTTGTTGGTAATAACATTATATTATTATTATTATTGTTGTTGTTGTTGTTGTTGTTATTTTACATTAGATGGGCTTCTGCAAACCGTGAAGCCCTTGCAAAAGATTGTAGTAGTCTTGAATTCAATCTTCATCGTCTTCGCATCTTACAACTAAAGCAGGAAAGAAGCACACTTGAGGCCATTCAATACACTCGAGCACACTTTGCACCATTTGGAGATAAGCATTTACCAGGTATATAGATAGATAAAATATATTTACATATATATTGTACACAATTCTTGTGTACTTTAGGAGATATTTCATTCATTTGCTGTATCTTAGAAATTAAACGTTTGATGACTGGTATTATTCAATCGTCAATCAGTGAATCAAAATACGTTGATCTCTTATCTCCCACACTGTGGGTGGATATTCGCCAAGAATTCCAACATGATTTCTGTTCGTTATTAAACATGAGTGCCGAAAGTCCTCTATTTGCAAGGTAAGCTTTATTTTATATTTATATTTTTTTGAATGTGTTATAAAAGAAACCTTTTAATTATCAAATGTTTTGGATGCTAAAATTCAAAATCATAAATTTATAAAAGTGCTTTGGTTGGCACTACAGCTTTACCCATTATTCTCAAACTATATAAGATCATGAGCGCTCGCAAGACAGGTTGGAGTCAGCAAGACGAACTAGCTGTTGAAATCCCGCTAGAAGAGGAGCTTAGATTCCACTCTGTATTTGCTTGTCCGGTGAGTAAGGAACAGGCAACAGATGAAAATCCACCAATGATGATGCCTTGTGGCCACGTAATTTGTAAAGAGAGTTTGGCGCGTCTCAGTCGAAGTAGCCGTTATGGAAGGTAAGATACAAAAGAATATATATATATATATAGTGAAAATAGCGGTGTGTGCTGTACTGCGCTTTACTGTACTGTAATGTGATGTGATGTGATGTGATGTGATGCGACGGGTTATTCTTTGGTGCTTGGCTTTACAACTTGGTACATTCTGCTCACCAGCAATTATGACAGAAATGCAACACGCTTTAAATGTCCTTACTGTCCGTCAGAAACTTCCGTCGATCAGGCTATTGAGGTCTACTTTTAAATAACCTCTTTTTGTGCTTTCTTTTGAGCGTATGTTTTTTCTTTAAAAAAAAAGACAGACAGACAGAAACGTCAAATGTAAAGACTATATACTTCTTTAACTATTCCTTTTCCTTTTCGTTTACAAACAAACAAAGGGGGAAAATTCATTAATAAATAAACTTGTATAATATTCTCAAGGTCTCCTTTTTCTACAGAGTATGTTGTTGTAAAAAATGCTTGTACTGAATAATACTTATAATAAAATTCAATATGTTTTTATTTTATTTTTATTTTAGGTATCCAAAACGCTAAGCAAATTGATACTGGCACTAAAATATACACTATGTGTAATATACTGTTTTCAGATTTTATTAAACTCTAAATGCGTGTTATTGTTATTACTACTATTTTTATTTCTATTTTACTTTCTCTGACTTGGCTGATACATAAGGTGCGTATCTGTGTACGTTTCTGCTTAATATGTGATTTTGTATCAGCACAATTGTAAGTCTTTTTATGCCAATATTTATTTTTCACTTATTTCTCGGAAACAGATCAAGACTATTCTTATATACTAGATTAAATTGGAATAAATGCGTTACTGCGTATATGAGTGAGTGAGTGAGTGAGTAATAGGAGTGAGAAAGAAATATAAACCAAGGGTAGGCAGCATTAAGCAAGAGAGAAAGAGAGAAAAAGAGAAAAAGAGAGAGTATTGGAAGGCCAGATCTGGACATACTTATAATCCAAGATATTAGGCTTGCAAATATAATATTCACATAAAGACCTTCTTTTTTTTGATATATTGAATTTGGACTGACATAAATAGAAATAGAGAAGGAAAGAAAAGAAAAGGACCTCTCCAGAACATGGAACCATTACCCGGCTGAGTAAGTTAAAAAAGAAGAAGAAGCTTGGCGCATCTTGTACATCAAGCATAGACATCTTTAGCTGTTCTATAATAAATCCCTTGTTTGTGTTGCTACTACATGCATAAATTATGATTTGTATTTTACCGATCTATAAGAATCACAGCCACCAGAGATACATATAATCATTTAAGATTTGATCACATATAGTATATTTTTATCTTTGTTTGCATGGCTCACTATATGTCTATTCAGTATAATATTTGAAATATATCCAAATCACACATATATATAAATAAATACACACTCTAAAGTTCTTTAGAATCGTGAAATGATTTTTTAGGCTTCAAATGTCGCCACACCAAACAAATCCTATAAAATTATATTCAATTTGGCCCTTTTTTTTATTTTACTTTCTTTTGTTTCTTTGAGGGATATTCTGGTAACTTTTATTGATATTTGATCGTAGCCTTTTTCTTTGTGTGTGTATGTGTTTCTGTCTTCTACTGTATCAAGATGCAATCTCAAAGTCGACAGGCTGCATAAAAAGTATGTTTCTGCGCCAATTTTTTTTTTCATTTCTTTTCTTTATATTTTTATGAGGCTTATCTCTTTTATTTTCTATAGTATAAAAGTATGTTTCAGATGTGATGATAATGCTGTAATTTATTTAGCTTTAAATATATGTATTAATATCTTTGCTAAATTTTAGGTAATTATGATTTATAGGTTCTCGAAGATTGTATCTATCAAATTCAGTTATTTTCTCACAAACAAACAAACAAAGACTGTAGCTTGGAATACTTGGTTTATTTAGTCAACCTTTTTTTTGTGCATTTTTGTATGTAAAAGAGGGATATCACAAGTGTCTGAAGATGAACTTACAAATAGTGTACCATGCCAAAGGTGTATTGGATATATATATATCTTACAAGTACAAGTTAAAGTAACAAAAAGAAATGTTCAATATTCAGAGAGTTTGGCTGTCATTATTCCAATATATTTTTGTGAGCTCACTAGGACTTTGGTGGCTAAGAGTTCCTATTGAAAATATTGCACAAGCCTTGAGTTGACCCGAAATAGTTTGCCTGTAGATCTTGTTACTCTAAAAAAGCTTTTTGTTTTTGTTTTCGTTGCTGTTGTTGTTAAGGATGGTTTTGATGATGATTTCTGTACACGAATGATCCTTTACCAGCCCCTTGAATTTTGGATTTACTTTCTACAGAAACCGTAGAAAGAAATTAAGTTGTTCAGATTGTCTAGATTGCCTATGCTTTCTAGGTAATCAAGTAATAATCTTGTAGGGTGATAATTGACTTGTACAGTGTGGGGAGGAGTAAGAAGAAGAGTAAGAGGAAGAGTAGTCTGTAGCGTGAGCTCATTATACTTTGCTAACATACTACTTTTGATTCGACTAAAAAGAAAGAGGAAAAGAAAGATAAATTATTTATAGACGATATACATATAAAACGTAATGCTTTTAATTTGGTGGCCAAACAAAGCATCAGCCTCAATGGCGGTGTGCTATTTGTTTAGATATAAATACATGCCTATACATACACATGTATTTATAAATGTTCAGCTAATGCACGCCAATCTTCTCACTTAAACAAATAGGCAATAGCAGGATATAGATACAAATATATCTTTGTGTGCATGTACAGATATACACATGCAAGTATATAATCCAAAGAGTATAAATATGATTCCAGTCTTAATTCTGTCTTTGTTTCCTGTCTTTCATAAATCGTATAAATTCCATATATACACCCTCTTTCATATTACTATTCTTCTTATTAAAATAAAATAAAGGATGCATTTTAACACATTGACCGGCCTTGTCCTGACTTTCGTTAGTCTTTGTTCTGCAACCCACTTTATCGAACCAGGACGTTTCACAGTCTGGGAGACAGGTAATAAAACATAAAAAAATTAAGTATTAAAAAAAATTCTTAAAAAAAATGGTCATCTCACACAGTTTAAATATATATTGCATCGTATTATAAAGGATCGACAGTAGAAATCAAGCTTGCCAAGGGTTATGCAAGCACTGGAAGTGTTCACTTGTCAAACAACGGTGGATTTCTGCCCAAGAACCTGGGGTACGTTGTTAAAGACACTGCTTTTGAAGGACATACGGTTTACAAGTTCAAAGTATGGGATGAGCTACCAGAGGATAAGACCTATCAGTTGAGTTTCAACCCAGGCACAGAAAGTGGAAATGCCACAAACGCCATCTCGCCGCTCTTTACAATCAAGAAACCTTGTGGCAAAGGAAAGCGAGATATTTAAGGAGACACCGACGATTATTTGCAGTGATGATGATCTTCTTCCTCTTCTTCCTCTTCTTCTTCCTCTTTTCTTTCTTCTTGTTCCTTTCTTTTTACCATTTTATTGAACCGATGTATTAAACACCCTTGAGGCACATTATCTGTGCCTGTAGCTCTTTTGCAATGATTGCTTCTATATATATACACATTTATATTTATAATAATAAATCAAGAATAAAAATATATATAAAAAATTAAAAGAAATATATGCGTAATGCAATGTAAGAGTCAAATACAAATGCAGGGGCAAGATGCTTAGATAAATAAATAAGAGAAAGAAAGAAGGAAGATTGAAGAAATAGAAAGGCTAATGGAGAGGTAAAGTCATATAGATTAAGGGGAAGGGAGAGACGTGCTGGTTAAGAAAAAAAGTAGAAATTGTATTCAATACTTTAAATCATCTTAAGAATTTGTATTAAGCATTATAATTTAGCCACGCCTCCTTTCATTCACTCTAAGTCAAAAGAGAGAGAGAGAGAAAAGGGGGCGATAAAAAGGAGTTAATACATAAAGAGGTTTGTTAAAGTTGTATAGACGCAACTGTTGGTAAAATAAGAGTTTGAACTACAACAGAATTACCAGCACAGCCTTCAAATCCAACACCAAATACATATATAAAATACTTGGCAAATGTCGAGGTTTTATGATCTTATTCTTCTTTAACTTTTTGATCTATTTTATTATGAGATTTGTATATATTATATGCTTTCAAGTAACTCGTTCAAGACTTATAAGGCCAGGTTGTGCTTTGGTCAAGCTACACTTTGTAAAGATTTTTTTTAATATTCTTAAATAATAAATAAATAAATAAATAAATATAAGACCAGAGAACCATTATATATGATCATTATAAGCATAACATATCTTCTTCTTTTCCTCCTCCTCCTCCTCCTCTCACTCCCTCTCCTTTTTTTGCCTTAAGCAAGATAATTTATAGCTATACAATATATATACACATATTTATACATAGACTGTAGTATACAGTAGATATGCTTCTTTCATATTATTGTTTCTATTTAATAGATTAACTTTTTGTATTCTTGATTTCTGCTTTATTTGGCTGGATTTGTAAACGGGGAATCAAGTAACCAACACAGACTTTTTTTATGTGTATTTATAAAAGAAACCAATTAACTAGACGTCTGTTACACTCGTACAACGGTTAGGACACCAAAGGTCAATGTGTAAAAAAAAAGAAGAAAAGACAACACTCAACGCTACCAATCAAAGCACAAACCAAGACAATAAAGGATCTGCCCGAAAGAAGAAGAAAAAAATGATTTCTAAGGAGTGAAGAGAAAAACAGATACACAAAATATTAGATTATATCTAAAGAGTGTTTTGTGCCTTGATTGACTTTACATTTTCTGAATAAAAGTATACATTTATTGGGTCTTTTTAAAGATGTATGTCATTAGAAAACAGCCTTATCGGTTCTCTTTCCTTTGGTCCTTTCTATAGGCTATATAGTGTAAATTTGGTTGGTCGTTTGGATAGAAAACTGGTCCCAACCGTAAAGGCAACAAGACTATCAAGAAAAGAAGAAAAATAATAATAAAGTAAAGTAAAATAAAGTCAAAATTCAACGTATTATAAGTGTAAAAAGGGGTGTATTTGTTCTGTACTACATCATTCACTGGTTCAATGTATATATCACCTATTTTTTTTCTAATCTTTTTGGTATTCTTCTTCTTCTTTATTCTCTTCCTCTTCCTTTTATCGCGCCTACAGTCCTTTCCTTTCAGGATACTCTTCCCCCACACATTCTCTTAAACAAACCTCTTCGCTCTTTTTCCCTTCAAACAACCTTGTTCCACAAAGGAATAAACCTTTCTTCGCAATACCTAGCCCTTCAAATAACCAAATATCCCTTTTCTATATATTTTAAATTTATTTATTTATTTTTTCAATATATATATATAAAAATAATAATAATAATAATAATAATAACTATGAATACTTTGGAATCCGAACTCGGCTTTGATGATTACATGATGTCCTCAAGCTTCACTCATGGACCCAAGATGGTCTATGATGATCAATTGTACCCTGCTGGTAAGATTTCTTATTTTATTTTATTTTATTTTATTTTATATATACTGCCCTTACAATCTAGGAGAAAAAAAATAAGTAGAAAATATATAATTGCCTATAGACTTACATTCTAAATAGGCTATGGTTATGTAAACGATGGAACGATCATGAGCTCTGTGCCCATCATCTCTCACCATTACCAACAGCAATCGTTAATGCCCCCTGTCACCTTTGACGTGTATTCTCAGACTCTCTCTCAACAGCAACCCTCTAGTCCCGAATCGGCCTGTTCTCGTCTTTCACCTCCCCTGACAACACCTTCATTGTTTTCCAGTTCACCTATTACCACTACGACTGTTGCACCTTCCCCTCTCATGCCCTCCACCTCTACTTCTACTTCTACTTCTACCTCCACTTCCACTTCCACTTCCACTTCATCGTCATCTTCGTCTTCGTCTATTCTCAATGAAAAGATTGCTCAGGTTAACCGCTTGCCAGAATCATTCTTACCCGAGTTCCATCAATACTCAAAGGAGGCTTATGAGAATGGGTCTTCTCAGAATCGGAAACGAAAGAGACAAACCAAGTCCAACGATGAGGATGATAATTCGTCGGAAGCTGAAGATGATATGGATGCGGCCGAGGTCCGCCGTCAGGTCCACATTCAGTCTGAACAGAAGCGTCGTGCCCAGATCAAAGATGGCTTTGACCAGCTTCGTCAGCATTTGCCTGGTTGTTTAACAAAGAAGATGAGCAAGGCCGCTCTCTTGCATCGTAGTAAGTGTACATCTTTCTTTTATAATTACAAAAAAGTAAATATTGCTATATTCATTCATTCGTTTACTTACTTATTCATTGATTTACTCTAACATTTCTTTCTTTTATTTTTCTCTTTCTCTTTCTCTCTATACAATAGCTGTACAACATCTCCAGCATCTCAAAAAGACACAATCCGGGTTACTTACTTCACTTGACAAACTTGCAAAAGACAACGAAAATCTGAGAAAGTAAATCATTACTATTATTATTTTTATGTGTATATTTTTGATAGGCAAAAAAAAACACAACAATTTTTGGTTGGTTAAACAAACGTTTTTTTCTTCTTCTTTTTGCTGTGTAATCATTAGGTTTCAAGACTCATTTTTACAGAAGCAGGCCCTTGAAAGAATGTACCCAATGGGCATGTAAAAAAATACAAAAGAAGAAGAAGGAAAGACGAAAACCACAATGATAACGACAGTGACAATGCCAAAGACACCCAAAAGCAACAACAACAACAACAACGAATCAAGAAAGGCCCAGTCAACACATCAAAAGATCGATCGATTGATTGATTATCAGAATTTACCTTGTGGTTATTTCTTGTCAATTGAATTGAATTGAATTGATTGATTAATACTTCCTTGGTAAAAAAGCAATCATTGTTTCTTGTCTTTGCTTTTCAACCCCCCCGCTAGCCCCCTCTCTTCCATATTCCTTTCTTATGTTGTTGGTGTTGTTGGTGTTACTGTTTTTTTTTTTCAATCTACATTTTTCTTCCCCTTCTTCTTCTTTTTTTTTCATTTTCTATTACCATTCACTACAACTACTTTTTTCGCCTTCTTTCTTCTTCTATATTCATTTTCCCTTTTTTTTTCAAGCCCCATAAGTAAGTATCTTCTTCTTTTTGTCATAGTTCCTTTGATGCATTCCGAGTCACCTCGCTTCGTAGATAGTCATTTCTCTGTCGCAATGATAATTGCCTCAAAAAAAAAATCCCCCCCCCCCCCCCCTTCTTCCTCTTCCTCCTCATTTTTTTGAAGGTCAAGGTTGTCCTTTTTCTTTTTTATTTTAATTTCATTTCATTTCATTTTATCATTTTTTTTTATGAAATCCGACAACCTTGCCTTCTTTTTATTTTTTCTTCTATATCTTATTTTGTACCCACGTAGTAAGTCAGCGTCCTTTAATCTTTTCTTCTTCCTATTCGGCCTATTTTTTTTTCTTGTGTCTATGTTCCCCACTCCCCCACCCCATTTCTTCCTTCTCTACCCCCCCTTTTTTTTATTATTATTATCCTCTCACCCCTTTTCTTCTTCTTCCTTTTTACCCCACCGCCGTACATGCTCTCTTTTGAGCCTCTTATATATACAAATATATATATATAAATACATATATGAACGAGTAAAAACAAAAAAAAATATAATACATCCTTTCATTCATTTTTGATTTCTTCAATTCTGTGCTCAAACATACACACACACACAATTGAGTTTTTTTTTTTGTTTCAATGACTGAACGTGGTGTCGGTCCATTGTGTAACCTATTAATGCCCGTGTGCCTTGTCAAAAGAGAGAGAGAGAGATAGTTATCTATAATGCTGCGGGATCGCGTCTAGTGTGTTTGTATTTTGATACTTTTTTTTTACACACACCAAAAAAAAGTAATATATTGTTAATAACAACAAATAGTTTAGAAACCATGGCAACTATTTTGTTGCTATGAACAAATAAATTTTAACAAGAAAGAAAAAGGATATTTTAATAATAATAATAATAATAATAATAGTGATCAAGTAAAAAAAAAAAAGAAGTTAAAAAGAAGTAGAAGAAGAAAAGGATGAGGAAGAAAGAGATTAGGACACGCCAAGTCCCATGAGTGGGGGTTTGTCGTGTCTCCTTGGGGTCCCCTAATTGAGCAAGGCCGTCTTGGCACAAACACATGGTGGAATTGGGAGAAGCCTCAAGTGACAACAGACGCTGTGTAACACGGCCATTTCCCTGTTGGTCGGGCAGTTACCATGGTTACTAACTGCTGTGCATCCATGCGGGTGATTACAAGTCACATATGTCGCCAAACAATTGCTCTCTTCTTTTCTTTTTCTTTTTCTTTATATTAATATTGGAATCCGCATTTTTACAAGGAAACCAAGGAAAGACAAGAAGAAGTTGTTTTAAAGAAATAAGGAAAAATACTAGAAGCAATTGAATTCTACACATACCAAATTCAAGTCTAAAATTTCTCAGGACTATTTTATTTTTCTGAGCGGGCCGAAGAGACGAGCGGATCTGATAATTTGAAGCGGTCTTATTGGGTTGCATTGATAATAAGCCAATCACAGCACATGAATTGCATCATGAGGGGGGGGGGGTAAGGAAAGACAAAAAAAAATATAGAGAGAGAGGGGAGCGGGTGGCAAGTGGAGGATGTCTCTTCATTCACAAACTTTTTCTCAGGAGAAACCTAGTAACCCTTTGTTGCCCAGATGAAAGCGGGATTTATAATGAAATAGAAAAGGGACGTGACCAAAAAAAGTGTTGAATCTATTAATAGTTCTTTTTTCGGGCAGGTCAGCCAAGTCACTCACGAGTGGGTTTGAAGAGATAGATAGATAAAGACAATAAGAGTGAATAAGAGAAAAAAGTGTCTAGAGACAGATATCACTGAACATTTAGTAAAAGGCATTTGGTTTCCGATCCTTTGGGCAACAAGCTCAGCATATCTCAGGCGACTTTTTTTTTTTATTATTTTTTAGATTCTTTCTATCAATCTCTCCTCCCCCCCCCTCTTCTCTCTCACTCTCATTATCAATCACTTTCTTTCTCTCTCCTACGTCTATAGTCAAAGTCACTTTTTTTTTTCTTTTTCTTATTCTTTTTTTATCTTTTTTTTATCTTTCTTTCTTTCCTTCTTGCAAAGTTCTTTTTTAGACATCCCCCCAAAAAAAAAGTCCTTTCTTCCGGAACATAACCCGAAGAATCACTGTCCCAGCTCTAAGCCTCCCAGGAAACTGACACAAACCACCCCTCTCCCCCCAATTTTAAGCAAACGTACGTTTTCCCCCTTTCTCTTGAGTGCGTAAAGAGCCAACATTTATATATACAAATATAGACATATATATATATATATATCTGTATATGCATATATAATTTGTTTAAAAGATCTCATTACTTACTATTGATGTAATATAGTATAATAATGGGACGTAAGAAAATTAAGATTCAACCCATTACAGATGATCGTAATCGACAGGTAAACAAATAGATAATTGCATATATATGTGTGTAGATATCCATTAGGCTTTGGTTCTTATCTATTCTTATTAGGTCACTTTTCTCAAACGAAAGCACGGTTTGATGAAGAAGGCGTACGAACTTAGTGTTTTGTGTGATTGTGAAGTGGCGTTGATCATCTTCAACACCAATGGAAAGCTGGTCCAATATGCAAGCACCGAAATTGACAAGATTTTGATGCGATACACAGAGGTAAAAAAAGAAAGAAAGAAGAAGAATAAAGAAAAATATCTCGATGACCACATGAAACCAAGACAAACCAATTGCTTACTTACCACATTCTTATCATATACGTTTAGTACAATGAACCACACGAAAGCAAATCAAACCAAGACGTAAGTTGGAAGATAGAAAATATAGATATACATAAAAGGGCTTGTCTTTTTTTCTTAAAAAAAAGGAAAAGAAACAGAAAGACAGCCAGGCAGACCAACCATTTTCAATACTGATAAATGATATTCATCTCTGCTTTTTTTTCTCTTTCTTTTCTTTAGTTTATTCACGCAGCCGATGATGCGCGGAAACAAGATGATGACGACGACGATGGAAGTGGAGAAGAAGAAGTAAAACAACCATCCAAAAAAATACATGCAACTGTACCGACCCAGGCTACACATGCACTCTCTACAGCCGCACCACAAACGGCGGTAGCGGGAACCGTAGGAATCAGTCATACTCCACCACAGCCATCACAACCACAGCCACAACCACAACCACCGCATAACATGATGGTGTACCACCAGACACCCCCACGCGGTTATCCAATGAGCCTTCCAATCAACCCAGCGAACCAACAGATGCAGATGCATCAGACAGGCTACGATATATACGGCATGGCCCAGAATCACCCCATGTATATGTCAAACGTAAGTTGCGTTGTCTTATTCTAAAACGGGACCTATAAGAGACAAAGAGAAGAAATAGAGGAATAAGGAAATAACAAGAGAGAGAGATGGATTAAGTGGGAATAGTTGTTGAAATGCAAAAGAGCTTATTATGAGTATATACATATAATGAGGTTATTAACTTGAAATTACAGGCCCAACAGCAGGCTCAGCAGCAGCAACAGCAGCAACAACAGGCACATCATCATCAACAGCAGGCACATCAGGCACATCAGGCACAACAGGCACACCATCACCAGCAACACCAAGCTTCTGGTGGTGGGATACCATATCCTTCAATAATCCAACAACCGACTGAATATCATCCGCACATTTCTCACCCACCACCACCGCACGTGATTGCATCTTCGCTCGCAGGATCGCCTTATCCAGCTCATGCTGTCCATACACCAGAACCTAATGGCATTTTATCTCCTGTACTTCATAGTCCCAGTAATGCACCCAGTCCGACCATGTCGGCTAGTAGTGGCGGAAAGAAACCTAAACTCAGAGTGCAGATTCCAGATGCTGATCGGGCTTCTTCAACTCCACCTCGTCCTGGACACCAGCATCAGCTTTCTATTTCCTCCATTTCCTCTACTTCTAGTGCAGTAAATGAAGAATCTACAGAATTGCACTCTCAGCATCAACATCAACACCATCAGCAACATCAACATCAACACCAACACCAACAACAACACCAACAACAACAACAACATCAACAGCAGCAGCAGCAGCAGCAGCAGCAGCATCAACAGCATCAACAGCAGAGACAAGTTGGTGCTGGTAGACCGCCACATGCATTTGCTGAACCAGCCCCACCATCAGCTTTACCTTCTCAATTTGCTCAAAACTTGCCATCTCCTTCCACATTCTACCCAGAGTTCTACCAACAAAGCGAGTTACCCAGTCCACTCAACTTCTCAGCGACCCCCACAACCGGCGGAGGAGCTTTTCATTGGCCACCAACAGCTACACGGGACTACAAGCCGTCGCCACTCAAACTAAGGAATAATGAAAAGAGGCCTCACGATACGGACGAGGATCCCAACCCGAAAACAAAAAAGACAAAATCTTAAATCCAACCTACCTTACCTTAACTTACCTACCCACACATACACATACACACACACACACAAACACAAACACATCTATACACATCTAAACACTCACAACTGCAAAGCTGCACAAAGAGTGAAGAGTAAAGGGTGAAGAAAGAGGAAAGGAAGGAAAAGAGATAAGAAGAAGAAGAAAAAGATAAGAAGAGAAGAGAAGAATATTGGCTTTATTTTATTTTTTATTTTACTTTATTTTACTTTATTATTTTTTTTTGAAGTAGGAGGATTTTTATATCGTTTTTTTTTTTTATATATTTTTCTGTACATACATGCATTTTTTTTACAGTCTCAATGGCAAGCAAGAATGACGTCTAGATTAATTTGATTCTATTTGGGAAAAGAAAAGAAGAAGAAAAAAAGTGAAAGTAATGGGAATAGAAAGAAACCTTGTTGGAATATACAAGTATTTCATTTTTTAATTATTGAAGCCAAAAAATAATAAAATAGCTAGAGCTCATAAATATTTTCACACAAATATAAAAAACCATGAGAAAAGAAAACATCCACTCCACTCCACTCCACCACTCACCAAAATATATATTTTCATATTGTTGATAACTTAGACGTCAGATGTCGGTATTTTAACTTATAGTAGGCGATCAAAGCTCCAAATAAATATTATTTTCTTTATTTTTCTGTGTTCATATATTTAATATCCGTATTCGGATATTATATCCTAATACAAAAACCGACTTTAATCTCTCAAAATTTTGCAAAGCACAATTGGAAGACATATGCTATGTTAACTCCTTATTATCATTACTGCTGCTACTGATATTTCTGTTGTTTGTTGTACTCACTATCATAAATTATACAATGACTATAGTTCTTTGGGATACAAAATATTCTGAGCTTTTTTTTTACTAGCCGTCTTGAATAGGTACTAGTAGAAAATGCTCTAGTATAATTTAAACAAAAACAAAAAACAAAAAAAGGGGACTTCTTTAACAATAGCAGGTTTATTTTTGGTACTTTTTCAAATCTGATAAATATATATATATATATATGTTTCTTGATTTAAATAATATTTCTTGCTGATGTTTGTATGATAGTATTTTTTTTTGACGTTATGATATCTTTCCAATGTTATTTAGATCCAAAGATAATAGTATATAAAAAAAAGGGTAGATGTAACTGATAATTTAGTTTCCAAGAACCTTTGCTTGCTTGTTTCATTAATCGATTGTCGTAATATGGTATGGTACTATTTATTTATTAATGTTTAGTGTAGGAAAAATTAATAATATTATTACTTACGATTGGGTGGTGACTACAGATATTATAGAAGGCTTGGTCGCTTTCAGGTAGGAGATCATCGTCATAGGGATTTTATTTACTTCTTTTATATATACACACATAATATCATGATACCAGAAATAATAATAATAATACAATAGACTTACAAGTAAATTACTTTATTTATTTTTTATTTAACTATGTGGTTAACCTTTTTGGGAGAGCAAAATAAAATACTCCCAATTTTCCGGTTCTTTATCTACAAACACGTTTACCTTCTCCAAAAAAAAATGAGTACAATGATGGTCAAAAGTCATTACTGTGCTATTCAAAAATCATGAGTGCTACATCTAATCAGTATTTGCTTCCCGTGAAGCATAATAGGTCAAGATAGGCGGCAAATCATTTTTCTCTATTTTTCTTTGCTTTGACATATACATAACGTCAGACCTAATACCATCTGATCACTTGGAGTTATCAGAATGACAAACATTAACTTTATCGTTATTTATTTACACAATTATATACATACTAATAGACAGAAAAGCAATAATAGTAATAATAATAATAATACATGAAGATTGTCCCTGAGATCAAGCTTACCAAATACCAAAGCAAATAATGACAAAACAAATAATAACCTTGGCCTAAGCTCTTTCTTGCAATGTGATCTATTTAAACCGGAGTGTAGTAAAGATGCTAAAAACTATAGTAAATGGTCAACATTCTCTACCTCATACCCCATAACCTGAGCATACGCCAAGCCCAAAAAAAATGTAACGCCTAAAAACTTGCTCTAGTATTACCCTTATTAGTTATTATTGCGAGCTAATCTTATTAATAAGTAGTGGTTATTTATCACTATGGGAAAATAGTGGCAATGTTGATGGCAATTTTGAAATATAGCTGAGACTTTGAATCATTGCCATTGGAAGTGTCACTCATTTTATTTCCCGTAGTGTGTGTGTGTGTACATTTGTAATAATTCATTTCTTGTTTTAATGAGCATTCTATATATCAAAAAAGTCTTCTTTTTTTTTTAACAAAAAAACATAATATACATAGGCGATGTATCACATGATTTTATTTTACTATATGAGTTTTAAACTGCATGATCCACAATTTTAATTTTTAATAAAAGTTCGTTGAATAATAACAATGGCTTTATTATTGGCTAATTTAGAGCCATTTTTTGTTTTCTTACACGCGTAAAATCAGCTGTAGGCATTTGACTTATCTATACTTGCCTAAAGACAAAAATGTAAGCTGGAACCATAAAGTAAACTTGAGTTCCTTTTTTTTCTCTTGATTTACTATATGGTCTTTGCGACCATCAAGGCATTCTAAAACGTAACCAGTTGCTATATTTATTTACATTATGTGTTGCTGTTAATATGTGGGAAGAAAACAAAACAAAACGAGACGAAACCAACATCAAAATCAAAATCAACAACAATGACATCTATACAACGATTCTTACATCAACGTTAAAACCAAAAACAAAAGTAAAACTTGATGACAGTTTTGATACCAAAGTAGTAGTAGTAATAATAATTATTATCCACTAAGAATTCTTTTACTACACTGCACTGCACTGTATTGCACTGCACTAAAATATGCTACGTTGCATTACATTAAATAAAATGTTTTTCACTCTATCGAAAGAGTGAAAGAATTCTTTTATAACAATTTTATCTCCTACCGTTATAATATTGAAACCGCGAATATAGACGTTAATCGTGTATTAAAGTTTATACTCGCCGCGAATTATGAATTAAATTTCTTTTTTCAAATGGTTTGCACTTTATTTTTTATTTATTGATTTTATAATACAGTATATACATTGATTTAAGCTTTGAAAAACGCATAGTCCCAAGTGAACGCACGCAAAATGAAAGGAAAGGGAAATGAAGTATTTTTTTTTAAAAAAAAAGAATCCTATTATTATTACTATAATTACTATTGTTGCTGCTATATATATATATGATTCCTACTTATTTCTATTTGTCTATTGATGTTTATGGTAGATGTACATATGTGTGTGTGTGTATATATAAAATTTAAAGAAAATAGATAGTTAGGCTGTAATTGTTGTTGTTGTTGTTGTTGTTGTTGTTATTGTCTTTTCCTTTATGACTGGAAGTTTGTAAAAAAATTAAACATATTCTCATCCCATACTCCGTTTTCTAATGGGGACATGTCTGATATAGACACTCCTCCTACTTGTGAGTTTAGGTTTGTGTCGATTGGCATACTGGGATTAAGTTGCATAGTAGTGTCAACTGGCATACATGTTGTTGGTGTGTAGTTGTAAGATTCGGGTGTTTCTATAGGTGCATATGTCGTAGGATTTATGTTTTGAAGAGGTGCGGTTTCAAAATAGCCTTGATAATCAGAGGTAGAAAGAGGAGCAGTAAGCATAGAAGTATCTATAAATACAATTTCACGGAGAGAAGGTCAGGATTTGTGTAACGAAGAGAAAAGAAATTAATAAAATGCAATTGATTGGTTATTTTTTATTTCTTTATTTTTGCTTACCATTATCTTGCCAAGAGGTTGGCATACTGTGGTGACCAAATGAAGGTCGAGAAACATTGTTTGGTCTAAAATCACTGGGACATTGCGACGGAACGATTATGGGTACTGGATGAATGTCTGATGGGTTTGATAAAAGCTTTTCCTGGGCAACTTGTTCAATACTACTACTAATGTTGTTCCTATTGTTTGGAATTGATTTGCGTGGTGAGAGAGGAGCCATAATAACAGGAGGGGTGGCTTTTGGGATGGAAATTGGTTGTGTGTGGTGAATAGATTCCTTGATGTTCTCTGATTCTATTTGAGGTGATGGTGGAGAAACTGGCGTGGTTTTCTTGGCACGGCGTTCAAGCATGTCTTTGTGTGCTTCCTTGAGACGACCCATCAAATCGGCCTTTCGACCCGAGGCCGACAAGTTAAGAGCTCTCAGAAAGTCCTTGAGCTCCGAGACTGTAATGTCATCAAAGTTTACTCTTTCTAGCTGATCGTCCAGTCTCTTCTGGTGACTTGGTTTATTATGCGATGCCCGGTGGCTATTGTTAGCTGATTGTGACAGTGATGATCCGTGCTGTCTTGGTGCTACACGCTCAATTTGTACAGGTGGAAGGATGGGTATCCTGGTTTGGGCTGGAATGCTTAATGGGTTGATTACATATGCTGCGGGATGGTTGTGAGCCTTGAGAGAGTTTCGGTTTTGTCGTCGAGGACGGATGCCACCTTGGACGGAAATAGGTGGGACAGACGAAGACCTGCGAGCACGAGTGTGACCAACAATGTTGTGACTGCGGGAACGACCGTGACCCGCCAATCTGGATGATGTTGATGCAGCGAGGTTGTGCTGGTGTTGGTGGTACTGGTTGGGATCTATACCGGCAAGTTGTTCAGGATACATGTTTGGGATGAGCTGTGGCTGTAGCTGATGCATGTCCATTGGTGGAGTAACATTTGATTCGAGGGAATACACAGACTGTGGGGATTGCGATATCATAAAAGAATCTGGAACTTGTGATGATAATGTCTATAGAAAAAAAAAGTGAAGTAAAGAAGAAGAAGATGGAGAGAAAAAGATAATATTAGTGACATATTCATTACCTTTAAATACTTAAAGGGCTAAAATACTTTTATATATATATATATATATATATATGTATATCGGAAATAAAAGCTTATTGGTTGGTAATATTTCTTACGTTCTCGATGGGTGAAAGTTCGTATCCATAATGGTTAGAAGTCTGCTTTTGGGAAAAATCAAAAGGCTGCGGACTTGAACCGACATGATTGTTAAAAGGAGTTGCATAGGTGGGATCATATTGAGAGCAGTCTTGCATTGAGATATCGTTTTGGATATCTTGCTCTGAATGGGTGGGTGGGCTTGAGAAGCCTGGAAATGGTTCATGGTAGCCATAATAGTCTGGAAGGGAAGAAGAAGAGAATCTCAAGGATTGGGAGTCGTATGTGCTTGTGTTGTCGTCTACTGATCCAGGACTAAATGAGCTGGTCAGTGTGGCTGGAAAGAATTGATGTTTGGGAGGATGTGATGTAGTGGGACTGGTATCATACATCAGCGTGGCTGGTGGTTGATGTGGGTTTGTGAATTGATTGCTGTATATTAAATCCATTTGCTAATGTAAAATATAAAGTTGAATATGAGGAGAGGAAAAGAAGAGAAATTGTAATTGAATAAGAAGAAGGAAGAAGAAGAAGAAAAAGAGTCGAGTGAATGTCTGCCTGTTAAATAGAACAATGCCTGTCATAAAGAGTTTCTTTTTCTTTTTCTTTTTTTTTTGGCAAGCGATATTTAAGTGGCGATTTATCCATTTATGGTGTGTGTAAGGTATTCGTGTTAAGAGTCTGCTTTTACAAGGCTCATCATTACACTCAAAAAAAAAAAAAAGATCGATCTTTATAATTTTTTTTATTCCTTGCTTTCTTCCACGCCTTCTTCTTCTTCTTGTCCTCCTTTTGTGCATTTGTGCAATTCATTCTCCCGTGAAATGTTACTACCTGTTTAGGGCTTGGCACTGTTAAAAGAACTATTGGCGGCAAAGTAGTCCTATAAGGAAGATTATTTTTAATTTTCTTTATATATATAAAAAAAAGGATGAAAGTAAGTCCAGATCATGCCAGCGTAAAGGTAAGGCAAAAGTTTAAAAAAAAATTATGTGGTTAGTAGCTGTAGTGGTGCGATGCAAAAATCATTATATAAAATTTTTTTTACTTGTTTCAGCCATAATGAAAAAAAAAATCGACGGCTTTTAGATACTCTATATAATATATCTGTATATGTATTTGTATATATATTCTGGTCTCCGTAGATCACTTTTGATCAATTTTTTGTTCACTCGAAATAATTCATTAAAAGTACCTATGACCACCCTTCTATCTCTCATTCATTCATTTCTACAGACAATTGGTCCTAATATCATCCCAAGTCTATAAGCCAAATGATAATAGATTGCCCAAATACAGAATAAAGTAAATTTAAGTTTTATCTCTCATATCCTTCTTCTCTTTTGTTAATATTGAACCTTCTCAGGCCAGGCAAAAATGGCCTTATTATTGACAGTACAACAGATTTGGTCACGGAGCGGAGTTAAATAATATATATATATGGGTAACGGGTTAAGAATAAGGTGATGCTCAACAAACAGGCCTTTTTTTTTATAAAAAAAAAAGAATTGTTATTTTATTTTGACAAGTTGCCATGCTTACAAATGTCCGTTTTCTTTGGTATTACCTGCCATCGGTACGACCATTTCTATGTTTGAAGTAGAGAACGTAACTTTTATCCTATTGATATGCTTCCGTATCAAAGCTTATACTGCGGTTTGAGTTCTAGAATGAACGTGATCCTTCCAAATTCCCTTTTTTTTTCAAAAAAAGAATCCCCACTTTTGTATATATAATTTAATTGGATATTTTAAGACTATTATCTTCTACCTTTTAATATATTGCCTTGGTGTGGAGAAAGGCCACAATCTACATTATCTCCATTTCTCTCTTTCTCTCTTTAAAGTACCATATATAGTTCATTTTACATTATTATTTTTAAAAATCACAGCTTCAAGTAGCAATGGTGATCTAATTATAACCTATTTCTATGATTCGTGTAGTTCGTATCACCAAGACATTATCAACAAGTTCCATATGATTTGAGACTTGTATATATATATGTGTGTGTGTGTCTTATTAATTAAAGGGAGAGCCAAGTATTGCTTGTCTTCTGGTTATACCTTAGTCATTTGTAATGTTCTTTTCCGTAGTAAAATATTCTGAACCAAAACCGACTTTGTCTACACTCTTTTTATGATATCATCCTTTTGCCAGTCTAGGCGGATAAAGTTAAAAATAATAGAGTATTTTGAGTCACCGCCAGTTGTACACAAAAAAAGATCACTTGAAAGTCATGTTTGTTATTTCTCGATCTGTCGCTAGAGTAAAAAAAAAAGAAGAAGGCATGACAAATGATATGTTGTTGAAGTCGTGTTTTGAGTCTCTGGATACAATTGTAGAAATACACACATATATAGTTTTAAAGTTTACTTATCAATAACCAGATTATAAGACATAAGGAAAGAGGTAAAGGGAGGGAGTTTGGTTTTGCCTTCTTCTTTATGTATATAAAGTAACTTAATACTCTCTTGGAAACCATTTATTAATTTCAGCCCGCCTAATATTCTTCCGTTGGTTGTAGTACACGTATCCTACAAATCGGGGCACTTGTCTTTTCTATGAACCGTAACTACGCATACGATGCGCACAAACCAAGACAAAAAGAAAAAAAAAAAGAAAAAAAAATCCAAGAAGCGGAAAGGACTCTATCTCCGCCATCTTATTTCGTTTCTATGCCGACAGTTTTCAATTTTAACTCCTTGTAGTTTTTTTTTTATTGTTAAACTTAAATCAATTCTATTTGTTTATTTGTTTGTTTATTTTTTATATTCAATAGATTAAGCTTATTGTAAAAGCAAAAAGTCTATCTATAATCACATAAAATATTACTTAACATTGACATTGACATTGTCATTAATATTCAATTCAATTCAATTCAATTCAATTCAATTCAACTTGATGCGATTTAATTCGATCTGAAATATGCCAAATGTACATTAGATTTAAAGCGAGAACTCGGCATGTACACCTTGCAGGATACACGTGTGTATGCACTCTTAAAGAAGGATCTGGAAAATACTCGTCTTTAACAAACATAAACTCCGGGACTATTTTCTTCTCTTGCCAAAAAAAGAAACATCAAAAAGGATCCTTTAGAATTGCTTGGCAAGAAATGTTACAGAAGGTTCTTATGAATTGAAGAGCTTTAGAACATTCCAAGACAGATTTATCTTTGTTGTTTTGAAAATTAAAAAAAAATTACAGTATACAAGCCTGAAAAGCAAAGATAGAAACAAGCAACTTTTATTTCATTTTTCTCTTTGGCAGGAATATGCATTGGTCATTTTTTTTTGTATTTGACATTTGTAGAAAACACCTCTCATTTTGATTGATTGCTTGCTTGATAGATTGATTTTTTTTTATTTTCTCTAATAAATCAATTTATGCAAGTATACTGAGTTCAAGCTAATGGTTTTCACTCTCGAATACTTTAATTAGATTAAAAAGCATACCATTGTAGCCATTATCCCATATTGATACACACAAATTACTTTATTCATAATAGTAATAAAGGCAGTCAATCAAGCCAGTTTATTGTGTTTTAAAGATCTAGGATAAATCGGAATACAGATCAAGTAACCCGGTCCGTTGACTTCCGACCAACCCATTTCCTTTTTCATTCAAAGGTTGACGATGAAAAAAAAATTGCTCATCCTGCGCTGCAGATATTCTTTTTAGAAAATGCCATCGTGACATCTTCTTCATTTTATTATAATTTTTTGAGAGGGTAAAATAAATAGACCATGGTATTATAAATCCCTTCATCTTGGCACAAATCTTGGGTCAACAAAACAGTTTTGGAATATATATAAATAAAGACATACTTTGACACTACGATTTGAGAAAAATTGAAATCTAGTGTTACAAGTTAATATGTATGTATATATAAGGGTTCAAGTGCGTAACGATCAATATTAGGAAGGTTTGTGCGCGTACGTATGTGTGTGTATGTGTGTATACGTGTGGGTGCGTGTACAATATTGCTATTATAAGTGACCTGCCTAAAAGTGCCTTATTTTGTTTTCACTGATACTTAGAACGAGTATTCATTTTGCCATGTCATGGTTGCGATGACAACAGTCCAAAATAAGAAGAATATATATCTATACTGTGATGGCTAATATTTGCTCAGGCGTAATAATTATTATCAGAGATTATAATATTTGCATTAATAAATTCTTGTCTGTGCTTAATAATACGACGGTGATACTACGATGATTATCCATGTCATAATAGTTACAAGAACCAAATATATCATACCCCATAAAACTGAATGTATTCGCTGTAACCGAATATCCTAAACCTAGATGTGGGGCTACGATTCTACTCTCGCACAATTACACACATGTATATGTACTCACTCACTCAGATACACAAATGAGTCATGCCCAAAAACATTCATTAGATTTTTTTAAAATAAAAATCTAAATCATGGTTGATGTAGCAATTGTGTAAATCTAATATCCATGTATATTTTGAAACAAAAAAAAACAACAACGATAACCGAGTGGCCGGTTCTTTGTGAACCATAAATTGGTTGCGAATAGTGCAATATATGCAAAACAAAGTACAAAACTCTCGATTGACAAATAAGACTCTTGCCTTATGAGTAACTTATCATTAATGCATTTCATTAAATATAATACCTATATATGTATTCCAATTGTACAAAAAGAGACAAAGAAAAAAACTTTAACATTAAAAGTAGTATTAATAATACTCGAATGGAATTTCTTTTTTGCAGAGGAAGAGAACATTTCAGTAATCTTTGGTGATACAGCAGCATCATTGTGTCGAAATTGATAGTATTTGCAAAGCCAAATATATGAAACCCACGTTTTGCTGATAAAGATATTATAAATCTAATCTGATGTCTAAATTGTCAAGTGATTCATAAACAGATGAGCATTAATGTATTCTGCTTAAAACATTTCTCTGAACAGCCTGTATGGAAATGTTCTAATCTTCCCGACTTTCCTCTTTTTTTCCCTTGCCTTTTTGATATACCATTACCCAGGCCCTTGAACAAATACGTCAAGATGTGCGGTTACACTGAATGTATATTTTATGACGCTTTACTTCTCTATGCAATAAACCCGGATTTCGGAACAGGGTTTCAGGATGAGAACATGATATTCAATTGATTATCCAAGTTCACGTTCACGTTCAATATGCAAGCGTATAAGAGAATGTGCATATTTTGAATCGCCACTTTTTTTTATTTATTTTTTTAAAATAAAAGGTTTGTTGCAAGTTTACATAATCAATTCTAACCTGGCAAGAATGAAACAAGCTATATGTTTTATCAACATACTACAAAAATTGTAAAGCAAAAAAAAAATGCTTTTCTAAAGCAATGCAAAACGGTATCATAAAGTATAAAACTAACATATATAATCATTCTTACTATAATGCATTTTCTTTTTTCAAAGAGAGCTTCATACATATACATTAATATTTCAACAAAAGTATACAGTTTTTTAGTACAAAATAGTTATATATTTTTTAGGTACACGACCTTTTCATTTTGATTATATTTCTGTATGCTTTTTATTTTTTATTTTTTTATAAATAGATGCAAAATTTACAATTCAAGAGAAAGTCTAGCCATCTCGTAAGCTCCGTGGCGAGATTTGTTTCCTAAAAAAATTAAAGCACGGTTAATATCGACCATTGTATTGAAGCAAATTATTATCGTTAATAATAATATTGTACGCACCTCCAATGAAACTATAAAGAATAAAACATAAATGTGTAAATAATTAGTAAAATTGCAGCGTAAAATTTTAATAATCCAATAAGAAAAAAAAAACTTACCCTCCAGCGTGAACAAAGATACAGCCATCAATCTTGGAGATCTGGCTAAGCTCATTATCCCGGAAACCTCTCCAGCTAAATTATTGTCATTATTATAGTTATTTTTTTTTATTTTTTTTTAAAAAATGTTGTGAGTTGAGCAGTTTATATATATATGAGGTTAAATATCCAATTTACCTTTCGGGAAGACTCTTGCGGTTTTCAAAACCTTCGGGGCGGGTAGGTACACACTGGATACGCCAGTTACCCTCGGGGCTGGACTCTGGGTAGAGGACGTAGAGGATGCTCTTGTCACCAGTCAAACCACGTTCCTTCTCAAGGTCCATCAAGTGCTCCTTCCAGGGACACGAACGCTCAAGAGCAAGGACGCGGCCGGACAAGTGAACCTCGTTACGGTGCTCCAAGGCATCGACAACCAAGGTACGTGCAGGGAGCCAGGCAGCAATCAAGTTCTTGACATAGCCAGCCAATTCCTCACCAGTCAAGTTAGATGCCTCTACAAAGCGAGCATCGATTTCGGGATCAGTGAGAGACTCGTTCCATGCGGGGTTCTTCTTGGCGACACGGGAAGGCAAGCTGGTAGGGCTTTCCTTGAACAAAGGAGTGATGTCACTGGGGTATGCACTGATACCGTTGTCGTTGGCATCCAAAGACTCGATAAAATCCTACATGTTAATGCGGTGTTAGCGAAAAATTTTATACATAATTTCATTCTCCTTTCTTTCAGTATTATTATTATTGTTCGTATTTATTTTTACTATTATTATTATTACATTGTAAGTCTTTTGGTAGATTGTCTCAAGGTCCTCATTGCTGTGGGACTTGCCGATAATGTTGGAGATAACCTCACGACCAAAGTGCCTAGATAGTATTGAAAGAAAAAAAATATTAAGCAAACAAAAACAATGCATTCGTAATCAAGTATCTTTTGATTAATCCATATCGACTGTACATACTTGTAAACAAGGCCAGCAGAGCTAAGCTTGGTTGCGTGCTTCTCGTCAAAGGTCTCAACAAATCCACGCTATTATGCAGTTGACTGATCAGTAAATCATAATCTTTTATGCATTTATGTAATCATTCGTGTTTTAAGAAACTAAATTAGAAAGAGAGAAAGAAAGAAGAAAAATACCTGGTGGTGATCAAACTTGCTCTGTGCAGGATCATAGACACCACCGACATCAACGATGACATCGGACTCTGCCAACTTTGCAGGATCACGAGTGCGAACAAGACTGGCATCGTTAAATTCAGCAGTCTGCTTGAGCATCCATACGGCTAAAGCCTCATCGCTGTGTATAATAACAGAATGTCAATATCAGCGTGTTTATTTATTTGTGTGCCTCTTTTTTTTAAAAATATATATACAACAACTAACCAGTGAAAGTGTCCGCTGTGTGTACCGATAACCTGAAGAAAGAAAAGTGATACAGAAATGAGATCATTAGGAATCTATATTGTTTGATGATCTAGTGGTACTGCTTGTAATGTATTTACTTTGGGCATTGTAAGAATTTTAGTTAAAAAGTTATTGATTTGAATTGGACTTTGTGCCTTTAAAACTATATATAGTATTTTCGGTTGAGTTTGGAACGTTTTTTTTTTTTTTTTTAAAAAAAAATTGGGAAATTTTGAAAAATATATTGAGACGTCATTTAATTCTTTTGGGACTTAATAAAAGGGAAACGTTATGGACATTCTGGCCGGACGCTGTCAGGACATGCTAAATAGATCAAATTGAATAATTAGGCGTGCTGTCACTCGAAATTACTCTATTTTTTTTTAGGTGGAGGGTCATACTTTGATATTTGTTAAATGTTTCAAAGAAAAACACTAATCCTATGGGGCCGACATTTTCTGATGGGAAACGACATTTATATCTAACCGGGCTAATTAGTGAAAAACACAGCAACTGCCTGGGGTTTGGTGTCTCTTTTCTAATCCTTCAGGGCAAAATGGCGTGTTCTGAAGAATACAATATATTCATATCATTATTCAACTTGATCTCTTTAGCATGTTCTGCCAGTGTCTCGCCAGCATGTCCGTAACGTTCCCCTTACATACAAAAAATACTGAGAATCTCAGCAATTAAGCTTAGTTGAAGAAGCCAGAAAAAGAAAGAGATTTGAGTCAAGTAGGTTGAAATGAATGATACTTTTAATTTCTAACTTTTAATTTTCTTTTATAAACCCATACATAGCTAAAGTTTTTTTTTTCTAAAATGAAGTGTTTTGCTATGATCTTAATAACTCCAAGACCTGTAAAACTAAACCGGTCGAAACAAGGCAAATATTGGAAACTATCCAACTATATACACCTCTATTCAATCAAAGAACTGCGCGGGCTTTTGCAAAGTGGTGCTCAACCCACAACATATCATTTTTAAAAACAAAGCTGGACAGAAATTCAAAGAGTAGAAAAAGACAGCTTTATATATTAGATAAGAGCATCTCCAGCAGCCGGCCAAGTTTTATTTTGTCTAAAGCCAAACGCTGCCACTTTAACTAAAATAAAAATCATTTTCCCAGAAGTTGAATTTTTCTTTAACTTTTAAATACATTTTAAGGTTTTCAGCTAGAATATTTAAATCCCTGTCAAATTTAGCAGTTAGATAAAATTTAGGACTATCTTTCTTCTCATAAAATAAAATAACATGAACTGCTGGAAGTATGAATTTTAGCTAAAAATCTAAAGACGGAATAAAAGTCGAGATAAAGTCGACTGCTGGAGATGCTCAGATACCGTATATACACAACTATTTGTAAAGCTCAGTCGTTGAAATTGAATCCTAGATTTGACCCTTCTTTTGACACTCTATATATGGAAAGGACGGAATTGGAAACCTCAAGGGAAAAGAAAAGCCAAAATATGTAATTATTTTAAGCAGTAAAAAAGTGTACAATATTCAGCAATAAAAACATGTACACTCTTTGTCACGGATATATATTTTTTAGCATATAGGGTATCTTTTCTGACCTTAACTTTAGGTCTAGATTAGTCTCATATATATAAATATAAAAAGCAGAGGTGCATAAAAACATAACTATTATTTCATAAAAATAATGTCAGATCAATATATCCAATTGTTACACGCCACAATTTCAGATATTTTAATACTTAAGATTGCATTGCAACAAACAGATATTAATATTCTTGTTACCTTTGCAAGATAAAGCTTATTATACTTTTATTCATAAAAAAAAGGAATATGTGATGAAGGGTAAGATAATTAAATGCATATAAAAATAAATAAAGCAAATGCATATTTCATATATATATATATACATAAGAGTAATTTAGTAGGTAAACTAGATATATGGACAATTGGTATTAAAGGAGTTACATAAGGTGAGTGACTGTAAGGAAAGGATATATGAGAATAAATACAAAAACAAAAGCAAAAAGGAAAAAGAACTAATTATTATCAGAATAACAAGGTGGTGGTCCCCACCCTTGGATTACAGGATCAGATGTCTTGGAAAGAGGAGCACTTTTCGATTTCTTGGTTTTGATATCAGGCTTTGAAGCTGCAGTACTCTTGATCTTACATGGACATTGATTGCATGTCCCCCACAATGCATTTCTAGTAATTGGCTGTCTTTGTTCCCAAAATGAATTAGAATGTCTACTGCTTTCGAAAGATCCAGAACAGTTATAACTCGGAGGAGGTGGCAAGATCATTTGACGGTCATCATCAGCAGCTACCAAGCGACAGTTCAGCATACGGACCTGAGACTCGAGGTTAAGCTCGACAGGCTGCCCATCGCACTCCATTACCACAGAAAAATTTAACCAATGATTGATTTGGATCGATTCATCTTCCATGCTCGGGTTCAATACAGCGTTCGAACATGAAGGTACAGCCATCTCAAAACGACCAGCGAATGCTTCTCCTACATTGACAGGGTGATCGATCTCCTTGAGATTGACCAGCTTGTACTTGGTGGGGCTAGAAGAATCTTCTTCAGAACAATCTGGATTTCCATAATAGTCTATTCTTTCGTTTGATAGACCAGAAAAACCGCTGCTCGAGAAACTGTGCTTGTCGCTACTTGGGTTTTGCGAAAATGAAGTATTGGAAGGCTGATCAGAAAATATACTGACTACCTTTTGATTAAACTTGTCTCCGAGATATCCTTTGGCACCAGTATCATTTGAAGATTGCTTTCCGTCAAAACGGTTGTTTTCTGTGGCCTGACCCTTTGATGGGTAGCAATATGCCCATTTGAGAAGCATGCGTCTAATTTCGGTAGCCTTTCTGGTCTCTGCCGGAAATCCGTGCGAATGATTGCTGGGTACCTTCATTCTGTACTTGCGTGTCTCGGTGATAGTTAGAACAATCGATTTGATCTTTGCGGGGAATAAGGTAGGTTCAACATGGACATCAAGTCCTATGCTTGTACCGAGTGCAATAACGGTTCGATCGACACTTATACGGAATCGGATCCCCTGCTCTTTATTAGCCTCAAAAGGAGAACGGTGGTAGTTGTCTATGCTACGTCCAGCAAGTGAAAAGGCTAATCGATCGATCTGTTCATCTAGGGATGTAACATGGCGATGTGTAAGATTGAATTGATTCCAAGGATCGATTAATGGTGTAGACCCTTCTTGGTTTTCTCTTTCTTGGGGATCAATTGAGGAACCTATTGCTAGTTGATCGGTGTTGTTGACATCCTCTTGTACTTCACTTGGGATAGTATGAGGAACGAGAGGCTTGTATTCAAGAGCACGAATGAGACGTATGTGTTTTGTGGTGACAAGATTCTTCTTATTGACAGAAAGACGAGCCCAGTCCAGTAGTTGCTGTGCGCCACTTTGATCTCGGCTGGCATTCGATCGTCGCAAGGTGGCACTGAGCTGATAGAATATATCAATTCGTTCGGGTATTGAAACAGTTGGAGGAAGAGCAGCCGATATAGGAAATTCGAATGGGAAACGATGAACGCCTGGAGGCATAATTCCATTTGTATTTGGTGGTAGCAGAGAAAGTTCGATGGATTGTAAGACTGTCTCTATAGTATTTCCCATAGGTCGTAAGATCATGATCTCTGAGGATGATCATATTAATATAACAGTATCATTGAACCATTGAGAATTTCTTTAACTGCTTGATGACATACCGCTCCATGGATAGAATCGTTGGATTCCTTCAAATAGAATCTCAATTGGGCCTTGTATAGGTGTAGGCTTTTCAAAGTTTACGATCACTTCGCCACGGATAAGGACAGATCCAAATGATTCTTCAAGATATATAACAGATTCGTCAAGTACCACTTGTAGTGGGTTCTTTTTGTTGGGTAAGATAGTCATCATATTAATTCAGTATTTGTGTGAGAACGATGATTGCAAAAAAATAATAATATTTGTGTGGAGTAAAAATAAATAAATGGATTAATTTCAAGATAGGAGGAGTAAAATATCTAGTCAATATATGTGTTTTTAATTGAGTCAACTCTGATTCTCGGACATATCGATTAATAATCAAACATGTCATAGCAATAATGGGCCTCTTTTACAGAAGTCCAGCTGATAGGTAAACTAAGCGTCAGATCAAGAGTTTGGTGACCCACAATAAGGTTAATTCAGTAGACCATCAACTCCGGCTAATTTACTGCGGAAATCTCATATTCAATGCAGAGAGTCAGTCATACAAAACGATATTTTTGGGACTCATGTACATAACAAGGGTGACTCACGCCCGTCACATTGAATAGTAGAGTACAACCTCTGAATGGCAAAATCTATATATGTAAATATGACGGAGGTAAATACTGATCGTAAGAGTTGACACCATTATTTTCCAATGGTTGGCAAGCACAAGCGTTTGAATTGCACGTTTTGCATACGGCGAGTTAATTTCTTGTACGTATGGAATGTTCAAGAACACCATTCAATTTTGGTGACTGCCATTTCAAATGACAAGCAATGACTAAGTTTTATATTAGAGAATGGGAGTTAATGTGGAGATAAGTCAAATATTCCGTCAAGATGTTCACCGAGTGTTCGGTGAGCATTTATTGGGCTTAAAACGGTAAATGGCATAAACATCTAGTGAAACGTGGGGTATACTTGGCTTTTTTGTCGACTTGTTGGGATATTTGGACAGCAACTTGTTGTACGTTATGATTATGCGTACGATGACCTTTATCTATTCAAGTAGATGGGACCTTCATTGGGACTGTTCTTAGTATTAGTGCATATACTGCTTATTTGCAAAATGTTTTAATGCATTGAATAACCAAGGAGAAACTATAGACCGTACAAAGATCTGCAATGGCTGTCACGAGATCCATTTATCATAATCATTGGAGATTTCATAAGAATTTCCAAATATTCTCTTTGGCTACAAGAAGACTTGGCCACCATAATATTTTTTGTATTACTTTTTGTCTCTTGCCCTATTTGTCCCAATATCAATCTACATCTTTATCTCCATCTCCAGTAAGAGGATCAGTCACATCTATTACACTCTCAAGTTTCAAAACAATCCGACTCATACTGACTGTCAAACACAAGCATTAGTTATAGACATACCTGTTCTGTTGGAATATTCTCCGTTCTTATTTCTTTCAGGAACTTTTGGCTATATTTGAACAATATTTGCTCATGTCAAAGGTCAAAATAGGCCTCCTTCTCCACCTCTCGCAAGTTCATCGTTTTCTCTTTGTATTTCAAGGATACAAAAAAATGGAGATGAAATAAATATATCTTCCTATATAAACTATGGGTAGGATAGTATACATGTATATGACACAGTTACAGAAATAAATTACTTAAAAGACTATTATTGAGGCCATATAAAGATGTTGTATTGTCATTTTAAGTACAATATATAAATAATTATATATATATATAGACATTATCGATGCCAATAGCCTGGTACTATCTATTATTTTTAGTATATGCGTCTATAAACCTATACATTGACTTGGCTTTTTTTTATAAAGAAAAATAAAATAAAAGGCAATAAGTACACTCTTTTTCACATAAGCCTTAATCACATATTTGGATTTGTCAAATATAGCCAGGAAATATGTACTCAAAAACTTTAATAGATAATATAAACCCACATACAGCTATACACATATATTCATTCACTCACTCATTCATTCATTCAGTCATTCAATATAATGCAAGATATTGTATGTTATATTCAGAATATACTTCAAATATTGTTACACTAACTGGAGTCTCTCTTTCTTTTTGAATAATTTTCTATTTTGAGAGATATTTATCAGATCACTCATATTGACCTGTACTGTATTATTTTGCCCTGAATAAAACACCAAAATTGGTATTTTTTACAGATTGATTTGGATTTGCATACATATATACATATATACATATTAAAGATTGTTTTAGAAGTATAAACCATTAATTGTAGCTATATTCTAGGCTTATATTAAAGAAATCATGTTTTTCTCTTTCTCTCTAAAGAATGGCCATTAATTGAGTAACAGGATTATCGAGTCATATTTTTGGCACGGTCCTCAAATATACCTATCTTGTTATCTATCTATCTACAGCATCTCTTATAATGATCGATATATCACAAAACTTCGGCGTAATACTAAAAAATAAGCATGTAAAACATTGTAATTAAAACACAATAAGAAAAAGAAGAAGAAGTATGATCTATTATTATCCTGCTTTAACTCGTAGGTATCTTAACAATAACGGGTTCTGGCTATACAAGATTTACCCTTCTTCGGGCCGGCGTTATCTAAAAGCCGTGATGTTAGACAAACATACGTATGTAGTGTATTTTACCAAGATAGAAAATGGCGTGTGAAATATAAATAATTTCAACAACAACAAAAAGAATCTCTAAATTAAAATTACAAGTAACCCATTCAATTGAATTGGTACACCATTTTATTTGCTTGGCAAGATATAGATCTTGATGACAGGCAATATGAAACCAAATTATAGACTATACGGCGGAAAATTAGTGGCGATTCAGATGGCGTTTTTGAAAGAAAGAAAGAAAAAATGTCTATGATACTTTTCAAAATTGGCATCGGAATTATCAAATTTTTTTTTCAAATAGTGCTATATCATATATGATACTCTTGACAGCCAAATCACAACAAGAGTTGATTGATCAAAGACGGTCCGGATTACTGTATAGCATCAACAGTGTTCATGGTTAATTTTTTTTGTGTTTTTATGTGCGTTTTTATTTTTGTATTTTTTATTTATTTTTAGTTGATTTTAACATATACAGCTAAAAGATGATAATATAGAAAATACTCTCTGAAAATAGTAGACCCAAGAGAGAGAGAGATAGTATCAAATGTGTTGGTTTGCACTGCAAGACATATCCTACATAATTACTTTTATCTGGACGAGCATTCTTATATTATACACTATAGACAGCTAAAAAGGAGACTTGTCAATATTTAAGCAGCTTCATGGGTTTAGAGTATGCAGCGTGCAGTGAGGCCTAAGTGCTTGTCAGATGAGATTAGATCTAATTGTACGACTGTCCGCAGCAGCATCAACAAATCTACTAAAAGGTGATTAGTTTAATTCTACTGGAACGGTTACATGCTTGTCCTACTTGTTGACATTAACGGCATAACATGGTACTAATCGGCTGCTGATATGTAATACATTGCCTTTTTCTATATATATATATATATATATATATAGTATTTATTCTTTACTAGATCATAGATATAAAAGCTATATAGAATCAAATCTATTCCAAGATACATCCCTTTATTCAGAAAATATAGAAGCACGTCATATATATATTACAAGAAATATTTCGTTTCAAGCATAGCACAGACTGATTAGAGCAATGCCTTTAGCAGCCAAAGTGGTGAGAAATAAATTATAGTAGGAACATTGTATTATTCCCAACCGTTGGATATAGGATGAGCACTTTGCTTCACATACTACATAAAATATAGTATTTTTTATTATATTGGGCAATAAATAGGAGATAGAGGAACCAATTCTCGGTTTTACATTTACAATTATACATATCTAGATGTAACCTTACATAGTACAGCCTACATAATCAGATCAAATCACCATAAGAAAGCTCTCAAAATTTATTCTGATCTAGATTACAGTAACAACAAACCAAAGAAAGGTATGATATATTTAATATGGGGTTATTATTATCATTATTAACCGAGTACATTTTTCAGAAAGTACAAATTTAGAAAAGAAAAGAAAAGAAAAGAAAAAAGGTACATTATCAGATAAGATTAAGCAATTTTTTTTTTTGGTTCTTTATTTAAAAGAAAACATAACTGACCAAAAGAAAATTTGTACTTTTTGTAAGCTATACACATTAATACATCCCTGATAATTTACATTTCGGCTGCTATTTCACAAGTAATTTGTAAAGGTAAAATGTATAACTTATAAATATCTACAACGTATACCAATGTTTAGCTTACACATATATATATATAGAAGAAATCTCAAATAAAGGTTTCTTTGTAAATTTTTTTTTTGTTTGATATAAGTAAGAATCATTAGCTCTTTTGATTGGTAAGATATAATCATGTTTTATCAAAAGAACACGTATCCACAGAGCAATATTATGTTTGAGCCAAGAGAAGACTTGTAATAGTGGTAGTCAAAATAATAGGCATTACCGTTTTACGTTTTTGGCAAGTAGTGATATTTTTAAGAATGCGATACTTTGGACCAAGTGGGGTATGGTCGGTATTATACATTCTAAAAGTAAAATACAACGATTTCTTAACGGTTAAAGAAGCCCATAGTGGCTTTGTAAAGATAAAATAAATAAATAAAGGAAAATATATAGAATCACGGATATACCGACTTGAAATAGCACGAGTATAAGATTTAGTAGTGTAACCCTGCATTTCATAAAAAAAAACCTTTTTTTTTGTATCATTTATTAGAGAAAGAAAGTGTTTGGTCTATTCAATGTTTTCACTAATTTCTTACATACAATAAAAGAAGTTGATTTAATAAGAAATTATATATATACCTCTACATGTTTGCATTATATGCCTAATGGACTACCTAAGGTTCATTCAAAGAGTATAGTCTATAGCTATGTATATTGAAAAAAAAGGTAATGCTTTATATATATATATATAAAGTGAATTAGCAAATGTTGTTAGGGATGGTCTGAGAGTGGGATTTTGATTATACTCCCCCCCCCCCCCCCTTTTTTTTTTCGTCCACCCTTTACCTTGTAGATCTTTATGAATCTCCGCTTTAGAGCAAAGTACCCACTTATTTTCTGTCGCGTTGAGTTTTAATTATACGTGCTGGTGGCTTTTACAGGTGGAGGCTTCGTAGAGTAGCTTCGTAACAAGTACTATTTTCTCCCGTTTTTTTAATTCTCTCCCTTCTCCCTACTTGAAAAACAAAGCTCAATATGTCAAACGCTACTATGAGTACCGTCATCTACAACATTTATAACGTTCAGAATGCCTTGGTCAACTCATCCTTGGATGGCATCAAAATGCTTCCTCTCAATACAACGATATCAGTGAACTCCAGCGAATGGCAGCAATGCTTAGACCGCATTAACTTTCTGTGCTCAACTAAGTGGACAAAGAAGAGACGGCTTCGCGAAAGAGAGCTCATTTTCGGTGAGACTCGGCAGTGTCATCGGGCAGGCATCTACAAATCAGAACGCCAAAACCGTCTCGCGCAAAAGGATTCCAAGACATGCGGTTGCACTGCTGCTTTGCAGATAAAGCAATACATTAGTAATCCTGATGTTGTTACGTTTTGCATGAAAAAAGACCATACAAACCACGTTCCTGGCGAGGCGTCAGAAATTGGAACCCTCCCTTTGCCTTCCGAGGAAATCAAAATTATCGAAGATCAGCTGAGGGGTGGAAACAGTTGCAACAACACTGGAGCTTCTGTTCTCAGACAGATTGATGACTGGAGTGTTGGAGTAAGAGGGCCAAATTATGGAAATATTTACAATTGAAAGGGAAAGGTTTGTAAATATATATATATTGAGAGCTTGTATTTAATAAAGTTTTGTACAAAAATATAGATGAAGACTTTGTTGTACATGTTTGATTCTGAAGAAAAAAACACCTCTTTCAATTTGGATGAATGTGAAATTAGCATCACAGAAATATTGCATATTTACAGGCAATATTTCTGCTTACAGTACCAACGAAAAATCTATTTGCTTTTGGATTCCAATCACCTTCGCAAGTAGGAGTCATGATAATTACCCAGTCGTTTTGCCTCGATGCTACCCACAACATTTCGTCTAAAAACATGGAAGTTACGTATTCCTTTGGTAACTCGGCATCTTGAAACTGGAAAAAAAGGACTTCCCTGTTGCATATATGATAAGTAAAGATCAGAGTGTTGATCTTATCAACCAATGGCTTGTTCATCTTTGTGAGAACAGTAGTAGTTTTTTTTTTTTTTTTTTTTTTTTTTTATTACCCTCACCCCTCCCCCTGTCTATATTACCATCAACATCGATTATAACATTCCTGAAGTTAATGCAATCGCAGCAGCATTACATCTGACTGCAATCCATTACTGCGAGTTACATGCTCTTCGTGCTTGGCAACATAATCTCGACAACAAAAGTGAAGTCAAATGCTTTATTTACATCAGATCAGCTTGCTGCATACAAACAAGAGCTAGAAGGACAAACTCAAGGACATTCTAGTTGAATTAGATGAGCAGGATGTTTTTGAGAGAGTATATATATATATATATATATATATATATATATATTTAAAAAAAAAGAGAAGAGGAAAGGAAAAAGAGAAAAGAAATAACAGATTCAAGGCTTCAAGTAGCAAAACCAAAATGCAATATCAACACCAATTTCTGTAATACTTTGAAAGAAAATGGACTGCAAACGAAGAGCTGTTGAGAAGATGAGGAGGGCCGTACATCGCTCAATATCAAATAGACTTGGCCAATAATTACATCGAAGCATGGCCCAAACAGCTGAATTACTATCCTACTTCAATCGTGCTCGAATCAGAAGATTGGATCGTTTTATTTTCATCCTTAAAAAACGATAATGAAAATTCATTTTTACGAGCAAGACAGGAAGGAGATAAAGATAATTCACTTCCAGCAACGCTTAAATGGGACACCGAAAAATAAACTATTCAGATCTTTCTTTACCGCTTCACAAATACAAGGTGTCCTGCTCTTCTTCTATGATCATAAGTCCTTTTAGGGTGATACTAGTAGATAGTATGGATGTCTCTAATTGGGAGTGGTAAATACAATTATTTGTAACAGACAACACATGGGTACACAAATAATGTCGTAGAAAAGTTTGATACAAAGCTTCTCTTTTTCAACTAATAAAGGCAGGGATCACACACTCGAGGAGAAGAAGCTTTATTATTGTTATTGTTATTATTACTATTAGTATTGATGGATGGCAAAGACGTTGAGGAGATAACGAGGAATATGAGCAAGAGCAAGAGCAAGAGCAAGTGTAACCTATGGCTCTATTCAAGTATGACAAAGCCATTGAAGCAAGACTATTATACTACAACATTAACGAGAATATATTAAGCCGTATTATGACCACCTCAGGTGTCGATTTATTAAAATTAGAAACAGCCAATATCTTATTATAAAATACTCTAGATTACTTTGGTAATGATGGAAATATGATTTGGGTTGGTGGGTGTAAGGCATAAATTAGCATATATATGCAAAAGACAAGATGCTTAGAAAACAATAGATAGACAAGATTGTACGTGATTTGGAAATAGTAGTAGAAAGCTATTTTTTTTTGCTATTGAATCTTACAATCCAAACTTACTTTTGGATAGGACAAGCAAGAACCCTATATTCGACCTTGTATGATTATTATTATTGGAGTGTAGCCACTTAATTGATACTTTATCGAACAAAGACAAGAGGTATATGTATATATACATACTTCACTCTTTTGCTAGGGTCAGTAAAGCACTAATCATTATTTTCTAAGGATGCCTTGCAAGAAGGGATATTTTCAAATAAACAATGTTTTCTGGAAATTCATTTTTCCAGAAAAATAATACTACTACCCCGGTGTTTTCAATACGGTGTAAATAGAGGTAGCGTCAATTCGAGGTTTATTTCTGTCATTCTTCACTCTTTGTACTCCTCTTCTATATCTGTCCTAGAAAGTGTTCAAATTTGAATACCACCAGAGCCTATGCACTTTTTCTGTATGCAATTTTGAGTTTGACATTTATTTAAGCTATTTTGACGCCAGAAATAAACCTCTATTCCGAGATGCTTCACTACGAAATGATTCATCTATTTTCTCATGTATAAAAATATTACAATGACCAAATGCTTTTTTTTCTTTTTTTCTGCCAATTAAGCCTACCCTTACTGAGAACATTACAAAAAAAAACATCATGAATAAGCGATCCTTTGACTGGCCATTCTAACGTTACAGTAAACCAAATGAAAATAATATGGAAAGCTTTATATATAAGCTCAATTTGATATTCTATTGCCAAAATACATTATCTATTTTCACAATACATAACTGACAAGATTCTTTTTTGCTGCTGTTGTTGCCGTAATGCTCTCTTAATTACAGTCATCTTCTTTCACTTGGTCTGTTTATTCAATGGCAGATTCTGATTGGGAATCGTATAATATATATGACGGACTAAATGACTGTCGAGAATATAACGGTAAAATATATATTTCCTATTGAATAAAACATACGTTTAGTTAACAGTGAAAATACATAATATACATACATACATACATGCATGTATACATGCATACACGCCTATTTACACCATGGTGCAAATATACGTCGCGTAACACGATTTTTGATTTTGAGCATTAAAAATTGAATACAAGAGGAGTGTGAAGGATACAAACTTGAATGTCATCAGGACACACACTTTCCCCGCATATCCATTTGAGTTTTATTTATTCAATTACTTGGACTTGAGATATAAACTTCTTTATCCTGAAACACTTTATCACGAAAAGTCGCCTTTTTGTTTTCTCAAGTTTCTTTGTTTACGTTTGGCGTTTGTTTACTATAAGAAGAAGATAAAAACAAACGTAATGTTTGTTTTTGTCAATCAAGATGATTCTCATTAAAGTTACATTACAAAAAAGTAGTATGATGAATAAATAAGATTCCAATGACTGACTGATTATTCAACTTTACAACTAGTACAATTTAGTGCATCAACTACACGGCTATAAAAGATATTGGTGTAAAAGATTGCCAAATGGTCTGAATTAAGTTAATCAACACTTGTATACTGCCGGTAACGAATTACGAGTAATTCGGTTTGGGTTATTGAAATGCTTATGAACTAAAAATTATTCTATAAAAAATTGATTCTAAAGGCATAATGCCTAACCTCTTTTAATTTGAATAACGGATCAGAAATATACTTCTTTATATGTAATATAGTCTTAGTGCTGGGAATGGAAACCTTGTCGTGGATATGAATATATCGTACTCAGATGTGTTTGATGTTCTGAAATAAGATTTCCTCCAAATCCCCGGAAAACGTTTGTATGAACCCTAAAATAGCCTGTGTGTTCTAGATATTTATTAAAGGCCTTTCTTCTTCTAAAATGATAATAATAATAGGTAAGATGTCTAATACTAACAGATATTAAAGATCTGGCCTGACAAATCAAGCCAAACCCAAAATTGCTTATAGCTATGTAATATATATATAAAAGATTCTGGTTTAGATGTTAATAGATTAACCTTAAAAAAAAACAGCTTTTCAAATGATTATTAAAAGGTTAAATAAACTCGTGGATATCACAGTTTTCATATTCTGTTTAATATATAAAGCAAGAGGATGTTCAGCTGGATTGCTTTAATAATAAAAGGAATACAAACAATAGAGCACACTAAAAGAATATTGAGTCTCAACATTGGTGAATTTATTATTAAATATGCTATCTGTAATAAATATATATATATATATACATGCACACACATGCTCACATACATGTACATGTAAATGTACACATGCATATATGCACGCATACACACATACATGGTATCACCACATCCATCATATCTAAAGATCTTATTAAATTGGCTTAATATTTTTTAACCCAGAAACTAAACATGATGTATGCATATAGTAAACCTTTTCTTCATAAATATAGATAGACAATTGGTACCAGCATACAAATCCTGGATTTATTAAAAGGATAATACTAGTAATATCAAAATTTACCTTTAGACTATTGTATACATCATTTGCCTGTATATTTTGCATAAATTGATTATTATTATTACTATTATTAAAAAAGTATTATAGATTATTTGCAAATAGTGTGATTTTCACGTCATAGGCAAAAAGACATCCTTTTTTTTCTTTGGTTATATATATATAGTAATTTTTATTAGATAGGTCTGGAGTCAATGAAGAGGGGGAAATTTTTTGTTGCAAACTTGTTGCTTAATAATATACAAATAAAATAAAATAAAATAAAATAAAATAAAATCAACAGAAAAGAAGGAAAGAGAATGAAGGCTGGAAAGCCTAGTTCCTTTATGATGTGAATGTGGTGGATGAGTGTAAAGTGGTCTACATTTGTAGAGATGGGTAACAGCAGGTATAAAGAAAGAAAGAAAAAAAAATATAGTAATAAATAAATAAAGGAGGGGAAGTGAAGTAAAGTATAGAGGGGGATAAAATATACAAAATCAAGAATGAGTCAAGCCAACAAAAAGGAAAGAGGAACCAGCCACTTCCCCCTATATATATTTGTTCTGTTTGCTGTCGGCTGAAATTGATCAGGATCCACAGGTATCAGAGTTTTGTGGGGAAGAAGGGCAAGAACTTGAAGATCCTTGGCCAGCATTGGCGGGTGGTATTGTGTAAAGAGGAGGTGCACTTGGGGTGTAGGCTGGTGGGGGAACTTCTGGTGGAACCAAAAGTTCTACTGGTTTGCAGTGAGGACATGCGGAAGAAGCAGTAGAAGATGACGGATGAGATGAATCAGAGTGATTGGTGTGAGATGAACTGGCCTGGATTTGGAAGAGTGGGGGCATTCTGTGGTAGTCGTTTGCCAGTCCATCGAGCTCTTTGATGGTTGGTGCTGAGGGAAGAGGTGAAGAGCTTTGGAGTTGCATCGACATGGTCCTTCGGGGAGGACAAGGTTCGTACACCACACCTTGAACATTTCCTAGGGAAGGTGACAACGGTGCAGGTGGTGCAGAGGGCTCAGGCGGAGAACGATCTTGGCTCACATTTCGGTTGGTGTGGTCGTTGTCCGAAGTCTGTATTTCTCGAACTTGTGGAGACGAACCACCGTTTTCGATATCTAGAGGCAGATCAAACTCATTATCATTGCTGCTATCATTATCATCGTCAGAATCGTCGGCGTGGATATTTTTGGCTGCCATATCCCGTCGCTTTCGGATGCGAACGCGTGTGAGGATGATAGCAGCTGCTATGACAGAAACACCACCCAGACCACCGACAAGAGAGGCAATCGTTACCATTCGACGAACTTCGTTCTTTTTACGCTGATAGCCATTCCCGAGTGCTTCTCCAGATGAGTTCTGCCCATCAGAGTTTGAGCTATTTGGATCGGTCATAGTCGAAGAGCTCTGGTCGCCGGACTGCTTTGTCTTGTCGTCTCCGTCGCCCATAGCACGGAAAACTTGGTCGGGATCTGGGTTAGACACGATAATGATTGTTGTTACGATGACGGTCTTTCCGTGGGTGTTTGTGGTAGCGTGGAGTGCGCTGCTTCTAACTCTTTTATCGCTTGATTCTTTTTTTCGTTCGTCTTCGGTCTGACTAGACTTATTGTCTTTCTCGTCCCTTTCTTCCCGTTTATCCTGTTCGTCTCGGCCGTGTCTTTCATGTGGTTCTTCGTCCTCGTGGAATTGAGGCGGAGGGTCGAAGGTTTGGGGAGAATTGGTGATGGTCGGTGTATTGAATGTGCTCGTTCGAGATGGAATAAACGAAGATGGTTCTGGTATCAACACAGAATCACCGGGTATTGCTGGTGCTAGTGATAAAATAGCAGTTGGATGTAAGAGGAGACATAAAGTCAGGAATAGGAATCTCATGACGCCAGGGGGTTTGAAATGAAGGTAAATTGGATAAAACAAAACAAAACAGAGCAAAGTACAGCAGGAGGAGATGGTAAACGCAGAGACAAGTTTATAATGAGAATTGTAGAAAGTAATATAAAAAATACACGCACGTATAGACACACATACACACGCACACACACAAGCACACACACGCACACACACAAAATAAAAAAATAAAATAAAATAAAATAAAATAAAATAGAGAAAGAGAGGAAAATAGAGTGAAAAATTAAAAAATTAAAAATTAAAAAAAAAAAAAAAGAAAGGTGATTATAATAATTATTATTATTATTATTATTTTTATTATTTTTACACCTGTGGTCGCTCATAACGCTTATTAAATAGCCAATGGGATAGCTCTATTTCCAAAGAACAAATATCACCGACATTTTATTTTATTTCATATATAAATAAATAAATATTTAGTGGCTCCACCGTCACTTGAACACATTTTTTTTAAAAAAAAAAAAAAAAATGATCGGACCTTACATATTTTTTATACACATAAAAGAAAAAAAGGTTCACTTTTTCTTTTTTTTAAATATTTTATAGTACTATATTTCTTTTGCTGTATATCTGACAACGTTAATTTTCTCTCTCTCTCTTTTCTTCTTCAAACGAATCAAAATCTTTTCAAATGTTCTGTCTACCCCCCCTTTTTTTTTGGACGCAGCAAAAATGAAATTCAGACAAATCATATAGCTTTTAATGTGCCTGGAACAATCCATCAGTTTAATGCTGCAGAGTTGTCAATTCCCAATAGCCAGCAAATAAACAAAACAATCAAACATATATATTTATTTATTTATTTCAATGTCTCTGTTGAATCACTCCAACCAATCATCAATTGTTTAAACATCATCATTCTCACTTTTTTACTTTAACTTTGGTTTCCAAGACAACCAGAATCGCCTTTCACAAACTACTCGACTCTTTACAGTGATGGAAGCTGTTGCTTATTTCACTAACCTTAATATATCACAACTGATAAACAGTGACTAGCTCTTGCACAATACATCTTTGAGATTTAGTCTTCACCTTTCCTTTAAAGCTTTATATTCATTATTCCATCCTTTGAAGCAGTAACCCATCTCAAAGAAAATGGTCTGTTTCTTCACTTTAAAATACATTAGGCATCACATTCATATTCATACTTCTTTTTATTTTATTTTTATATAGTGGTAGTCATTGCTCTTATGGCCAAATTGTTTACAGTCAGGACATTTTCCAAAGGCATCTAAAGATGCCTCTTTTACATAAAAAGTAAAGTATATAAAATTCATATACACTCACTCTAAAATATTTCATTCCAATAGCCTTTTTAAAATAATAATAATAATATATAGGATAAAGAAAACGTAATCAAAGAGATGATAGAAAGATACAAAACCGAAAGGGAAAGAAGACACGACTTAAAGGAGTCAGCAGCAGTACAGCTATAGTAGCGCCTGCTCAAGATAATTCTAGAGCTACAGGCTAAAGCTAGATGAAGTTCGAAGGAATGAACTCGGGCAAAAGCTACGAGCGCCTTTACTTACATGCTGTACCTTCAAAATGTCATCAAACCCAGAAGAAGAAGAAAGAACCGACTTTCTTGTCAAGAGAATCACAAAGCAAAGCTCTTTTTTGGAGCTCAAATCTTTATCAATACATATGCTGCCAGAAACTGAGACTCTCTCGGCCTCGTTTACATAGCACAACAAAAAATCTGGTATTCCCTATAGTCATTCATCATGGGTCAAAGGGTCAACAGCGAGGCTATTGTTTCCAATATCACTGTTTTTTTTTTGCACTTGCCGACTTTAAAAAAAACGAGTACATATACATCTAGTTTCCTCTAAAAAATAGCAGTATCAAAAGTTACAGCGACTTTTTGTCTGTCTGTCTGTCTTACCCTTACAATCTCCTACCTGAACAGTATCGTGGACTTTAGAAGCAGACTTTTGTGCTAAGTGTCTTTGAAAATGCTATTAAATATCCTGTAAGTTTTAAAGCTATGCTTGTATACAAATTTATTTACTTGGCTGTGATATTCATTAGCGTATATATTGTACCTATGATATGCCTAGAGAACTGGTGTACAATTTGGAAGACGATTTTTTTATTGGGAGATCGTGACGAATAGAGTACAGAAAATAACCCACAGACATCTTGACCTTGTGTTCATCCACAGTACAACACAAGTGCTCTCGCTGTATGACCAAATACAGGTTAAAGATTATTGTTTTATCAAGAGATAGTGCTGGCAAAAGTACGAAAGTATTTTCAGGCTTGTACTTTTGTCCTTGGCAGAAAGCATGTATTCACATCAATAATACTAATAACTCAAACAAAATATTACAAAATGTAAATGCCTATCAAAATCCTATCGATCTTTAACAAGGGCTTGGATACAGAAAGAATTTGAATTCTTATTTGGTGACGATGAAGAAGACGATATGAAATTGATAGTCATCACTCTATCCCTCTCACGGAACTTGAATACTCTTTTACCTGATATTCAAAACTACATAAACAGAGGATGTATTGAAAGACATGGGAGCATATGCGGGAGAAGAGATATCGACAGTAGAAGGATACGAAACTTTGCTATTCATTTTTTTAAAAAAAAAAAATACTAAAAAGAAAGAAAATGCTGAAACATATACATATGTCAAAATCAACTTTTAATTTGTATTGCTTGAATGTTTTAAAGAAATGCTAAATTCAGATATTCATTAAATATTTTTTGAAGATAATGATTTAGTTTACATTCATTTAGACAAACAAATGTGGATTAAAGTACGCACAGTTTACATACAAATTTACAATTTTACCGATTAAGATGCTCTTAAACTTTCAAAATTATTGTAACACGACTTTTATTAAAATGTTGTATACTCTTGCATCTCATCACTGTTTTTTATTGTATATAATCAATATTGTTTTTTATTATAAAAAAATTGTATTTTTGAGGCTTATCCCCTTAAATGACAGCCGTTCCACCTTTGATATATATACTTTTTTTAAAAAAAATTAGAAACATAATACTTACTTGTCTGCCCGTCAGCTTATCAGTCGAGCCTCTAATAAATAAACCACACCTGTGTACCCAAACACACACACACACACACATGTGTAGATATTCACATACACAAGAAAACAACAACAATAACAAGCGAACACACACAGAATAAAATAATAATAAAAAAAGAATCGAATCGATCGACAGAGATTGTGATTTGTGAGCAGAGAAAAAAAAAGAAGGTGCTCAGCGGGTTCGTTCTCGTCTCACCCACAGATTAGCAATACCCCCCCTCCAATTCCAGAATATTTATTTAAGTATAAAGTTTTCAAAAGAGAAAACAATTTACTCCTCATCAGCCTCCTCCTCGTTGGCGATGTTGAAGTACTTAAGCTCGAAGGTCTGCTTATCGGTGGCAATGACACGGAGCCAGTCACGGATCTGGTTCTTCTTCAAGAACTTCTTGGTGAGGTACTTGAGGTAACGCTTGGAGAAAGCAATGGAGGCAACAACGGTGATCTTGTTGTCGGCACCACGGGTGATGGTAACGGCCTCAGTCAAGTTGTTGGTACGGCCATCGACCTTGATGCGATCGTGGAGGTACTTCTCCTATAGAAAAGGGGTCAGAATTTTCCCAAAACAAAAAAGTAGATCACAAATGTTTACTTACGAAGGCAGCGGCATCGAAGATCTTGTCGTTGGCGGGACCAGAGCAGTCGATGACGAACTTGGACTTCTTGACAGCAACGGGGGTAGACTTGACGGGAGCCATTTGGATAATTATTTCACGAGGATCGAAAGAGAAGGAAAGTAATTCTCACCAGCCAAAATGCCTTTCATAAAATTTTTCGGTGGCGTTTGATAAGTGACGTTGAATTATGACTTGCTCTTTTTATCGGAGACGAATCAGGTACATTTTACAAATTTTCTTAGGGGAAAAAAAAATGAGAGCGAGTGAGAGTGAGAGACAAGGATTCTTCGTTTTCCTTTGCCTAGAGGAAAGGAATGATATCTTTTTTCTTTGCTTTTGCACTATAAACTTTGAGGGGGAAAACAATCTTCTTACACAATATTAAAATATAATCTGTTATCTATAGAAATTCCTTTTTTGAATGAGATATATATATATATATTTATCTTTATCTTTATGGTTTTTGAAACGATAAACTCCAAAGCCTCTGGTTTTAACTATAAAAAAAATTAAAAACAGAAAATGTATTAATACAAGGTGCAATGTCTTTTAAATGTTGATAATGCGGGTTTATTAGGTTGTCTGTGAGCTTGCTTGGCCATAAATTCAAAGTCTCGATCTTATTAATAATAATTGCCATAATCATAGTGCATTTAACAATGGTGCTGTAGTGTGACAGCACAATGGTTCTTTTACATTGTGAGTGGTCTATTTCAAATAAGAAATCTGTATAAAAAAAAAATAGTGCTCGTGAAATTCTTTATTGAAACAGAAAAAAAAGTTTAATCGATACAAAAAATTACCAAGCACCAAATTTAGAATGGTGTAAAATGACAAATATAGGTGTCATTTACGTAACTGTGTGTCGGTGCTATAATAAATACTAAACTCAAGACACTTAATCTTATTTGGACCTACAGCATATAAAAAGTCATTTTTTTCCCTCTATATCTTCCTTATAGATTACAAATTATAATACTTACTCCTGTATAGAAAGAAAAAGAAAAAATTCTAGTCCAAAAGACATATAAAAGTCTGGAAGTTAAGACAAGATAGTAAAAATAAAACGATTATTATAGGTGGTGATGATAGTAATTGACATAAACTACCATATATGAATATTCAGAAAAACTTCACCTACCCTCTCTAGCAGGCATGCTATGTACGGACTTTGAATAAAAGTCTATTTTTGGAACTATTAAATCACTTAATATGGTGCTTAGCAACTGTATCAATAGACTTTTCTATTTCAATAAAGAATCCCGTGAGCACCTCTAAAGAAATAGTTCTTTGGATTTCTAAATGAAGCAATACATGTTCCCTAGAGATATGTGTTGCAGGACAGGATCTTTGTATAAATATATATGTATAATAAAAAAAAATAGCTGTATGACAAGCGTCATAATATCTCCTAAATAAATACCACCCAGCCCCAGTCGATTGTCTTTCTTCTTTCTCTTTCACTTTCACTTTCTCTAACCTTTTATTTTATTTTATTAATTTATTCTACATTTCATTATATATTTATTTGATTATCGGACTGGATGATTTACACTTCAATCGGCCTTGTTCTATTGTTCTGGGCTGGTGTATTTTATTGCATTTTACCCCAAGATTCTTTAAAGCGAGTACAAGATCTCCCTAACTTGGCCACAGTTGTTTCATCATGGAGAGGAACCAACGACGTTTCGTCAGATCAACGAATTATTCACTCTTCCCCTGCACCTGGACCTGCTTCTGCGCATGGGCCTGGGCCAGCTCCAATTACTAGACAGCATGGATACTTCTTGCACATTACCGATATGCACGTGTGTATCCTTTTTTGTTTTTTTTGTTTTTGTTTTTTGTTTTTGTTTATATATTATCACATATACATCATTGTGTACACCAAAGGGAGAGGAGCTTAATATTTTTAAGATATTAATATTTTCCTTACTCTATTTTATTTTAGGTTGATGCCGATTACCAGCCTGGTGCTACAGTCAAATCCGCCTGTCACGATATGCCTAGCTTAGCGGCTGCCAAATCCCATCGCAAAAAACCGAAGAATCAAAAAGTTTTGGTTGGTGGCCGATTAGGCGCTCCTGGTGAACATTGTGATGCCCCGATAGAGCTTGCCGAACGAACCATCGACTGGCTTGTCAGAGAATGGCGAGATAAACTTGACTTTATCGTTTGGACTGGTGACAACTCGAGGTTAATAATACTAATAACTAAACACCAAATAGATAAAAGTATTAACCTTTTTTTTTCTTTCTTTTCTTCTTCTTTTCTTTCTGTTCCAAACATAGACATGACTGGGATAAAAAAGACATCCCACGAACCAGAAAGCAAGTTTACAAACTGAACCAACACATGACAGATGTTATGATTGACGCTTTCTGGCCCACTGTTCCTGTGGTCCCTGCCCTTGGTAACAACGATGTTTATCCTGCTAACAAGATCGGCGATGCCAAGATTGACTCGAGCCTTCTGGCATTCTACGAGAGACTCTGGCGACACTGGATTCCCAAAGAACAACGTGACACATTTAAAGACGGTGGTTATTTTAGCATTCAAGTCGCTCCCAATCTCCGTATCATCTCTCTCAATACACTCTTTTTCTCTTCTCGTAACAAGGCTGTCAAGCATTGCAAGAAAGGTACTCCCGCTCATCGTCACATGGAGTGGCTTGACAATGAACTCGCCGAAACCCGAAAAGAAGGATCTAGAGCATATATCATTGGTCATGTCCCTCCCTCTACCCGGGATTACCGTAACACCTGTCTTGACGAATACCTACGAATTTCCTCAGTTTACTCGGATATATTGCTTGGCCACTTTTACGGCCATCTCAACATGGATCATTTTCTCTTGTACGATGGTCGCCCCGACCTAACCGAGGAGCTAATTGTAACCAATGTAACCGAGTCAGACGAGTCAGACGACATGCTTCACACAAACCGTAACCTTGACAAATACGTTAACTGGCTCAGAGATATGTACGAATCTATTGAGGCCATTGAATCCAAAAAGAATAGCTCGGAACCCCCCCCTGCACAGGATCCACAAGCACCTGTCGTTGTAGTTCAGATTGCGCCCTCTGTCCTCCCAGCATTCTTCCCAACCGTCCGTATCTATCGCTATGAAACAAGCACTAACCCAAATGAAGACACTCCTACCACCAAGCCGTATGGTACACCACTTGGGTTTGACCAATACTTTGCCAACATTACACGCTGGGAAGAAGCCCAAGAAAATGGCACAACTCCGTTGGATTACCAACTGGAGTACACCACTGAGGACGCTTATGGCCTCAGAGATTTGACCGCAGAAAGCTACCTTGAACTTGTCAAGTCAATGGTCAAAACAGACAAGGCTGGCGATAAGCTGTGGACTACATACATTAACAACATGTTTGTTCAGACAATGAACGATACCTACAACTAAAGCCCTTCGGAAAAAATCACATGCTCATTTTATTTGATCTTCTTCTTTCCCTTTCCTCTCTTCCTCCTTTTCATATATTTATGCATATCAATAGATTCCTTCATATACATACAATTATTTATATGAATCTATAATATAATTTATATATATATCAAAGATAATTTTTATCAATATCAATATCAATATCAAAAAATAAAATAATAAAAGGACTCTGTAGTTGTGATATTTTCATTTCATTGATTTCCTTGTTCATTGAAACTACGAATCAGTCTCTTTTCTGCCTTTTTTTTTTGGACAAAAGGCAGTAACAATGCCACCTGAATGTGGAAACCCATTGCTTAGAGACTGGATCGGTGAATGGATGGAAAAGGCTCGGGGTCTTCAGAGCAAAGCTTATTTCACTTATAAAAAAGTAAATCAATAGTAATGTCATGGCAATTGTTTAGTAATTCTGATCATTGATTGCTTGTTACTAGGCACATGATTCACTATCCAAATGTCCAATAACATTCCAGCATCCCTCTGAGGCACTTCAGCTTGTTGGGATCGGCGTTGGAATGGTTGATAAATTAGAGAAAAAAATGATAGAGCATTGCAAAGCGAATGGACTACCAATACCTGTACGAACAAAAGGTATATTGTTATGTACAGCTGAGCGTCGCAGCATATACAAGAATTGAGTTTTTTTTTCTTTTCTTTTCTTTTTAAATTTTTTTTAATTAATTAATTTCTTTAAAAAAAATACACACACACACACATATATATATATAGGAAAAAGAAGAAATCCTGGTACTCAAGAGGGATCAGGAACTCAACAAGAAGAGTCCAGTCAAGCTGCAGCTAGAAAACGACCAACGAGAACATATGTTCCAACGTACCGGTCAGGCGCTTATGCAATCTTACTCAGTCTCATGGATCAACGTGATAATGGGCAGCAGCAAGCTACAAAAGAACAAATCATTCGTTGTGGCGAGGATTATGCCAATGCATCATTCGACCTTGCTGAGCCCGGAAAGAGCTATACGGCATGGAATAGTATAAAGACCTTGATGAATAAAAGCTACGTGTGGAAGCAGGGCAGTCCGGCAAGATATATGTTGACTGATCAGGGTGTTGCCATGGCTACACAACTTAGAAATGCAGGAATTCCTGAAGCGTCACAGCAAACTCAATCCCAATCCCAATCCCAATCCAGGAAAAGAAAGCCTGTGCAAAGGCAAGAAGAAGACGAAGAAGACGAGGAAGAAGAAGAAGAAGAGTCTGAGAGTTTTATGGAAGGAGGAATAGACCTCAGTCTGTATGTTCGTAATCCTGCTGAATATATGTCAAAGAAATCCAAAGATGTACCTTCAAGTTCCTTGTCAGGGTCACCGATAGCTGCATCATCAACATCATTACCACTATCACTATCGCTATCATTATCATTATCACCACAGCTACCACCACAATCATCATCATCATCGTTATCAGCATCAGCATCAGCATCAGCATCAAGATCCACATCATCATCCGCATTCCTTAGAACAAAAAGTTCTGTATTATCAACAAAAGCCATGTCTATCGTGATACCAAAAAAAGTACTACCTATAGAGGAACCATCAACTCAAAAATACAGAAAAAGCCCTGATCCAGCGTTGGATCGACAAGATGACTACAGATGGGATGAATCGTATTTCGAATGTTTGGATCTCACAGAAGATATACCGTCTCCAAGGTTACCATCAAACCAACCTATTGAATTATATTCTCCATCACCTCCATCACCTCCACAACCACATTTATCACCATTCAATTATTCGTTTGAAGAGCCAGACATAGTTATATTATCTTCACCTTCGCCTTCACCTCTACCACCTTCACCATCACAACATTCATATACACCAAACAATCTTCGGTCTCCTTCTTTTGGTTTCAGTGAAGATATAGAAAAGGTAAACTATTCCCACGCTATCATGTTTTATTTCCAACTTGGAAACTAATGTATGTATATATATATATATATATTGGCATATGTATACATTAGGATCCATTTGAGACAATCTCGATGTCTGTATTCCATTATACTTATCTAGATACAGAAGGAGAATCTGTGAGACATGTAGGGCAGGCTGCCTTTGATAAAGACGGTAAAGAAGTACTAAATTAAAAAGAGATATAAATATATATATATATATATGTGTGTGTGTGTGTATATATAGAAATATAACCCACAAAATAAAATAAGATGTTCTTACATATCCAATATCTATAGATTTCGATGACAGCCACAACTACCATGTCAAATTTCTATCGAAACAAAAGACCGAAGCCATAATAGCACATATTGGACACCACCAAGTTGATGCAGACAATCCAAACCTGTTGACAGGCCGGATTCCTGAAGTGCATGCGAAGGTTATCTGCCCAGGCTTACCGGCTACTCCACTTCTGCCTCTCTCCCGAGAACCAAGAGACGAATTTTGGCCCTCGGATCCTGAGAGCTCTTCGCAACTTTTCCCACAAGGAAACCTCACTCAGTCCGAGTTTCCTTCATCTCAAGTCACTTTATCACAACTTACTTCATCACAGCTCACTTCATCACAACCTTCTTCGTCTCAAGTAGCTCAGCGAAAGTATAGTCAGTCACAACCAATTAATAGTACAAATGGCTACAGTAGTGCCTTTGACGATGATAATGATAATGATAATTATTATTATAATAATAACGATGATGATGATTTCGAGGATATTTTTTCATTTCGATCGAATATGTCTCAGCCTCAGCCTCAGTCTCAGCCTCAGTCTCAATCTAAGTACGAGCAGCGAAAACAAAAACAACAAGAATCTCAAGCGGACAGCAATTTTCTAAACGAATGCCGACATGATCCTTCTGCAAAGTTCTCTCCAGGTAGTTACGATATCGTATTGATTCTTGACAACCGAGAGGTCAAGATGCGCAATAACCGTGACTATATCCAAGAAAAGCTTGCACAAAAGGGTGTACGGGTAATCACTCGGGCACTAGATCTGGGTGATGTCGTCTGGATAGCCCAGAAGCGAGGGTCAGACAGTCCTGGAGATTGGCTTTTTTTGGATATCATCATAGAGCGTAAGAGACTTGATGATCTGATCAGTAGTATTAAGGACGGACGCTTCCACGAGCAAAAGAAGCGTCTCAAGGAATCCGGTGCCCGCAAAGTGATGTATGTGGTCGAAGAATACAACAAGGAAGAGGCTGTCCGGTTCGGACTCCAGGCGATACAGACAGCAATGGCGGCTACACAGGTCATTGACGGATTTTATCTCAAGCGCACCCAGTCAATTGACGATACGATTGATTACTTGGTCTGCATGACCCGTGTGGTTGAGAAAATGTACGCCAACACTACATTTTATCGCATTCCAGAGCATGTCGTGTCTCGTGAGAATTACCTTAAATTAAGGGCAGATTATGCAGCAGAAGCAGCATCATCAGCATCATCAGCAGCAGGCCAACAAATATCTCTGGAGTACTATACCATTTCATATCCATTGTACAACCGTCTTAATAGTAAATACGGAGCATCGACTCTCAAGGAGCTCTATGGACGGATGTTGAGGACAATGCGCGGCGTGAGTGGCGATAAGGCAACAGCCCTTTCTCAGGTCTACCAAACCCCTCATGCTCTATTTGAAGCGTTTGAAGCCAAGAAAGGCGATACAAAAGCTGCCAAGATGTTGGCAAGGGATGCAACATCAAATGCCTTTATGCGTCGAAAATGGGGTGCATCCCTTAGCAAGAAATTGTGGGAGACATGGGGTGTCAAGTGAACAAGTTTGAACCCTATATATATATATATATATCTAATTATATATGTCTATGACCATGACCATGTCTATGTCTATGTATATTCTTTTCTTTGTTTTTTAATAATAATTTTCTTTCCTCATTTCACACGTGTTTTTTTGTTAAGTAAAGGAGCCCAGTTCAAGGTTGTGTATTTATAAATGTGCGTGTGAGATATATGGTGTATTTGTTTATATATAAAAAAAGAAAGAAAGAAGGGAAATTTAGTATGAAAAGAGATCAAAAAAATAATAGTAATAATAAAAGTAATAAAAGTAATTGAGTGGGGGTAGGCTAATGAATGTGATGCTTAAAGAAATAAAGAAAATAAATGGTGTGGCTATGCATATAATAAAGTTGGTTTAAAGACGCACTGATTGTGAAAGGTCAAGAGAAGAGATAATAAAGTATATATTAATTGGTCTGATAAACCGGTCTTTCTGAAAGCAATATAATTAATTATAAATCATTGCTTTTTTTTTCTTTTTTTTTACTTAGGCCGTTCCCCTATGTAAAAGCTGACTGAAGAAAGAGCGGCGTTGCTTTGAGACCGTGGGTTGAGGTTCTGAACGTCTTCTGTCCTCTGTTCGGGTGTCCATTGTCCTGGATTTAGAAGGCAGGGGTAAGGACTTGCGGTGGGACATATCATCCGAAGGTGGGTCTACTGGCGAGTACTGGAGTGGCTTTGGTGGATATTGCCTCGTGCCATTTTTGTCATGCGAGAGTGAGAAAGACGAAAAGATGTTGCGGGGCATAGGAGGATGACCGTTGGAGTCATGCCCCTTTTTGAACTTTGTCATCTTCTGACGGAAAAAGGCGGAGGATTTGTGCAGCAAGCCTTTGGAAGATATCTCTTCGGTCGGGGGTGGTGTAGGGAGTAGGGATGAAGCTGGTGAAGGTGATACTGTAGAAGGCATAAGTGATTCGGTCACGGTCGAGCGGGCTGTCATCTCCTCATTGTTCTGTAGCATCGCCTCTTGTTCTGCTGCTTCTGCTGCTGCTGCTGTTTCCTCTTCTTCTTCCTCTTCTTCCTCTTCCTCTTCTTCTCTTCTTCTTCTCCTTCTTCTATATTCTTCCTCGTCTTCGTCTTCTTCCTCTTCCTCTCCATATTGCTGTGAAGTGGCAATTGTTGTAAGTGTAGCACTAGCACCAATTGAAGCAAAGTCTCTTGCAGGAGGGACAGCAAGAGTGGTTGAAACTCCAGGGACTGCAGCTGTGTTGTGCGTGTGAGTGAGTGAGTGCGTATTTGTATTTGTGTTTGTGTTTATTTTTGTTGCTGCTGATGCTGGTGCTGATGCTAGTGCTAGTGTTAGTACTGGTGGTGGTGGTGTGGTGGTAATTGTGGGATGTTTCTCATTCGCTATTTCCAAAGATAATGTGTCCTCAAATTGATCAGCCTCCCTGTCCTCTGCTGTAGTCTCAAGTTCTGCACTGTAGATTGAAGACAGGGTTGAATCAGCTTCTTGCGAATACGCGTGACGGTCTAGCTCGACTGGAGTACTAATATTATTATCTGCAGAGCCAATACTGCCGAGAAAAGTCTCGCTAGTGTCCTTTAGAATTTTATGCAGTCCTCTGTCGACAGCCATTTTGAGAGGCTCCTTCTTCTCCTCGCGTGTGGCCATGTTGTGTGCCCGATATTCTTCTCTCAGGGTGCTATGCCTAGGATCTACCCATGCTGTATCTTCCGCATCCTCTCTGTCGATCGCGGCCACGGCTGTCGTAGTCAGGTCATCTCGATAAGGCGCTTTGTGTGTTACAGACGATTGGCGATCCTTTTTTTTATTTATTTATTTTATTTTATTTTGTATATGTATGTATTATACAATATCATAAAGTGAAAGAAAGAATAATTAACATTTTTCAAGCAAAGCATGTCATTATCTAACATTCCCCTAAGAAAATGAAGATAAAGATAAAGATGTCTAGCTATTATTTACCTCTGGTGCACCGTGGAGGGCATCCATTACTTGACTTTTTATAACAAAGCTTTTAGAGTCAAATTGTTTTATTAAATCATCTGAAAATGATCCAAGAGTGTCGACCTGAGAAGGTAGCCATAGCTGGAAATCGAACGAAGGTAGTTCAGAGTGCTTTTGAGTCATCTATAGGAGAGAACATTTTTTCTTATAAGTGATATTGATTTTTTGGAATGTCTTTATATCTTGAGTCTATTAAAAGTCTTGTGGGTAATGCCACTGGAACTAGTACTGGCAATTCTAATGATGATAATGAAGACAAGACGTCCTTTGGTACCTCTTCTTTCAAGCTAAAATATCTACTGAAGTTACTCGAATGAATGAATGAATGAATGAATGAAAAAAAAATGTCAACAAAAAGAAAAAGAAGGGGAAGCAAGAAAGACAGAAAAAAAATACAATTGGCGTTTGATTGACTTGTTCCTTTCATTTCTAAGGTCGTTGATGCAGGGAGGTGGCAGGTGCACCATCCCCAAACAGGCCCGATTCGACTGATGAAGGGAGTTCTCATTTACTTTTTGGAGAAGTGCGTGATTCCAAAAAGGGAGACAGTAGCCATGATTGGGCCCCACTACATACTTTGTCTTGCACTACAACCACAACTACTTCTTTAACCCTCTCTCTCTCTCTTTCTCTTTCTTTTTCATCCCTCTCTCATCCCCTTGGCACGGATTGTTACTCAAAGACAACTTATTTGCGAACAAGAAATTACCAAGCAAGAGGATTATTGAAAGGGAGTTCACCTATACTTGTACTTTAACTAAGCTATGTATATATATATAATATAATATAATATAATATAATATAATATAATATAATATAATATAATATATATATATATATAAAAGGGGGAAAATAAAATAAAGCATTCTTTTCTTGTGAACATGTAAAGAAATATATATATATAATATAATATAATAAAAAATCAATATTTAAGAAAGTCTAAAATTGTTGTTATTGCGCCTTCTTTGATGGCAGGGACTTGTTGTTGTTGCAAGCAAGAGCTACGAAGCTGCCCACAAGCCCATACCGTGTCCAAAACATGTTAAGCAAGGCAATACCATACATGATGATTCTATACCATGGACCGACCGCAATAAGGAATCCCACTATACACATATAAGATAAATTATTAGTAAACAATACAAAAAACAACAACAAAATAAAATAGATTGCTATTATGATTGTTATCGCTATTTCACTTACGTGCAGGGGGTACCAAGGTATAATTGAGATTGTATCCAGATGACAGTGAGAGAATGTGAAGGAGGGGGCTATGGTAAGCAGCGTAGAGGAAGAAAGAGAATAAGGCCATATCGGCAGAAGCCGGCAGCAGAACACAGCGGCCGGTGGAGAGAAGATAAAATGGCACGATGAGGATAAGGATGTGTTCTATAATACATAACATTATAGCAGTTAGAATCTACTCCCTCCCCTTTTATTTACTTGAGCTCTTTTGGTCATTGCTTCCCAACAAAACACAGTACATCACTTAAATTGCGCTGGATACAACGCTCTATTGTACTCTACACTACCGCCTTTTGGGTATGTGTGTGATTTACTTACCGAGGAAGAAATTAAAGACTTCACCAAACATATCATGATCCCGCAGATCAGGAAACACAAGGGCTAAAATAGCACCCCACATTGTATGCAAATATATGTTGAACAGTAGACGTGGAATAAAAGGGCGGTTCGGTAATGGCCAGCCCATGATGATGATTAGTACTGCCGCACTGGCATGACAAGGCTATTGGTTTTTATTTTTATTTTTGTACAAGATATCAATGTTAATTAACCTTTTCTCCCATGTATGTATATAATGCTTTACCTGCAACAAGAATAAGAGAGTCTGTGTATAATATTTGTGGATCACTGTCAGACCAAGTGATAAAATAGTCATGACAAGTAGTGCTTGATCAAGCCATGAAGACTTTGTATTTGTAGGCTCTGGTGTATTTAACAGTCTATAGGCAGTTGTACTGATCCGTATATAAAATAAATTGATAAGAATATAGGGGTAGGACAGGAATCATGCGTAACCCCAAAAAGTGAGAACAAAAATCTGACTGGCTTTTTATTTTTACTTTAACGCTTACCCTTTTCCAAATGTACGCATACCCAAGATCGCAGTTAATACAAGGAATATCGGTGCAAGCGTAATGAACTCTACAACATGATGAGTAGGTGTGATATACCTTGAATACCTATTAGCATAAAATTCTTCTTTGTTTTACACAACTACGTACACACATATAGCCTGTCAAAAAGATCCAAAATATTCCTTTCATTCACCAGCACACACTCATCCTCATACTCATACTCATACTCATACTTGACTATTCATTGTCTCTCTCTCTCTTTCTCTCTCTTTTATACATGTACGTGTGTGTGTGTATGTGTATGCGTATGTGTGCTTGCCATTATCTATATATATAACAATAATACTAATAATAATATTTACCAAGCTCCACCCAGTGAATCCTCAAAGTCTGTTTCTGAACCCGGAGGAAAGTCGAAAGACCAATATTCTAAAGAAGCCACCAGACTGTTTATCACACTCATTCTCCTGCAATGAACCCTTGGAAGTCGAACAGAACGAGAAAGAAAGAAAGGCCAAACTGGAAAATAGGAACACCCTAAGAGGAGCAAAAAAACGTGACTTTTTTGAAGGGCAGAGAAAAAGAAAAAGAAAAAGAAAAGAAAAAACTCAACAGGGATAAAAACTACGGCTCTTGAAACTTGGGTTCTTGCGCTATTTAAACTAAAATAATATAATGGACTGTAATATAAAATAAAATAAAATATTTTATACAGATTCATTTTTATTATCTTGATCATATTTTTCTTCTGTATAGGTATCTTTTATATATATATATTTTATATATTTTATATACTTTATATCAAAATGAAACCTTAATTGCCCAAAGCTAATAGAGCTCTTTAAAGACTACACTCTTCTTATGCCTCTATGAGAAGAAGAAAGGAACAAGAAGCTATATAAATATACATAATGTATACGTACATATTTGTACCGTTTAATAAGCTAGAATATATAATGGTGTTGGTGTAACTAATTGGCTTTTAGGCCAATAGAAAGAAAAGAAGAAGAACAAAACTAGCCGCCTCCAGTTACAATGGCACCTTTGTAACAAAATCTTAACAAATCGCATTATATATATTTATCTCTCACAAATATGTCATTCATAAGCTTGTTTTGAATAACTTATGTGTGTAGTAGAATGAATATATGATTTTACTTTGACAATCCCGTTTTTAATTTTTAATTTTTAATTTTTAATTTTCTATACAAAAATAAGTAAATAAATAAATAGAAAGGATCATTTTGCTTGATAAACTATTATCTCATGAGTACAAGCTAAACAAAGTTGTGCTCATGATATTTTTTTTAAAAAAAATAAATAATAACTTAATTATATTAAACCTAATGGCTTATACTTCAACCATTAATAAGCAGTGCATTTGTGTGGCATAATTTTGAGTCAAGAGATCTGTCTTTGCTCTCAACCTTCTTCTTGTTCTTCTTGTTCTTTAGTCAATAAATACCAATTGTGGTAATAGTGAAGATGTACTAAATGTGCTCATTTTGAAGAACAAGAAATGCTGTGTTTCTTTAATTTAAAACCATATTTATATTGCTCTACACTCGGCATAAGGCTTTGAAAATGATATATATATATATATATTTTATAGCTGTGGTTCAAGAACCTAAAGTTGTACAAATCAGTTGCACAATTATTTCCTTCCTGGCAATTTATCAGATGGATTTCCAGGGTACCTCTTTCTAAATAAAAACATGTATCAATTATATATATATATGTGTGTGTGTGTGTATGTAAAGGAGATATTATTACCAGCTTTAGACTGGAAATACTTATTTTCACTTATCAACGTCTTGTAATTCATATTAATTTTAGCCAGAAAATTAATACACAAACAAATTGTCCAATCATCTAATCCTTTACAGCCTTATTTATAATTCAATCCATTGCTACATTTAAACCAAAGGGTAATTCATTTACTGATAAAGATCCTAGAACATATAAATATACTGAAGGCCTAAATTTATTTATTTATTTTTTGGATCAGTATAATTATCCGCGAATTGTTGTAGAAAAAGTAAATTAGCATTTCTAAAACTGTGGCAAAAATAGTAGTATGTTTTCAAAGGAGTTGAGCCTATTTACTTGGCATAATTCCTTTCTTCTTCCTAATAGGTAGGCACAATTTTGAAAAGTCACTAACCAAACCAAAGCAAACCAAGCCAAAGAAAGAATGCTATTTAATACCATTACTATTGCTAGGTTATTTATGATAGAAATAATAAAGATATATGTTAAAGACCTTTTATTTTTTATTTTATTTTTTACATGTACTTGTTTATTTGATTTGATTTGATTGATAAATGGTATGATTTCTGTCTGTCTGTCTTTTCTTTTATACAAAATGTTTAGAAGATGGTGGTATTCCATTCTTCGGTTCCAGGATCATTGTAACGGATGTTACGCTTGCCTAATGCCTTGACAGCATCAAAGTCTTCTTGAGAAAGAATAAAGTCTTCAAAGTTTGAAGAAATACGAGAGGGTGTAATACTCTTGGGAATGACAATGACACCTCTCTGTGCTGCAAAAGCGATACAGATCTGTGCTGGACTTTTACCGGTCTTCTTGGCAATCTCAACGATCTATAAAACAATAAAGTGATAAGTAAAGAAAAGGAAATTTTCGTTTAATTTCATTTCGTTTCATTTCATTTCCTTATTCACAGCCACAGCCAGAAGCAGTGTATTGTTTTACAATAGATTTTATAAAAATTAATGTCAAGTAGGAAAGGAAGGCTTACAATTGGATCATCAACGATACGCTCCTTGCCATAGATGTTGTTTCCGAGAGGAGAGTAGGCTGTTACAGCAATACCCTGCTCCTTACAGAAAGCAACAAGCTCTTCCTGGAGGAAACCAGGGTGGAGTTCGACCTGCAACATCGAAGGGCGGATGCGACTATTCTTGAGAACATGCTGGATCTTAGGGATGGTAAAGTTGGAAAGACCTATGATGCATATATAAAAATAAAAATAAAAGAATCAATCGGGATGATACAATCATACGATAAGCTCATTTCAATAATAGATAACTTACCAATAGCCTTTACCAGACCAAGATCTACAAGCTCCTCCATAGCCTTCCATGTGGCAGCAGCATCAATCTCCTCAACAGCCACCTGACCGTTTCTGGTAATAAAGAAAAGGTAAAGAAAGCAAAGGGTATGTAAGAAACATCTCATTCCTTTTTTTTACTTTTTTGGTTTCCTAACTTACTTCTTTGGGAACAAGTATTCAAGGGTAGGAACAGCAGGGGTTTCTTCGGGCTTTCCTTCAGGCTAAGAGAGTTGTAACACAAACAAGTCGACAAGTAAGACAACGTTGTATTGTATTGTATTGTATTGTATTGTAATAGTCAATTGGCCCAAAATTACTTACAGCAAAGGAAACGGGCCAGTGGATGAGATAAAGATCAAGATAGTCCAAGCCCATAGCATTGAGGCTGGCTTCACAGGCAGCCTTTACATACTCGGGGCGGTGATGTGTGTTCCAGACCTATAAAAACAAATTCTCATTAAGTTGGTATTTTCTCTCTTGGTATATTTATAAAAGTCCTCAAAACAGGATCAATGCAATACAATATAGTACCTTGGAGGTAATAAAGATATCCTTGCGAGGAACACCAGACTCTCTGATACCTTGGCCAACCTCATCTTCGTTTCTGTATACATAGGCACAATCGAGATGTCTGTAGCCTAATTATCGATTTATTTATCAAGTTAATATTATTATTATTACTTCTTTATTTAATTTTGAGTATTTACCAGACTCTAATGAGTACTTGACAGCCTTGCGAACCTCATCTGGCTGAGAGAGCCATGTACCGAGACCAATAAGGGGTACTTTGGCACCTGTGTTGAGAGCTAAAATAAATCAATAAATAAAAATAAATTAATAAAAAGCGAGACAGATTTGGAACAAGACAGATTAGAATCCTGACTCTATCTATCTTTTGATTTCTAAGAATTTTATTTTTGACATACTTAATGATCTACCGAGAGACATGTTGCTTGTACTTTGTATATTTGAATAAGAAACCGAAGAAAAAGAAGAAGTATCTATTTCTGTTGAAAAAGGGATGGTATATGAAGGACGTTAAAGAAGAATAGGATATAATGGAGTCAAGTTAAAAGAAAAGAAAAGAAAATATACACACGCTATTTATATATAGATCTGTGGAAGAATATAAAATCGACTTATATATCGTATATATATATTGTCCTTCTCAAAGGGCATAAATTTCAACCCACAGAAAGAAATAACCCGCATTAATTCCCATTTCGCCGAATAGCAAATCAATTTCTGCGATTGGCTAAACAGAAAAAAAAAGAGAAATCTGTCTCCACACTCTGGGACAAATGAATCAAATATATATATATTCAGTTTATACAGCTGGGGTTGTACAATATTTTCAAAACCCCCCTCCCTCTTTTGTAATTTTTTTTTTCTGTTTTGTTTATGCTTTAAAGAAAATGGTCTTTAGGTAAAATTCTATTCAACTATTGTTAAGTAACGATCTATATACAAAGCAGGCTTTGAAACGAACAAACAAATTCAAAAAAAAAACTAGCATTTGCATATGTATATACGTTTGAATTATTGAATCTTAATCTTTTAAGGTTATTTTTTTTTTCACATACTAAAAATTATATATATATATAAAATAAAATAAAATAAAGACCAGTTCAATAGGTCTTTGGGAAATAAGGAAGATAAATGCGAACAATAGCCCGACTGTTTAATATATATGTATATGTATATATCTACTATCTAGATCCTTTAGACTCATCACAGATAAATACTAGTACAGTCAGCCATCGATTTAAATATATGGTTTGTAGAATCTAAATAGCATCACTATCACTATATCAAGTTTTATACCAACTCCTCCGTGATCCCCTTTTTTTAAGTAATAATATACATACCCATATTAATGGTTATCAAAATTCCTATATTCCATCAAATCAATCAAGAATAAAGAAAGAGACTTCTCTCTCTCTCTCTCTCTTTAAATCACATATACTAGTCTATATACTTTCACTTAACAGGACCATCCCTAAAAGAGCACTCAATTTAAGCACATGGCTATCATATTTCGAAGATTGTTGAATTTACCGTTGAAACGTAAAATCATTTAATAATAATAATAATAAAGTAGTCATTTTGATCGAAATAGCAAATCAAAACGCATCAAAATCAGATATACGTCTAGATCTGTTAAGCAAAGTGCTCTTAAATGTATAAGTAACCTGGTGAAGCACATTCAGATCCACCATATAAGAAATTTCTGATATTTATTGCTCGAATATAGATCAAATTTCAAATCTTTTCACTCCAAAAAAAAAAGACATTATTATTGAAATTTGGGCTATAACCGCATTTGAAGAAATAAATGTATATATATATCGATGGGAAAGTGCATTTTCTAAAAGAATTAACCTCATTATAGATGTCAAATTCTGTAATTATATGATAGATCAGCGCATTATGTATTATACATATATATATATATGCATTAACTTGATAGTATCTTTGTATTTCTGGGACACGACATCAGGGTTGTCTCCGATACAAAAATTGTTACATTTTCTTTTTCTCTGCTAGAAACTGCTATGCCTTTGTAACGATTCTTTAGAAATAAATAAAGCCTCTCATTTTTCTCAAGTTTTCTAACTCTATAAAATATTATCAGCGTTTCAGTGTAGTCATATATTTATTGGGGAAACTCAAACCCCTTCCAAAAAAATATATTACAGATGAGTGTGGTACCTAACACGCACTGCTTTTTTTTTGAAAGATCGTCAATCGTCACATCAATTACTTTACCACAGTTGAGTTTCATGAGTTCCTTTTCAATCAAGAAAACTAAAGTAAATGAAATCTTCCAGCTACTGTACACATGTCTTTTAACCTTTCATTGCTAACGCATGCACCTGAATAAAAAAAACCAAGAGAAAAAGTACATGGCTCTTCGTATATAAATGTGAAGAGTAGACCTAAACACTGATAAAAAAAAAGCAAAAGCAAAAACAAAAAAGGCAAAGAACAGAAAACGATGAAAGCCAACAATGCGAAATCTTAATTACCAACAAAAACCACCATTTTGCTCATGCGGATTGCACATGTGCTGAAATGTAACAGTCATCATTTTCTTCTATAAATAAGCTTTTCAGTCTCTCTAGTATAAAGCATGTTTTAATTTAACTTTCTCATTCAAAATAACATCAGGTGTTTAATTGACGCATCCTTTTACCAATCGGTTATGTAGAAAACAATAGCTTTTAGGATAAACGCAAGACTGCATGGAAATCTCGAAATTGGTTAAAGACTTGAACTTACTTATTATATCCATACAGCTGTTGTCAGGTATATTTCTTAGAAGTATAACAGAACATTGCTTATTATGAGAATGATATATATTTTTTATAGTAAATATGACACCGAAAACTACGAGTAGTTCTTCATATTGGACAATACAGGATACATTAAAACCCAAAAAAGATCTTTTAAGGAACTAGATTTATTACATTTAGTAGTTAATAAATATTTTCCAAAATGAATTACGATGTAAAGACATCTGTTTACATGCCTAACAGCTTTAATTTTAGTCTCAATATCAGCAAGCTGTTTAAACATGTAACTTTGTCTCATTTCGCAGGAACATACTTTTGCTTAATACTACAACTAGAATTTGTATTGAGAAAGTTATACTCATATCAGAGATTTCTCGCGCAAAAATAAAAAGGGTGGTGTTAGTATAGCTATGCTCATACTTAACTATTTGCTTACCGATATATCTGACCACCAGTTACTGAAACCGTTGCTTCTATCACATCCCATCACATCCTATCCTATACTACCCCATTTTATCCTATCGTATCGTATCGTAGTCATATCGTAATCATAATCGTATCGTAACCGCATCGCATCGTACCCCATCACATCGTATCCCATCACATCGTATCGTATCGTAATCGTACTCATATCGTAAAGACTTGCTGTTCGGATAGTTATACTCATATCAGAGATTTCCCGCACATAAAGAAAGAGGGTGGTGTTAGTATAGCCATGCTCATACTTAATCATTTGCTTACCGATATATTCGCCAACCAGTTATTCAAACCGTTGCTTCCATCACATCCTGTCCCATCCCATCACATCCCATCCCATCCCATCGTATCGTATCGTAATCGTATCGTAATCGTATCGTAATCGTATCGTATCGTATCGTATCGTATCGTATCGTATCCCATCCCATCACATCACATCACATCGTATCGTAATCGTAATCGTAAAGACTTGCTGTTCGGATAGTTATACTCATATCAGAGATTTCTCGTACATAAAGAAAGAGGGTGGTGTTAGTATAGCCATGCTCATACTTAACTATTTACTTACCGATATATTCGCCAACCAGTTATTCAAACCGTTGCTTTCATCACATCCTGTCCCATCCCATCACATCCCATCGTATCGTATCGTAATCGTATCGTAATCGTATCGTATCGTATCGTATCGTATCCCATCCCATCACATCACATCACATCGTATCGTAATCGTAATCGTAAAGACTTGCTGTTCGGATAGTTATACTCATATCAGAGATTTCTCGTACATAAAGAAAGAGGGTGGTGTTAGTATAGCCATGCTCATACTTAACTATTTACTTACCGATATATTCGCCAACCAGTTATTCAAACCGTTGCTTTCATCACATCCTGTCCCATCCCATCACATCCCATCGTATCGTATCGTAATCGTATCGTAATCGTATCGTATCGTATCGTATCGTATCGTATCCCATCACATCACATCACATCGTATCGTAATCGTAATCGTAAAGACTTGCTGTTCGGATAGTTATACTCATATCAGAGATTTCTCGCACATAAAGAAAGAGGGTGGTGTTAGTATAGCCATGCTCATACTTAACTATTTACTTACCGATATATTTGCCAACCAGTTATTCAAACCGTTGCTTTCATCACATCCTGTCCCATCCCATCACATCACATCCCATCGTATCGTATCGTATCGTAATCGTATCGTATCGTATCGTATCGTATCCCATCCCATCACATCCCATCGTATCGTATCGTATCGTATCCCATCCCATCACATCACATCACATCACATCGTATCGTAATCGTAATCGTAAAGACTTGCTGTTCGGATAGTTATACTCATATCAGAGATTTCTCGCACATAAAGAAAGAGGGTGGTGTTAGTATAGCCATGCTCATACTTAACTATTTACTTACCGATATATTCGACCACCAGTTATTCAAACCATTGCTCCCATCACATCCTGTCCCATCCCATCACATCCCTTCGTATCGTATCGTATCGTATCGTAATCATAGTCGTATCGTATCGTATCCCATCCCATCACATCACATCACATCGTAATCGTAATCGTAATCGTAAAGACTTGCTGTTCGGATAGTTATACTCATATCAGAGATTTCTCGCACATAAAGAAAGAGGGTGGTGTTAGTATAGCCATGCTCATACTTAACTATTACTTACCGATATATTCGACGGCCAGTTATTCAAACCGTTGCTTCCATCACATCCTGTCCCATCCCATCACATCCCATCGTATCGTATCGTAATCGTATCGTATCGTATCGTAATCGTATCGTATCGTATCGTATCGTATCGTATCGTATCGTATCCCATCCCATCACATCACATCACATCGTATCGTAATCGTAATCGTAAAGACTTGCTGTTCGGATAGTTATACTCATATCAGAGATTTCTCGTACATAAAGAAAGAGGGTGGTGTTAGTATAGCCATGCTCATACTTAACTATTTACTTACCGATATATTCGCCAACCAGTTATTCAAACCGTTGCTTTCATCACATCCTGTCCCATCCCATCACATCCCATCGTATCGTATCGTAATCGTATCGTAATCGTATCGTATCGTATCGTATCGTATCCCATCCCATCACATCACATCACATCGTATCGTAATCGTAATCGTAAAGACTTGCTGTTCGGATAGTTATACTCATATCAGAGATTTCTCGCACATAAAGAAAGAGGGTGGTGTTAGTATAGCCATGCTCATACCTAACTATTACTTACCGATATATTCGACGGCCAGTTATTCAAACCGTTGCTTCCATCACATCCTGTCCCATCCCATCACATCCCATCGTATCGTATCGTAATCGTATCGTATCGTAATCGTATCGTATCGTATCGTATCGTATCGTATCGTATCGTATCGTATCCCATCCCATCACATCACATCACATCGTATCGTAATCGTAATCGTAAAGACTTGCTGTTCGGATAGTTATACTCATATCAGAGATTTCTCGTACATAAAGAAAGAGGGTGGTGTTAGTATAGCCATGCTCATACTTAACTATTTACTTACCGATATATTCGCCAACCAGTTATTCAAACCGTTGCTTTCATCACATCCCATCACATCCCATCCCATCCCATCGTATCGTATCGTAATCGTATCGTAATCGTATCGTAATCGTAATCGTATCGTATCGTATCGTATCGTATCCCATCCCATCACATCACATCACATCACATCGTATCGTAATCGTAATCGTAAAGACTTGCTGTTCGGATAGTTATACTCATATCAGAGATTTCTCGCACATAAAGAAAGAGGGTGGTGTTAGTATAGCCATGCTCATACCTAACTATTACTTACCGATATATTCGACGGCCAGTTATTCAAACCGTTGCTTCCATCACATCCTGTCCCATCCCATCACATCCCATCGTATCGTATCGTAATCGTATCGTATCGTAATCGTATCGTATCGTATCGTATCGTATCGTATCGTATCGTATCCCATCCCATCACATCACATCACATCACATCGTAATCGTAATCGTAAAGACTTGCTGTTCGGATAGTTATACTCATATCAGAGATTTCTCGCACATAAAGAAAGAGGGTGGTGTTAGTATAGCCATGCTCATACTTAACTATTTACTTACCGATATATTCGCCAACCAGTTATTCAAACCGTTGCTTTCATCACATCCTGTCCCATCCCATCACATCCCTTCGTATCGTATCGTAATCGTATCGTAATCGTATCGTATCGTATCGTATCGTATCCCATCACATCACATCACATCACATCACATCACATCACATCGTATCGTAATCGTAATCGTAAAGACTTGCTGTTCGGATAGTTATACTCATATCAGAGATTTCTCGTACATAAAGAAAGAGGGTGGTGTTAGTATAGCCATGCTCATACTTAACTATTTTCTTACCGATATATCTGACCACCAGTTACGGAAACCGTTGCTCCTATCACATCCCATCACATCCTATCCCATACTATCCCATCTTATCCTATCATATCGTATCGTATCGTAGTCATATTGTAATTGTAATCGTATCGTAACCGCATCGTATCATAATCTTATGTATCGTAATCTTAATTGTAACCAAACCGTTTCAACTCATAATCCTATCACATCGTAATGGTTTTCTTCGTCTTCGTCTTTGTCTTCATATTCATCGTAGTCGTTATCTTCGTTATCTTCGTTATCTTCGTCTTCGTCTTCGTCTTCGTCTTTGTCGTGGACGTGGACGTGGACGTGGACGTGGACGTGGACGTGGACGTGGACGTGGACGTGGACGTGGACGTGGACGTGGACGTGGACGTGGACGTGGTTGTGGACGTGGACGTGGACGTGGTTGTGTACGTGGTCGTGGTACTGGTCGTGGTCGTGGTAAGATTTTCCGTTCGGACTGCCATACCCATATGAGAGATGTCCGGCGTGGAAGAAAAACTAAGCGTGTTAGTATAGCTACTGATTAATATTACTCTCTACCCATCTATATGGCTTACAATGACTATGTGTGATGTGTTTGCGACATTATCATTCTGAACTATTTAAATGTGCTTTTGAGAAAACTGTACCTGTATTATAGCTGTGATTGCTCTATAATAAATTGGCAGGGTTAGTACTCATGTTAATATCTTTCTTACTATTTTCTTTTTTTTATGTTCTTACCACTTTACTATGTAGGGCTATGCACAAGTGTTTTTGAATTTGATTTCCGAATGGTTAAGTTTTAACTGTAATGCATATATCATTCTTTTTAATTGAAAAAATAATATCACCACTATCAAAGTTATGGTTAAGAATGTAGATCTACTGTGCTCATATTGTGTTTTGAATGTGTGCATATATTACATATTATCATTCTTGTGTTAGTAGTTATAATGGGAGCAGACAAATACTTGTACGGACGATCAATGCACTTGATATGTCTCATACTCGCGCCTTTGATGGAATGTTAATATATAAATATTAAAGAGCATCGCAATATTTCCTGCTTTCTTCACTTTTGTTTTGCTAAGGTTCGTGTATGGGAGCCAAAGATAAGATATAAGAGCACGAAGTGTCTTTTTTTATGTCAAGCATACAGATTACTTTATGGTGTGGCAAGAATAACCAGTTTTTGAAAATAGGAAGAATGTAAAGCGCGTAAAATATTCTTGAAGTTGTAAAATACTTACACTGTCATAATAGTTTGTAGAAAGTACCTACTGTATAGATAGTGCTTTTGGAGGGTATATAAAAGATATAACTTATTTGTGCGACCAGGATATCAAGCTTACTATGTAAAACGTGAAAAGAAAGAGAGAGAGAAAGAAAAAAGGTAACTTGAAAGAAAGAGTAAGTGTATAGAAGATAATAATTTATCTTTGATAGCAGGATATCAAACTTACCGTGTAAAAAGTGAAAAGGAAGAGAGGAAGAAAGAAATGAGAAAACCTGAGGAAACAAGTAAATTTATAGAAAATAAAATGGGAATGTGGGCTGAGTAGTGATAAAAACATAAATACACTAGCTGTTTTTTTTTGCTTATCAAATTCCTTGCTGATTCCGTTGGTATGCATATGATAAACACGCCTTTGCTATTTGTTTTATCCCTTACTTACTATATTTAGTATGAGTGGCATACATATAAAAACTTCTTTTAAATAGTCCATAGATTGGATATAAGTATCTTTTAAAAAGAGTTACTACTACTATGGCTTCTTTAATGGTGGTAGTATGTAAAAGCTGAATTTTTCTTCTTATGTTCTATACTTCTTTGCCATTTTGACTTATATATTTGTAATAGACTTATCTAGACTTTGCAAGGGAATCATATAGGAGGTATTCGGAATCTTGCATTTGATAATGTTGTGTAACATTATAAACAGGAAACTTGGCTTTTGTTTACTAAATTTTTAAAGCATGTGAAGCATTAAATATCTAATATGCCTTCTATGGTTTTTTACTTCTTTTAAAGTGAAATACAATATATACACATGAGTGTGTGTATGTGAACATGAAAGGCTACTAGAAATAGTGATAGAATATATCTTTGGTTCGTTTCTATAGATTGTATCACACTGAAAAAATAGCATTGCTTTCTTTCAAGAACTTTTTTATTTCCATACGGAATTATACACCATATGAAATAAGGAGTGATTTAGATAGTTATTTTGAGAAATACTTATGATATTTTTCACAATCACTCTCTTATTCTCCTTTTTTTCATGGTGATACTTTCATAATGATACTTTTATATTTCTTTGCTCTATTCCATTTTTACTCTATCTATCAGCTTAATAGCTAGCTTTCTTTTTAAAAAAAGTAATCTAGTATAAAGTAGATAGAGAGTAATGTATAATATTTTCTTGTTCCAAGTCAACTTGCACATCTTTATTTTAATATATCTATTTTCTTTTTAGCTTCTGACCCCTTAGCTTTTTGCTAGCGTTGTTTTCAGACATACACATTTTGGATTATATCATGCATTTATTACTTGAAGCTTTTTTATTTTATTATGTTGCTAGAAAGGTTTGAATGCCATAAAACATTTATTCTTTTATTTTACTACTGATAGATATAAGCCATATCATGACTTTTGGCTACTCGTTGGTATTAAATAAGAACAAAAAAAACAATTACAGAGTTGTTGTATTTCATTTTTCATTTTTTTACTTTCTATTTTCTTAGAGCTTCTCTCCAATAAATTTATTCTCACATATCAGTTTAGTACTGTTCAATATTAGGATCTTACAACTTATAAAAATTGGATTGCTGTAATCAGTTTCAATTTGATTATTTTCTTCTGCTCTAAATATTATAGTAAGCTTGAATGCCTAAATACTACTATTATTATTATTATTATTATTATTATTATTATTTTAAAATACAGTTCAATATTATATGCAAGCGCTGTGTATACAATATATATAATAGTAATCTATCCTCTCAAAATAAATTAGAAAATAAGGCAGTGAGACGTGATGTGTTTGTTTATATAGTATGAGAGGAATTCATAATATATATATGTTAAAATAAATAAAGCATAGCTGGTCTAACACTCATAACCTTTGTGACAAGTGGTTGTGATATTCAGAGCAATAAAAAGAAGAAGAAATGGATATATGCTTTATGTATAGCCTTTATTCATTTTGTGGCATTTTACTTCTAAAGCTTTCTTAAATAATATATATATATATTTGATATTAGTACTCAAATAATAACTAAATCAATATGGTGAATATTTGGAAATAAACAATAGGTGATAATGTATTTATTATTAAAGAAATAATAATAATAATAATTATAAGTATGACTGCATAGTTGCTACGCACTGGTCATGTAATAAGGGATGATATCATAGTGGCCTAAATACAGAATCTGTCTAAAGTTCGACTGTGTCCGCGTTAATTTATTATTTGAATATTTGAGCTTAAAAAGTAGTCTTGAAAGAATTATATGTCTAATGCATACATAAATCTTATAAAACAAATCCTTGTTTGATTGTAAAATAATAATAATAATAATAATAATAATAATAATAATAATAGATAGAATATTGTTTATGAGTCTTTACTTTATCCCCAAGTATTTGTAAGATATATTACTGGCATTGACACGTTGCGCGTGTCTATAAGATTCAGTTGGCACAAGAATATAGTATCTTCTCAAATTAGTGAAGTCATGGCCTTCGGAAAAGCATGCCTGTTACAGCTGGCGCGGCAATCAATTGAAGATCATAAATCTTGTAACAAAGAACTCCAATATCGCTTATCTATTTCTATTTCTCTCTATTATTATTTACTATTATCTATTCAAAGGACCATATTTTATCTCAAAATCTTTGGAATAGCTTAGTAATATAGTATTAATTATTTTCTTTAATTGACTATCAAAATATTTATATAAATATCAAAAGATTAAGGCAATAAAGAGTAGCCTTCCGTATCACTTCTTTTTTTTTCTTTATTATTTTTGAAAGAGCAGGATCCCAATTGTTAATATTCGGGACTAAGAAGTCGTTAGAGAAGATCAAGATTTATTATCTTTTTCTTTTGGCTGTTTGGGCCACTTGATTACATAAACCAGCACAGTTAATCTCACTATTTTGCTATAAATTTTATTTATATAATATTACTCTTTTACGCTTCACTTTCATCTCTTTTTTTTGCCGTTTCTTTTTCGGTTATAATATAGCTTGCAATACTTAGCTTATACCCCTCCACCCAACTGTTAATGTTTCCATTGCAATACTTAAAAATACAATTATATCAGAAATTTAAGGGAGAATCAACAAGCTGAAAGGATAGGTTCTATATTTTGGAAGGCACTGACCAGAATCTCTATTGAGTGTTTTAGTTCTTATTTCTAATTTGTTTTTAATATGAGATCAAGAATATCATAAACCCATTTTTGCTTATATTATGATTATTGAAATAAGGTAAGTTAATCTAGAAAACAAAACAAAAAAAGTTTAAGAAAAGTATCTGGTATATGTAGCAGAAACAGGACCAAGAATATAGAAAGAAGTAAATCCAAAAAAAAAAACGTTGAAAATTTGTGAGTGCATTTTGATTGCAATTTTTTTTAAAAGAAGAAAGTAGTAATAATATATAATTATTCAAGAATATCGTCCACCAATATCAGAATATAACAACTCAAACTACCTTGGATATATATAGTGTTTGTGTGTGCGGTGGTCAGAATAAAAGACTATATTTGTCATGAGCTGTGAGATGTTGCTGTGTGACTAAATTGGAGACTGCAGAGACGTGTGGCTCGTTCAAAGGATGGTATGTTTTGTGGCCGGGTTGGAGACTGTAACGACGTCCGGTTGCTTAAAGGTTGTCTATATTGGCCTGTATGATAAAAGTGTGGATTGAACTTTCAGTATCCTAGCTATTACAGCTCTAGACATATATATCTAATCAGACAAGTATGCGTCTAATATTGCTGAAGCTACTATTGAAATAAAGAATTGTTTAACAAAAAAGGATCATTTGGATCAAAATAGCAAATGAAAATACAAATAACCAGCTATATCTTTAGACTAGTTAAGTAAATTGGTCTTTTATTTGTAACTAACCTGGCGTGGCACATTATGATCCAGAATGTAAGTGTTGTTTGACATTGATTACTCAAATATTGGTCAAAATGTCTCGTTTTTTCACTCTAAAAAACCCGTTTATTAATGAAAGCTGAGCTATTTGCACCAAAAAGTCCATATTTGGTGCCAACTTTTTCTCAGGATACACCTCAAAAGAAATGAATATTTTATTTTATTTTCTATTAATTAAAGTTGTATAAAACGTTAGGATATGACGTTTAATGTTGTTTTAACCAGCAGCAGACCAATATCCATGGAGATATCGATATATTTAAAAAGGAGGGTATCGCTATTTCCACCAGAAGAATATGTCTTTTAAATCACCGACATGTGTACACCAAAAAAATCCATCTCACTCTAGACATGGCAGGTTTTGTAATGATTTAGCACAGTGTTATCAAAATTATGGTGGCATTTATTCTTCCCCCAAGAGATTAAGTCATAATGTTATTATGATATTCTGTAATATATATAAAGATAAAGATAAATCATGATTTTTATTATTATTATTATGTTTCAAAATAATTGTCAAAATATCCTTTAAAAATGGTTACGTTCCAAAAAATATACTTGGCGCTCGATATAATGATATGTGGTTGTTGTATTCTTTATTATTACTTTAGCTATATTGAACTTCTATTGAAATACTAAAAAGATTGATATAATGAAATAAAGAACTTTTAGATACTCCATTATTAGCTTTAGATACATACACCTCTTAAGATTTTTTGCTTTGTTTTACTCAAAAATAAATGCAAGATATATTTATATTATTGTCTGTTGTAATGATGAGCAATTTTACAGCCACTTAACCCATCAGCCACAATCACATAATTTTTTTCCCACAAACAAATAATGATTCTCTTGCCTCCTTTATATATATATATGGGTGTCTACCTATCCAGATAGCTAGATAGCTAGCTGTAGTTGTTCTTCCTTCCTTCTTTACCTGTCAGATTATGCAAGCATTACTAATCAAATGCCAGCAATTTATGCAATAGCTTCTAAAGTATTTCACACACACACACACAAAATGGGGAAGAAATAAGAGGGTTACACTTGCCACTGTACACAATGAGGGCTTATGGGTGAAGCTCTAGGATAAAGATGACTTCCGATGTGACAAGAAGGTTATTATAATTGGTTCTAGAATCAATACAGTCTTTGGAAATAATACACAGTTTTGTGCCCAGCCTCAATATGGCTCTCCGAACACAAAATGTGCTAACATAATTGTTTTGATTATATATTTTTCTTATTTTTGATACGCACAATAAGCTAATGTGTGTTGTGATTTTTGCTTGTGTTTGTACTTGTGCTTGTGTTCGTGCTTGTGTACTCGGATATATGGAACGTTCTATCAACAGCCCTCTTTCCCACTTCCAGATCAAACATCTCTCAAAGGTTGAATCCGTTACCAATGGTTTTGTTCCATGCACATGTGTACCACTTTTGGGCGTGCGTGTACATATATGGAAACAATCCAGATAATGCCTCGGCTGCATTTATCCTAACCTAAAGTAGCCGCACTGTACTGTACTTCTATGCTGTTTCGTTAAAAGTAGTGTCAAAAACTTTTAGTTTGTTACGATTTAGGGTTGGAAGCAGTTTACAAAGAGTATAAGTTTATTTATAACTACTTTATACTAATTCGATATTTTCCTTCTCCCCCCCCCATACACACACACATACTTTCTCTCTCTCTCTCTCTTATATCCATATTAGATAATGCTAATCTTACACCCTTATTTTCATGCATTTTTTATATCCTTATATCCTTACAACTTACTCACACTCATTTATTTTCTCAACGTACCTTATCTACATATTTTATTTATTTCTTTGTTACATATTCAACAAAATACATGTCCATATGATCTGTCTTGATCTCAAAATTAAATAAGCATACATATAAATATGCATATACATGTATGTATGTCTACATACATAAAGACATAAAGAACCAGATAACAATATACTCAACATCCAACAAATTGGAGAACACGATAATTGGTTATAATCGTCTCAAAATGTGTCTTATTACTATTAAAATACAGCTGTGCAGGTGTAGTTTGTTTTAAAAATGTAAATATATAAATGAATCCCATATTTACCTGCTAACATTACATATTACCGTAAATAAAACATCCTAATTAGACTGGTGAATACTCGTAGTTTATATATATATATATTCAGGGGATTTGAAGGGTGTAGTTGTGCCTTATAATAGGTAAAACAGGAACTACAGAATAAATAAACGATAATGTGGTAAGTACACAGACCATCGTTGGATAATGAAAATCAAAGCTGTTATAATTGGCTTTAGACTCGGTTTATCTTACTCGTTGGGTTACGAGCATCTCATATTAGTGTTAAAAACAGTTGACAAGCCCCACACCACACCCTGTGTCAAATTTTAGTGAACATGTAATGAATCGGGATGTGAGCAAGGTTTAATAAGAACAGCACCAAAAAGGAAAAACAAATTGAACCCGGTTCATAGCATTGTTTATTAGCCCACTTCTTTACCCGGTGCAATATTGCGGTTCACAACTTGGTTCAGTCTACGAAGAATAATCTTTCAAATATATATATATGTGTGTGTGCGGTCCGGACACTGTCAGACAGTCACAATTTTGTGTGTTCGTCTAGTGCGACCTTTCTTTTTTGGGGGGAGATAATTTTTGTCCGGCTAGATAAAAAAAAAAAAAAAAAAAGTTACAAAAGAACAGTTATTCGGACTAAACCGACTGGCCGACAACTTGGCTTGAATGGTGTTACAGATGATTTGTTCTTTTTATAGAGTCTAGCTTTCATATATGTACATGTCACTTTATTAGATACAGTATCACTTTATAGGAAATAATATGAAACAAATGCTGATCTTTTTTATTTCCAAAAATAGATTTTGTGTATGTGTGTGTGTTGTTTCTTCTTCTGTCTCTATCTCGCACTCTGACGTGTAATGAGTAGAGTCTGTTATAGTATATTGGTATACAAAAAGGTGGTTTTCTTGACCTGTTATTGATTAGTTAGCTGTCTTTTTTTTTCTTGTTTTTTGTTTTTAGGCAAGAGATTAGATTGTGGTAAAAATATATATAAAAATGCAACAAATATTCATTTTAGGAGAGACACCATCCCTGTGCGCACAGGGCTAATTTTCCTAATGTATATTCTTATATAAAAGTCGGAAATTTCGATGAATAAACGAACAAAGAGGCGTGTGTATTATGTCTAATAAGATGGGGCTTTCAAAATACCATAAAGACCTGTATCGATTTCAATGCACGCCAATTGCAGATGATTCATGTTCGCCACTGTCACTTATCGTCAATGTGACAGATACAACAGCACCTGCACTTTTATTTACACTTGTATTTCCATTTGCACTCTCACACTAGAGACACACCATATAAACATTCAAATGAAAATACATGCTATCTGTGTTGGGAGATTGTGAATGTGGTTCTCTTTATTTATGTACTTCTTCTGAAAAGCAAATTATGTATATAAGCCTTGGACTTGGCTTTCCTTTACATTCTGACTACTACCGAGTGTAAGCATAAAAAATACATACATATATATCTATGGTTTATGAGATATCATTGGTGCTATTACATGATCGAGTTTTCCTACATCAGTAACCACCTTTGATTTTGATTCTGTCGAGGGATGCGGTTCCTTTTTTTTTCGGGGGGAAGAAGCATGTGTTATGATTGTAATGATTTAGAATATATGTATACACATCTCTTAATTTTTTTTTTACTTTTCTTTCTTTCTTCTTTTGTTTTCTTTTTTTGGGTATTAAGAAGCTAGACTTGACAAATGCACAATCTTGGGACTAAAATAAGAAGAAGAAAACCTTGTTGGATTATGTGGGTCTGGTCTTCTTTGGAATATCAGATTTGTAATGACATTATGAATACCCACAATTTGACATCATACAGATTACATTTTATGTTTGTAGATATAGTCAATGGACTGAATTTCTTTTTTTTTTACTAGCCAAATAAAATGTAACGTTCAAGCTTTTCACTCTGTGTGTAGTATAATGATTATGGTTATAATGATTCTTTATTATTTCTTTTGGCTGACACTTAACATCTTTATTTTCTTTCTTTTTTGGCGGTTGTTGTAACGATCGTTTTGTTCTTTAATTAAAAAAGGACACCACACCAAAAGATCTCGTTCTATTATATTTTATTGTATTTTATATATGTATCATCTTTGATCTCGGTGTAGAGATCGGCTGGATAGGATAATCCAAAGCTTATATACGTTCATACACTTATATATTCATATATCTTGTACACACGTGAATAGAATGGGCATGTTGGATTCCCAAGTAGGGCAAAAAGAAAAGAAAGCGACGCAGATTGTTTATGTGCGAGCACAAGTACGACCCGGAAAAAAAATTGTTTGGTTTTGGTGGGTGGGTGGGTAAGACAAAAAGGCGCCAGAGGGGGTAATAAATACCTTCTCAAAAGAAAAATGTGAGTATATGTAACTTGCAAAAAAAAGGAAGAAGAAGGAATTAAAGCAGAGAGACAGACAGACAGATTGATTGATAGATAGATAGATAGCTAGATAGCTAGTTAGATAGTGAAAGATGTACAGTAATAGATTCTGTACTCTCTTTCTCTCTTTTGATTTTGGTACGAGGTAGATGAGTTTTGAAAAATTGAAATTTCCCATCAAAAAGAAGTCTTTTTTAGAGCACCTTGAATTAAATAATTTTTTTTTTGCTACATCTTGTGTGAATCAATTAAATTCTTCCCTTAATCTACAAACACATACACACACAAATACTTTCCTAAAAGCTTTCCCTTTCTTCCTCTTTATTATAGCCTAGTATATCTGTATTTGTATATCCTAATTGTTACATTGTACAAACTTTTTCTCAATGCAATAATAATAATAATAATAATAATATTAATGACTACAACTAAAGCTATAGTTACATTTACAGCTACAATATAGCACAAGTACAGTACAATACAATACAGTTTAGCAAAGCTCAGCACAGCATAACACAGCACAGCACAGCACAGCACAGCACATGCTGTTCACTATCAAGGCACCATTAAATATGTATAGATACAATAAACCTCGCCCCAAAATCCCTTCCTTTACTACTGAAATATAATATATACATTGTTTTGTGTGCCTGTAGTCTTTCCAACATTTGGCCACATACAAGAGTATGCTTCTGCCAAGTCTGATTATTTTCTCCTCTTCTTTTTTTATGTATCAGGTTTAATAAGCATAAAGAAATCAGAACCAAAGGAATACCAAGAACAATAAGAAGAAACTGATTGGCGAATATCACACTATTGTGCACTCTGTGATAAATATACACAAGTGTGTGTGTGTGGGATTTTTTTATTTAATTCTTTGTTATTATTATTTGATTATAATACATATAATATAGTTAGCATTTACAATATACAATCCTGCCAAGAAAGAAACAAAGAAACAAAGAAATCTCGCTGTTTGAAACAGGAAAGGGCCGTTTTTGGTTGATGTTATTTATTTTTTCTTTGGGTATCAAGAAGATCTTGTTATATAACAGTATGTACAACAGGATATGGAAATATGTACCAAATAGATGCAAAAGACATAATAAGCATAATAATAAGCTTAATCTCTACAGCACTTATCTTGACAATAGCAGCTTAAATGACAAATGCTTACTACATACTGAGAATAAGCCTAATGCAAGATCCATAGAGGATATTGTTCTAAAAGGCAAGAATGTCAAGTATGTGTCTCTATGCACTCAAAAGTCATTTGTACTGTGAATGGGAAATATATATATATATATATACATGTATGTATGTAGAAGATTTGTAATTGATTGTATCGTATCGTATTGTACTATAAGAAGAAGAAGAGTAACCAATCACAGCATCTAGACCAAGACCCAAAATAATAAAAAACTTACCCACCCACTCACTCGCTCACAAAGAATGATACAGTACCTGATTTTTCCTTTTTTGGTAAGTGTGCTAAAAAAGCTGATCTATTTCCTCTCTTGTGCAAATTGCGTCATTCACATATCACGTGTACAAGTGGACTTAAGCGGATGAGCATCCAGAAATGTACTGGCCATTCGCATCACGTTCTTGATTTGTAAATGAGAGAGAGAGAGAAGAAGAAGAAGAAGAAAAAAACCAAAGGAGTTACAAAAAAGGAAATTATACATCTATATAATAACACGACTTTATTAATAAATTAAAGCCGCATTGTAAAATGGACAATATACAGTAGGTTTGATAGTGAAGAGAAAGATACGGCTGGAGATTTATTTAGTTGCTTGTCTTGGCTCAAGAAATTCTTATTAATTAACTACTGCTATTCAATTAAAGACAAAAGAAGGATAGTTTAATATAAAGTATGTGTACCTACGAAAGATATTAAAATCAAATGACACTAGATTGCATACCGGCTGAACTAGACTTTGCAGAAGTACGATGAGGTCTTTTCTCTCTCTATCTTTTTTTTTCTTTAAATGAAATTCGGTCCATGTCATAATGATGGGATAGTCTTGCTGGTAGTGTTATCTTTTTGGACAAGGTCCCTCTCACCCCCCAAACCCCTGGAGATAAATATGAAGATATATATATATATATATATATGTGTGTGTGAATTATAGTAGATGTGTAATCAACTCAATAATCAGGGGCCCCTCTATTTTATATATATACATTTTCTTATTTCTTACTATCTAATTTGTAACATTAATAAGGATGTATATGTTATATGTATTCATGTATGTATGTATGTATGTATGTATGTGAAATTGATTGCTTGGAATTACCATGAATGGAATTATTGTCATTATAAATTGTCATTATGGCTGAATGATAAAAACAAAAAACAAAAAAGATCTTTAAGTTCATTACTACTGCTCCAACCACCATCAAGTCAAGAAGTTACCGGTGACTCAGCCACCCTGACCTTCTATTGTCGATCTGGTTTGTTTATATATATATATATGTGTATGTATGTAAGTACTCACAAGCCTTCTTTTCCTATCATTCAATTTGCCAAACATTATATATATATATATATGTGTGTGTGGGTGTGTGTGGCTCTACAACCAATCAGGCGTGGTCAGACTCCTGCTTCTAGTAATGATATTGTGCTCTTAAATGAAGTCCCTTTCTTTCTCCTTTGCTGACTATAAACTTACTATCATGCTGTACTACCAAAAATGTACAGGGGTTTTCTCGAATAAAATATATACTTCTATCTCTCTTTATATATACTGTGATAATCCCGTAATTACGGCCAAATGACACATCACATTTGATTGACTTAAAATCTTAGGAAACTACATTATCGCCTATATATAAAATGCTCTTTGTGAATTGTGTACAAAGATCCAAAGATAACACATAAATAAATAAGTAAATAAAAGAATAGTAGGGATATTTGATGACTGATGTGATTAGACGTCAATGTTATTCATTTGAATTTTTTATGTATCTATTATGATATATTATATATATATAAATTTCTCGATCTTGCTTAGCGCTGATTATCAAATCTAAGTGTAACCTTTAAGAAACGCTCATTGATATTACCGCGATATTTCTGTGTGGGTATTGTGGGTATTGTGAGTGTACGTGTGACATCTAATGATATCCAAAAAAAAAATCTTTAAATTTTTATTTTATTTTATTTACAATAAACCAAACAGCCACAATGAAACTTTATATCATAGCAACAAAACAATGTACCCTCCATTTATACTATATAATCATCATTTTCGATATATATAAAATTTTTATAAAACGTTTACACGTATATAAATAAATAAATAAATAAATAAATAAATATCTTATTTAGTTTGGTAATAGTATTAATCTGTACCGGGGGACTAGCCTGTAAAATATATTAACCCCAAAAATATATATATATATATATATATATCTAACTTGACACTCGAAATCGATTTGTTTCTCACATCTACGATCCTCATGTCCACTGGGCTTGAAAAAAATTCAAACAGAAAAAAAAAGAAAAAAAAAAGAAAAAAAAAACTTTTTTTGTTTTTTATTTTAGACTATGAAAATACTTGAGTTTAGAAATTAAGATATTGACAATATCTCTTTGTGGTGCAACCAACTACTTTTCTAGTGTTCCATTCACGTGAATTTCCAAGTTTGACAGCATCTGATGTCTTACGGGAAGTCAGGGTGAGGAAAGGTACAAATGTATAAATATATAGAATAATGGTAGTAACAGTAGTAAACAGCAGTAAACAGCAGTAAACAGCAGTAAACAGTAGTAAACATAGCAACAAGAAATCATTCACTGTAGTCATGGTAATTGTGGTAAGTGGCAAAATAAAATAAAATAAAAAAAATTCAATGTGCGATCGGACTTGACAAGGTCAACCGCCCCCCCCCCCCCCCCTCCTCTTTCCTTTTCTCCCTCCCCTTCTATTGTAGGCGTAGAAAGAAAAGAATAAATGGGCTTGGTGACATTTATTCATTTTGTGTATTTTGGATATTTAAAGGCAAGAAAGTATAAGCAATTATTATAATTGTATAAGTTAATTTTTAAAGGAAATAATTCATATATACACACAATACTCAGTTATCAATCATCACAAAGACACCGAATTTGTTACAAAAAAAAATCTTTCCAATCAATTGAGAAGAATAGATCTATTATCATTAGTATAATTGTATATTACTTCTTCTTATTTTATTTATTTTATTCTTATATTTATAAAATTTACATTATTTCCTTT